TGTTCATTATACTCCACAAATAAGTGAGATCATGTGGTATTTGTCTTACTCTGATTGGCTTATTTCACTGAGTATAATGCTCTCCAGGCCTCTCCATGTTGCCTCAAAGGGTAAGAGATCTCTCTTTCTATAGCTGCATAGTACTCTATTGTGTACATGTACCATAGCTTTTTTATCCACTTGTCTACTAATGGGCCCGTGGGCTGTTTCCAGATCTTAGCTCTTGTAGATAGTGCTACGAACACAGGGGTGCATACATTCTTTCCCCTCTACCACACTGACCTGTCAACGTGCAGGTGACACATGGCCCTCCAAGAGCACAACAAGAGTTGAGACAAAGAGAAAAGTGCAAAAGACAACTGAGTGCCATTCCCGTAAGTGCCTGATGCCTTTGTAAAATCTATTTGATTGGCACTTTTTATTTATTTATTTTTAAATAATTTTTCTTTATTGATTTTAGAGAGAGAGGAAGGGAGAGGGAGAGAGATAGAGATATCAATGAGAAAGAACATCAATTGGCCACCTCCTGCATGCCCCCACTGGAGATTGGTCCCACAACCCAGGCATATGCCCTGACTGGGAATTGAACTGGCGACCTCTTGGTTGAGTCGATGCTCAACCACTGAGCCACACCGGCCGGGTGGCACTTTTCACTCACGAGCATCGAGTACCATTGGGGTCTCAAACCAATATTTTATTAAGCAAATAAATTGTGTGTGTGCTCATGTACATATAATATTTGATTAATTGACTAATATATTTCATAAACTCCAAGAGTACTATCTGTAGTTAATACATTTGTAATTGAACCAAAGTACTCAGGCTGGCTCACCATGGACCTTCGAATGGGGGCCGGTTCGCTGGCACTGGGCAACCCCGAGGAGGAGATGTCAGGGAAGACTGGCGAGTTCAGCCTGACTGAAGAAAGGGTCAGACAGTAGCGTGCATGCTCTTTGGCAGAGGGATTGCAGCAATGAGGGAGAGAGGAGGCCCCAGCGACCCAGGCTCTTACTCAATGCAGGGCACTCAGTCTGCAGAGCCCTGTGACAGCCCTCAGAGCCTCCTCACAAAACGACGAGAGGGAGAGATGGAGCATCACATCTTCCTTTACAGGTGTGGTGATGTGGAAGGATTAAGTAATTTGTCACGAGCTCTACTTAGCAGCAGGAAACCTGGGAATCGACCCTCCACAGACCTGGCCCAAAGCCTGTGATTTCTGAACCTTTTAAAAGTCTCTACTATTAAAATTTATTTTGCATTTTAAGTGAGGTTGTCGTAAAAAATAAGTGTGACTGTTAAAAAATGATTTGTACACGTTTAACTGTTTAATATGCTAACGTGCTAAAACATCCCCATAACTTCCTGATGTGTTAATGGTCAGCACATAAACACATTATTAAGAGCTTTCTGTTCATGACAAATGATTTCTTACTTCCTGAAGGAATATGGAAACTAGGAGGTATTTTATTGTTTGAAGAGGAAAAATCATAAAAGTGTTGCTTAAGAAATATCCATTAGTTATGCCTTCTAAATAGTTATGTCATTTGGCCAGTATCGGTTTTTAATGGACTTAGCACGTGAATAGTAATTAATGGGTTTTTATATTCTATTTATATTCATGGTGCTTCAAAAATGGGTCCCAAAAAAGTGGGTCAAAATCAATAAAAATGAAACTATGGCCACTGAATCTTTGGGCCAAATAATCTATTTGAATTACTGAATTATTGAAACACCTTTGTAAGTTTAAAATTTTATTAGGAAAAGAGCCTACTTCAGATAAATTAATATTTCCGGTGTGGGGCTACTGTCATCACTGTCCATAAACGGTGACGTGATTCATTTCACACGGCCCGGCGGCCAGCTGTTTGCGGTATCACACACCGCACTGGTCCCGTGCCCAGCCCGCTGCGGTATCACACAGGTCACACTGGTCCCGTGCCCGGCCCTCTGCAGTATCACACAGGCCACATTGGTCCCGTGCCCAGCCCTCTGCAGTATCACACAGGCCCGTGTGATACTGCAGGGGGCCGGGCACAAGACCAGTGCAGCCCGTGTGATACTGCAGTGGGCTGGGCACGGGACCAGTGCAGCCCGTGTGATACTGCAGGGGGCCGGGCACAGGACCAGTGCAGCCCGTGTGATACCGCAGTGGGCTGGGCACAGGACCAATGTGGCCTGTGTGATACTGCAGAGGGCCGGGCACGGGACCAATGCGGCCTGTGTGATACTGCAGAGGGCTGGGCACGGGACCAATGCCGCCCACTTGATGCCATGGGCTTCTCCAAGGGCACGTTGGTTCCACTGCTGGTGTTTTATGATTGCCAAGAGTTTGTTGTTTCTGCCCTTCTTATTGTAACAAAGGAATTTACTTAAATATTAAATAACAAACTAGTTAAAGAAGAATGCATCAGGAAATGTGTTTCTGTGAAGGTCGGTCAGAAGATTTGATAAAATAAAATTAATAGAAAAGCTATTTGATTAAGCATAGCTAAGATAATATTTAAAAAGTTAGAGGAAAACACGGATTAACATGTAGAAGGATACCATTCGCAGACTGTTCCATGAGCATCTTTAAGCAATTGGCCTGTTTCAGAGAAACCAAAACCAGAAATCGTTGACAGTGCCTTGGGCAAGACAGACAGAATGAGCTCCGCACAGTAGACCCTTTCCCAAAGAAAGACGCGGGTCTATCTTCCAAGATCGAAGAGTTGGTGTGCATCTATGTTTCAAGTTCAAATGAAATGTCTAAAAGGTTCATGTATCCATTTCTTGTTCGTTGTGTCTGATCCCTCCTTTCAACTAACCAACCACTAACTCTGAACCATCAAATGGATGTGGGAGCTTCCTCCCTACTGTGAAAACAGTAAAATCAAATGACACATAGAAGCTAAATATGTTACCCCTAAATGTTCAAGACCCAAACGGAAGGATAATAATGAAAAAAAAAAATCAGGAACCTTGGTTTTGATGACAAAAAAGGAGAAGCAAAGTCACTGTGGGTGGTGATGGGAAGCCAACCCCAGGAAGGAGGGAATTCACAAGCAGAGTCTCACACACATCCTCTGGGTCTCTCTACCCTCTGGGAAACCTTCCGCAGGTCCTCACATTCCAGAAACAAAAGCCAGGGACAGTCTTGTCTTTCAGAAGCTGTTGTTTTCAGTCAGTGACAGAAGCCCCCCTGGAGTGAGGACAGAAGCCTGCCTTTCTTGTTGGAATGACAGGGGCGAGGGCATCACAAACAAACAAACAAACAAACAAACAAACAAACAGCTGTGCAAATTGGTGTCTTGAATGATCTAGTGTTCAGAAGACTTTAGAGAATTTGCTCTACGCTACAGACTACGTTTTAGGTGTTAGTATAGGGCCCTGTTATCAGAATCACCCAGGGCTGTTCAAGCAGATGGCTGAGACCCACGCCCAGGGTCTGGGGTGGGGCCGAGAATTTGCGTTTCTGACAGACATCCGGGTGATGCTGCTGCCGGTGGTTGGGAGATCCACACTTTAGGAACTACTGGCTGCTTTGGTACATGTTGGTATACTAGCATCCTGCATTGGTATCTCATTTTAGAAATTTTAATGTGCTTAAATATGTGATTGAAATGAACATTAGAGTTTTAACATCTAGAAAGACAAGATTAAAATAATTAAGTCAGACAGGGCTTAATGACCCCCCAGGAGGAAAACTGGGAAAACGCGGTTTTATAAAAAATATCAACTATCCGAACCTTGGGGAAAATGCGGACTTTTCTTTTCAGTCAGTTGGTCTCCATTCATGTAAATTGTGATGTATGTATATGTGATGAGGATCAAGCGTCCGAAATTACTTTTATTGAATGATGGCATGGCCAGTGCTCTAGGCTCAGGAGATATGTTCAATTACAGATATTTTTGATTGTGCATTTTGATTTTGATTGCACAAATAAGGTCCCCACTGTGGAGCTATCTGAGGCCATTTCTTTTTATTTTTCCTACCAGCCAGCACATCTCCTACCCTTGCCCAGCCTCTGCCATCAACTAATGTTTTTTTGGGGGGGGAGAGGAGAGAATGCATTTTCCGTTAATATTAACCCAAAGAAGAAAAATAAATATGTAATCATAGAATGTGTGTCAAAACAAATTTTAAACCCACTGTCTGAAGTTATTCCTCTTCTCGCTCCCCTGCTGGCCGTCACGGGGCTGGCACATGGACACGCGTGAAAGCGGAGGCAGTGTGTCCCAGCGACTAGTCAGACAGGTGAGCGCTGCAAGCTCACAGCTCAGTCTTTGTTTTTTAATAAGTCTTTGTTTTTTGGTATTGGCATTAGTGAATTCATCTGTTCTCTTTATTTTTTTCTTTGTTTTATTGATTTTTAGAGAGGAAGGGAGAGGGGGAGAGAGAGGGGGAAACATCGATGAGAGAGAACATCGACTGACCGCCTCCTGCGTACCCCCACTGGGGATCAGGCCCACAGCCTGGGCATGTGCCCTGACTGAAAATCGAACTGGCGACCTCTTGGTGCAGGGTCGACACTCGAACACTGAGTCACACTGGCCCGGCTCATCTTTTCTCAGTCTTGAATTATTTAAAGAAAAGAAAGCCTTAGATCACCTATAGGAGATGTCACCAATTGATATACACAAATACCCATGTGTACACGATGCTGAACTTACATTTGCCAACATCACAACACGCTCTACCCACAATGGCAATTTCGTATGGTTCAACTAGACATTGTGCAGCAAAAACAAGGACAGATGACTTTTTTCCATAAATAAATTTCTTAAAATTCTCAAAATTCTTAAATACAATGAGAAAAATGTACGTGCACCTGACAGTTCTATAGGCAGCAGCTGCCCCCTTATCTACTCTGTTTCTATTGCTACATCACCACAGGACCTCATCACTCCTAATGATGAGTGTTCAGTGGTCCAAGAACCGAAAACGATGTTTGCTTTTGCCCGGTCAGTTGGGACTTACTGTGCTGTTTTTCCACAAACCCTCTCTCTTTCCCTCTTCCTAGGGCTGCTTCTGCACGGACAAAGGCCAGTGCTTCTGCGGTGGGACCAAAGGGGACAAGGTAAAAATAAAGCTTCATTCCGCGGCTTCTCTCCACGGAGCTCATCCAGAAATTCACACTCTCCTTTCATTGAGAGCAGGAAGATCAGCAGTATTCCAGTCCCCAAATCCAATGTCATAGTTACTGTATATAAACATTAACCTGAAAACCAAAAATTGAGGCTTGAGATAACTTATGTAAGTACTGGCAGTTATTTTAACTCTCTTGGCCTGTAAAGAAGAGCAAGTTAGCAAAAAAGAAAGTTTATGTATACTCTAGTTACAATGTTGCCAAACACGAGAGAACAACTGGAAATAACTTGATTCACTCACTTTGACATAAAATAAACATGGAAACAAACGCTCACATTTGAAGTCCTGAGGCGCTGGTGCAGGCGCGCCCCCTAGTGGAAGAATTCTATAGCAGCACTCTAGTTAGTTGCAGACATGGAGCCAAGTGGCTCCATTGCAGAATTCAAGGGAGAAAAAAAAAAAAAAAAAAAAGGATGCCGTGAAATCTCATTCATTCGCTCCATTAACTTGCAATTTGTGATCATTAAGACAGAGGCAGAACTAAAGTTTTGTCTTTGTTTACAAAACCCTTTCCTCAGACACACAAATGATTACCTAACAACATTGAAAGGTGGCTGCTTACAAGTATTTGTAAAAAAACATATTTTCAGCTCTTTAGACAAAATAATTTCCATATAATTTATATGCTTATTATAATAGTTATCATTATATTTACTTTAAATTATTCCAAAATTCATGTGTAGTTTGATTTAGTGCTCCTCACCCCCCACCCCAGAAGCCATTAATATAGTAAACTCAGATCCATGTCGGAAAGCTGTAATTCATTCTCACATTCAAGAAGCACTGTTGTGTCCCTACTATGTGCAAGATGCTATTCTGGGATGTGTGAAGGTACCTGAGCACTGAGTGGAGTTTAGCAAATTCTTTTATTTCTCTTTTTATTGGGTGTGTGTACGCTGACTTGATCTTTAATCTGCCAATAATATAACTGAATCAACTGGTAGCCTAACCTGTTAAAGAGAAATTCCAGGTTCCACGTCCATGGGAAGATCTTTGTTGGTAGAGAACCATGTCACACATTACTAGGGACTTTCCCATAATATCATCCGATTCTTTAAAAAAAAAAAAACATTAGCCCACACTGGACATTTATGCCACAGTTGCTATCGCTCCTGTATCTCCTATGCAGATATCAGATTGATTTACTAATTCCTGTGGGATCCAGAAAGGACTGAGCCCCACAGCCTGCGTGCTGTTCTTTTCCAGCTACAGAGCAGCTGCACACTCCCAAACCCATCGGAGCGCCCTCTCCTGGCTCCCTCCACCTCCCAGCAAACACACTCCACTGACGCACTTTTCTCTCTGGTTTCCCCTCCGTTCTGGATTTTGTCCTTTCTCCCTGCTCTGTGAGCTCTGCCATCAGGGAGCAAGTTCTTATAGATCAAGGGCCTGTAGAAAAATGCCAACAGCCGGCAAAGCTTTCCAATTCCTGCTACACTCACTGCTGAAGGCTAAGTTTGTGTACAACTAAGGGGGAAAATATGCAAAATATTATCAAGTCATAAAAAACAACAACAATGGTTAAAGCTATGTATGTTGTGAAGAGTTTCTGTTCTGTGTCTTTTTCATATTGTTTTGGTTTTAATAGGGTGAGAGAGGTTTTCCCGGGCCCCCTGGATCTCCTGGCCAGAAGGGATTCTCGGGTCCTGAAGGCTCGCCTGGACCACAGGGACCCAAGGTACGTCAGCTGTGAGGCTGAGGAATCCTCAGTCCACCCAAGCTTTTTTGTGCCTACTGCTGGGCTGCTGAGGACATGGAGAGAATTCCCCATCATAGCCTATTGGAGGGTGTGGCAAGTTCCTGCGCCCCCTCACATCAGCCTCCCGTTCCTAGACCATCGCAAATGATTCTTCTTATCCTCAAGTCCCCTACTCAGCTCCCTCCTCCTCCCCAGTCCACACAGCCCTGCACCTGCATGGGCCCTGCCTTCTTTTCTCCTACACAGAATGGGGAGTTCTTTTCACCTTCTGTTCAGGACCAATCCACCCACCTGTATTCTGCTCACTAGGATTACAAGTGTGGCCTTGTTTCAAGAGGTATTGCCTTTGTCTTGGGACATTCTGTTCTTTTGATGTTGGCTTTTTTCTTCCAGTCCTTACACATACCAATATTTCCAGATATTAATATAAAACTCCCTTGAGATCTTGCAGTTCCTAATACCAAAGGATTGCCATCCTTCCCCTGCCTTTCCTTTCTCTGTCCAACTTCTTTGAAAAATCGCTAAACAGCCCTGGCCGGTTTGGCTCAGCGGTTGGAGCATTAGCCTGCGGACCAGAGTCCCGGGTTCAGTTCCTGCTAGGGGCACGTACCAAAAAAAATTGCTAAAAGTGCTGGCTCTCGTTCTTCTCCTATTGACTCCTCAGCAGATGCTAATTTACCTTCTATTCTCTCCTGGAACACTCCTGCAGAGATCCCCTATGACCTACCAGTGGCCAGTGCCAGTAGATGCTTCTGTGTCTTCTTCTGACCTGAACCCCTCTGCTTTGTTTCAGAGATCGTGGAGGGAAAACTCTCCTCTCCTTGAAACCCAGTCTTTGTTTCTGGAATCCTTCTTTCTCAGATTCTCTTCTTGTTTCCTGCCTGTCTCGTCTTTCTCGGGCTCCTCTTTCGCAGGTGACCCTTTAAACAGCAGGGACCTGAAGGTCCCGACCAGAGCCTACCGCCCTTCACACTCCACTCATCACACATCCCCCCCCCCCATTATTTGTTCAAATAGAGTGGGAGGGAGAGAGAGAGAGAGAAACATCGACGTGAAAGGGACACATCGAGTGGCTACCACCCGCACGACCCAGCCAGGACCGGGGACAAACTGCAACCGAGGTACATGCCCTTAGCGGAACCGAACCGGGGTCTCTCTGGACCACGGGCCGACGCTCCAGCTGCTGAGCCAAACCGGCCAGGGCTCATCACACATTTTTATCCGAAAGTCTGTGCTGCAACAATGCCCCCGAGGATTTGCCGAAGCACTCGGATCCACTGGCCTTGCTGATGGCTCTTTCCTGCCGGGCGTCAGCGGGGCCTCACACCCTCCATGGTCCCGCCCGACCGCTGGCCTCCAGCCAGCTATGAACTGACTAGGACATTACAAAAGACAATCATAATTGATCTCCACACAGTCTTTTCAAATTTCATAAAGATTGTACAGAATGCTGACATGGTCGTCAAAGGCAATATTTACCGCGAGTTGACACCGAGGTGGGCACTGGACCTTGTGTTCCCGAGTGTACCTCACTTCCCTCTCACGGGGGTTCCAACCATCGTGGCTCTGGGCTTCATACAGTTCTTACTATCGTCTCCGTTTTATGGATGAGGACAGCGACACTCAAATTACCTAAGTCATTCGTCCTGGGTTACACGCCACCCGCCTGTCTGTGACGCCAGAATCAAACCCCTTAACCCAGGAGGCTCAGCCCACAGTGCAGTGTCCACGTCAAGCTGCCAAGGTGGGTGTTTTCCGGAATCCCACCATTTCCTGCCCACCGGGCAGGGCCGCGTTCGGCTTCTCCACCGCTCCTTCCGGGTCCTCACGGGGGACAAGTGTGGAGTCCGGACACCCCAGCTCTGCCTTCGGACATCCCGCTGCCTCCCTCCAAGGGGTGAGCCACCTTGGCCTCCAGGAATCCTCCACTCCCACCGTGCTTCCGAGCAGCTGAGCACCAGCTCCTGCCCTCCCGTTGGGTTCCCCACACCCTGCTCCGCTTGTTTCTTTCGGATGCCAGCAGGACATTCAGGTGGCAGCTGTGAGCGCAAGGTGCTCCTGAGTGACAGGGCGCGGGGATTCCGCGGAGCTAACCCAGACGCGCCCCGTTCACGCGGAGGTCGTCTGTTCAAGCACAGTTTATAGAGGCAGCCACACAGGATCGTCAGCTACAGGGCACACAGTATCAACCCCTCAGCCAAAGATTTTTCAAATGTATACACTCCCTATCTTGCTTTCACATCTTTTTTTTTTTGCATGAGGATATCTCCAAGGGGGGAGTACAACCCCCAAGCCCCTCCTGTGTCTTCTGCAAACACGGAGAACATCCTGCGAGAAGAGGTCATGGTCCCACGCCAGGGATTTCACCTCCGCCAGGGAAGGGTGACTTTGGCCTTGGCAGTCCAGGCTCAGAAGACTCTGTAACAACCCTTTTCTGAAATAATTAGAGACACCGAATCATACTGAAACTCTCAGGAATGATGACAACAGCTTTGGGACAATGGAACTTTCCCACCGGTGGCCTAGTTAAAATAGTATCCATTTAAGGTTATTATTCTCCAAGAAGCAGGGCCTCAGACCGTGTTCATTCTGCGCCCAAAGCAAGTTTGTCTCTGGTTCAGGCAGCCCTTACTTCGCGGGGTATTTATCTTGCATGCCAGGTACATTTTGTTAATAAAGGATTTCTCCCTCACAGGAGTATTGGCTGCCATTCTCAAACACCATCATAACTGTCCCTCCTTCTTATCAGACCTCGGCAGCCTTCTGGCTACAGTAGGGATTTTACAGCAGAACTTTTCAGACACTAATGTGAACAGGAATCATCACTACATCTTGTTGAAAAGCAGATTCGGAATCAAAAGTTCAGGGAGGTGGGGAGCCCTCAGATTCTGTTTTTCTAACCAACTCCCAGATGATGCTATTATTACACCCTTACTTTGAGTGGCAAGGGTTTGAATGAAACTTTCTTTGTCCTTACTGATAAATATTTTAGCTGCAATGAAACAAGCAAGTAACTGACCCATGTTTACAATGAAATAATCACAATAGTAAAACTGTTTGGCGTGTCAATAAAACTGGGACCTTTCATTTATGGATTTTTTTTTTTTTTTGGTGCCAAATGATTTTCTTCCTGTTTTCTTTTGTTTTTCCACTTGGATCTAGGGCTGTCCAGGACTTCCAGGACTCACTGGTCCCAAAGGTGTAAGGGTTAGTAGTCCAACCCCTCCATCCTGATTGATTGGTGAATTCTTTAAAAAAGGGGGGGGGCGGGGCTGCACCGTAGAAGTTATACACGTCACAAAGGAGTACCTTGTGTGTGGTGCACTTCTATAGATGAAGTTCGAGAACAGGTAGAATTAGTCTATTACGGTAGAAGTCAAAATACTGGTGACTCTGTGGGGCTGGTATTAACTGATGGAAAAGACACGGGAACCATCTGGGGTGATGTTCTGTGTCTGGACAGGGCGGTGTTAACACCAATGTGTACAAATGCACGTATCAGTATCCATGGGAGATTGGTGCACTGTACTATAATCAAATGATACCTTTAAAGTCTATGCCCCAAAAGCCTAAAACACTCTTAATCATCTCGTTTAAAAATGAATATAAATGTGAAGTTTACAAAGCTTGTCAAACCCTTTTTGTGTGTTTCAAATAGTTTTTAGCTGTTTCCAATTAGAGTGGCAGGACGGGGTTGTTGGGGTGGTAAATACTTTTCTGTTTATAAGATGAACATTTAAAAAGTGTTTTTCTTGCCACCCTTCCCTTTCCTATACCTTTAGGGAATAACTGGACTACCAGGATTTTCGGGTCCTCCCGGACTGCCAGTAAGTAATGGAAAAAATGTGTAACTGGAAAAATAAAAAATAAGCTCATCGTAATAAACATGTCAGCTCGGCCGGTGTGGCTCAGTGGCTGAGCATCGACCCAGGCACCAAGTGGTCACCGGTTGGACTCCCAGTCAGCACGTGTCCAGGTGGTGGATTAAATCCCCAGTGGGGGGCATGCAGGAGGCGGCCAATCGATGTTGTCTCTCATCAATGTTGCTATCTCTCTCTCCCTCTCCCTTCCTCTCTCTAAAATCAAGAAAGAAAAATAAGTTGCTTTAAAAATAACAAAACCTGTTAAAGCAATAGCACAAGGAAATAGGTATTGATAAATTTACTATATGATGAAAATGACAGAGTAGAATAGCATAATATGATAGAGTGTGAATTGGTAGGTCATACAAATCAAGTTGTATTTCCTGAAAACCTAGATTAGAATAGAGTAGAAGAGAATAGATGAGAAGAATGGAATGGAATGGAATGGAACTATTTAATAACATATAATTATAAAATAGTTATCTCTGTGCATTACCCTCTCCTTTTTCCTTTCCTTTCTCCCAGTTTTAAACGTATGTTAAGGGATTTCTTGTTATATTGAAAGGCCTTCTGTGTTATTTAAAGTATCTGTATCTCACTTGATAATTTTTTATCTTCATTAACCCATTTTATTTGCTATGATTTTTGTTTAAATTATTTTCTAAACTGACCACATTTATTACTTGATTATTTAAATAGCCATTTATATTTAAATAACTCTCTGAATTGACCCCTCTATCCCGTCACTTTGGCTCCCTCGCTGTTTCCACCTGCTCCCAGGGCCTGGTTGTTCTGTCTCCTTTTTGACACTTGCTCTGTTTGCAGGGCCTCCCAGGCCTCCCTGGACCGTACGGTCTTGCTGGTCTACCAGGATGCAATGGTTCTAAGGTATGTACTTCTTACACAGGAGATGATCAGCAAATGTTCTGCTGAATGAGTCAGTCAAGGTGCAGCAATGACATGGCTAGACTTTCCTTGAAACATTCTTTTAGCCAGAACCAAGAGTCCGTGTCTTCAGGGCAGAAATGTGATGTTTGGACCAGGAACCTCCCTATTTCCTTTCTTCCGATGCCTTGGTTTCTGGCTGGCTTTTGAGGAAGTTTTCTCATATTCGCCCACAGAGAGATAACTGGTTATTTTCATTGGAGGTGGTGAGTGTATATAAATAAGAAGCTCAAGCTTAGAAGGTAAACTGTGTCTTTGGAGAAGGACTGAGCTTTCTGATGTGCGTTCATCTCCTTCGTCTCCTGGCTGCCGGCTCCTCTTCCCCAGAGCGGTGGCCAGGAAAGAACCAATCGCTGACGTTGCAAGGAAACAGCAATTAATAAGTTCTTGGCACAGTTAGACTTTCGCCATTTATGCATAATTTGAGAAACAACAGACTCTAGTCCTGTTTTCAGGGAAGATCATGGTTATCTGGCCTTCAGCCTCATGACCCAGTAGCCACAGGAACTTAGTTGCTTTGTCTGGATTTACCACTGCTGGGCTGGAAGTCAGAAACAAGGCAGACAGCTCAACAGGCTGTTTCAGAACAACTAGGAAGAATGACAAGCATTGTACGTTCTTTCTTCCAGGGTGAGCAAGGGTTTCCAGGATTTCCGGGGACACCAGGCTACCCAGGGGCCCCGGTAGGTTTGCATTTATAACTCCCCATCAGAAACATCAAGTAGAATGTAAGCAGTTTATTCCAGAATGGCCATGCATTGAAATCCATCTGGGGATATCTGGAGCAGCCAATAGCAAACACTAAGCTGAGAGTTGGGGAATGAATGAGTTATGAGTTCAGTTTGCACTTTGAGACCTTTCTTTGTTTTATTTATTTTTTATTTTTTATTTTTTTTAATCCTCAACCGAGGACATTTTTCCATTTTTTTGTTCAGATAGAGCGGGAGGGAGAGAGAGGAAGAGAGAGAGAGAGAGAAACATCGATGTGAAGGGACACATCGAGTGGCTGCCACCCGCACGACCAACCAGGGCCGGGGACAAACTGCAACCGAGGTACGTGCCCTTAGCGGGAACCGAACCCCGGTCTCTCTGTACCGCAGGCCGACGCTCCAACCGCTGAGCCAGACCGGCCAGGGCCCTTTCTTTGTTTTAAAGGCACATGGTGCAGCCATGTAATAGGCAGGGGAGGGTTCTGGGAGGGGTGACTCAGGAGTGAGAGCGAGGAGGGGGCTTAGAACCAGGATGTAGGGAGCTCCGGCACACAGTGTCTGGGTCAAGGAGAATAAGCCTATAAAGAAGAAGTGGCCTGGTGATAGGAGACCAGGAGGTGTGTCTGGCGGAATCCAGGAGAAACACATTTCAGTAGAGGGAGCGGCAGATGGCCGCCTAGCACTGCTGAGAAGTCCAGTCAGACGAGAACTGACGTCTGTCATTGATTTTGGCAATGTCAAAGTCATGGCAGACCTTAGCGAGGGAGAATTTTCTGGTATACAGAGGCGGGTGGCAGATGGGGACCGGAGAAGGAGTGGAGATGAACAGAACAGGATGTGTGTAGATGACATGAAGAGATGGGGTGGTACTGGGTCGGGGGCGGGGACCCAGGGAAGACCCTCCAAATGGGAGTGGCTTGAGCAGTGGTAAAGCCAGGGGAAGGTCACAGTGGCGGGGAGCTGGGGTAGCAGAGAGAAGCAGGATGTTGTTCATTTGATTGGCATCTGGTGGTTCATATTCCACTTCCTTTCCTAGGGTGCCACTGGTGTAAAAGGAGAAAAGGTAAGTCATTTGTGGAGTATTATTACTGAAAAATCTCTAATTGTACATAGGAAAGGGATTCCTACTAAATAATGAGATAAAGTTACAGATGAGATTTCATCATCAGTCCAGAAACCGCAATAATTGTGGCATTATACTCATTTCTATCGAACAAGTTCCATCTTTTATCATAAATGTGTCTTTAAAAATACAAGTTTTGTTTCATCCTTGGAGGGAATAGAGTCTAGGAGAAAAGAATTGACCTCATGGCCGGGGCCCCACGTTCCAGATCCGGAATTGCCCCTGATTCTGGTATCTTGGGAAATGCTCTATCATCCTATGTCTTTCTGCTTTCCTTCCACAGTGAATGGTTGATGGTAGAAAATATGAAAATGCGTTGAATTCTTCAAAATGGAATAACTACCTACCCCCAAACCGTTTCTCTAAGTGCATACCCTGGTGTCCACAAGAGAACATCCAGACCTTTACAAAATTTTGTGAGAGTTTATTTGAGCCAAATTGTCGAGGACATGCCCAGAAGTAAGCGCTCAGAGGATGGAGAAGACCCTGCAGAGAAGGCAGTTAGTTTTCAGCTCCCTTTATGAATTTAGAACCAAAGGAGGGACTTAAGGAAGGTGCATGAAATCCACTGGTGGTAGATTAAGGGGGCGAGAGAAAGCACAGCAAGGGAATCCTTAGGATTGGACAAAACAGAGAAACACATCCTTCTTCACTCTGGTGGGTGCAGGATGGTAAACACTACACGAGTGGCGATGACACGTGGGAAACAAGGTCACAGTGTGGGATTCCGTGGTGTCATGTCCCCATGCCAGCAGGTGTGCCTTTGGGGGTCTAGAGAAGAAAATGACTCTGGCTTTCCAAAGGTATATTCTCTTAGATGCAGAGCTCAGTTAAGGTAAAAACTGGCCTTTGCTAAAGAAGCCACAGGCCTGGGAGGTGGCTACTCACCATGACCTGCCCAGTTCAGAATTTGTGATCAGACCATCCTGTGTGGTTACCTTTTTTTTTTTTTTTACATTTGTATTGATTTCTAGAGAAAGAGGAAGGGAGAGGGAGAGAGAGAAACATCAGTGTGAGAGTGGAACATCTGTCAGCTGCCTCCTGCACGCCCCCTATTGGGGATCGAGCCCACAACCTGGGCATGTGCCCTGACCACCGGCAACCTTTCGATGTGTGGGACGATACCCAGCCAGCTGAGCTGCACTGGCCCAGGCCTGTGTGGTTACTTTTGGTCACTGAGCTTGTGAAGCCTGCCACGTGGCCCCTCGGAGCTTATCAGGGTGGTTACAGAGCCCCTTTTTCATTCACACTGAAAAGCACCTGTGTCCTTGAAGTGGCATGACCTTGAAAAGGCATGAAAAGCAGTTTTGAAGACATAACATTGATTCTGTTCGATGAACTTCATTTTCAAGGGTGAGCCTGCTGAAGGAGAAGATGTAGAACTTGATGGAAAAGGTGACCCCGGGCTGCCAGGAGCTCCAGGATTCCAGGTACAAGCACCAGCACCTCAGAGAACAGCCCTGCCAGTCCAGTGCCCCCCACCTGTCTGTCTGTCTGTCTGTCTGTCTGTCTGTCTGTGCTGGGTGCTCTCTTTCCACCTTCGGTCTTCCCTCTCTCTATTCCCTATGTCTTTCCCACTCTCCAGAGAACTTTTAATAGACATTCCTATTTCTTATGTTTACACCTGCGCCTTGTGTTCTTCTCATTCACCTATGATAAGAAACCACAAGAAGCTGATGTAGAAGGATGATTTGTGCAGATGTCTCTTCTTCTCTTCCTAAGCCCCAGTGTCCCAAGCTTTCCTAAATCTAAGGTAGAATCTCTAAGGAAGAGTCAGGTTCCGCTGCCTCTGTATTTGTTAAACTCAAGGCTAGGTTTGTATCATCCATTGAACACAATTTAAAACTGTAATGTCAAGTAACAGCTCTATTGTACAATGTGCATGGTCTTAGATAAGTGGGTTTTATGTAAACTGCAGCCATAAAGAGAAGGCGTCATGCCCCTCAGACATTATTAAAATGTTTGAATGCCCTTCACGAATGGACATTGTTCTTAGGTGAGAAGTATATTTACTCATATTCATCTCTTAATTTAAAGGGTTTACCGGGCCTTCCAGGTTTCCCCGGCCCTGTCGGCCCACCTGGCCCTCCGGGATTCTTCGTGAGTACAAAGTCACCATTGCTGTAGGCACCATACACTTCACTGATGAAAGATTTGTAGCTAACTTTTTAAAACAGTTTTCCGGCTTCGTGCATTTCCTGCTGTAATTTTAATTTGTGGATTTTTTTAGGGTTTACCAGGAACTATGGGGCCTCCAGGACTTAAGGTAAATTACAGTGCAGGTGTCCTATCAGCCACAGCATCCTAATCCATGTGAAAGCCCAACCCGCTGCTTCTGCACATGGGTCACTACCGGGCTCAGGACCTCACAAGGATTCCCAGCCGGGAAGGGGCGTGGCTGGGAAGGGGCGTGGCCGGGAGCTCTGTAGATCCTACCTCTTCTCTCCCTCCACCCCAGTTACTTGACGCCTGATACAAAGAGTCTTAATTCAATCACACGGAGCTCCTTATCAGAAAAAGGGCAAGGATTGCTAGTCCATAGGTTTCTTGTTTCTGATAATCCTACCGATCATCCAATATTTGTCCTATAAATTTTTATAGTGTGCTGTTTCCTGAACCCAATCCGATCTTATTCTGGTAACTATTCATGCGCTCACTAGGCAGGGCACTGCCTGTGTTTCTATGAAAAAGGCTAATGGTTGGTGTTGGGGAGAAAACAAGTTTTTCCTCTACTCTGTTAGGTTCAGTGACTGGGCCCTGCAAATTAAACTAACAAAAACGTATGATCTGGAGAAAAATGTTTATTTCATATGCATAGAGTGGCCTCACAGAAATGAACATCCCAAAGAGCTGGCATACCACTTGAACAAAGGGAATACCTTCGTAGAGAAATGACAGTACTTTGTACTTCTAAGGGCAGTAAATTGTGGGAAAGCAAATAGATGGGATTATTTCAATAAGGTTTACCTGTGCAGATTTAAATCAGTGCTGTCTCCATGATAAGAGTTGTCTCCTCTCCTTGGTGCTGGAGAGGGGAGGGGTAGCACCCTCTCAAAGGGAAAACTGTACTGTCTCTAGGCAGATTGAGGAGGGCAGATGACTTTTTCTGCATTTGCTATTTCTTAATTGCCTTCAACTCAAAATAATCCTATGCCAAAGTGTATATTTCAGGAGTGGCATATTTTGATCCCTGTCATTAGTTTAAATAAGGAAATATTAAGCCAGGCTGAACCCCACCAGGAAATTACTGCAGATGGCAAACAGACTTATGAAAAGGTGCTCAATATCACTGATCATCAGGGTAATGCAAATAAAAACACAGCAACTTATCACCTCATGCCTGTCAGAATGGCTGTTAATGAAAAGTCAACACATAACAAGTGTTGGTGAGGATGTGGACAGATGGGACCCCTGGCACACTGCTGGTGGGATTGTAAATTGGGGCAGCCACTATGGAAAACAGTATGGAGGTTCCTCAAAAAATTAAAAACAGAACTACCATGCGATTCATCAATTGCAGTGCTGGGCATTTATCTGAAGAAAACAAAAACATTAAGTCGAAAATATATGCACCCCGTGTCCATTACAGTATTATTTACAATAGCCACGACATGGAAGCAGCATAACTGTCCATTGAGAGATAAACAGATAAAGAAGAGAAGATAAATGGAATATTAGGCATCAAGAAAAAAGAATGAAATCTTTTCATTTGCAACAACGTGATGGACCCGGGGGTTTTAGGCTACGTGAAATAAGTCAGACAAAGAAAGACAAATGCTATATGATTTTAGTTCTATGCAGAATCTTTAAAAAAAAAATTAGCAACCAAAACAGAAACAGACTCACAGATACAGAGAACAAACCAATGGTTGCCAGAGGGGAGGAGTGAGGATGAAAACGGTAAAATGGAATATGAGGTACCGATTTCTCCTTATAAAATAAGTAAGACATGGAGATAAAATGTACCGGGAACAGAGTCAGTAATATCATAACAATTTTGTATGGTGACAGATGGTTCCAGACGTATACTGGTGATCGCTTTGTGGGGAACATAAATGTAGAATCATCATGTTGTACACCTGAAACATATAATACTGTATAGCAACTATATTCTAATTTAAATGAAAGAATATGTTATTCCAGGACAAAATAAAATGGCCACTGAAACCCTGGGGGAAGAAATTAAAAGATAAATGTTTAGTTACAAATATTAGAACTTTAAAGGTTTGAACAACTTATTCATATTCCTTTTTTTAAAAATGACTTGGTTTTGTATTTCTTGCAGGGTCACATGGGTGACAATGTGATTGGACAGAAAGGGGAGAAGGTAATGAAATGCTGTGGTTTATTTGTGGGCAAGATATTTGAAGTTCTATAGCAATTCGCCTCTGCATTTTATGCAAGTCACATTGAAATGAGTGCATCTGCTGTGTCTCAAACTCGCATTTGCTGTTTTCTTACGTAAGCACTCAAGGGGAAAGTAGATCTCTCTCTGGTCCATGGGCCGATGCTCTAACCGCTGAGCCAAACAGGCCAGGGCCGATCTCAAATATCGTCAGCGTGACGTGGTTTTGTTTTTAATTCTGCAGTATATTTGTCTTTAGGGTGTGAAAGGATTAACAGGACCCCCTGGACTCCCAGGAACTGTTATTGTGACGCTGACCGGCCCAGAGAACAAAACGGTAATTCTTCGACTGAACTGTGTGCCTTTCCATTTCCTTACCTTCTTCACAAGTCCTGTCATCTAATCCCAGCTCGGCGCCCTCAGCCTTACTGAGCCTCTCGGTTTTATTCCTTCCATATTTTTTTGTTGTTAATCCTCACCCAAGGATATTTTTCCACTGATTTTTAGATAGAGTGGAAGAGAGAAAGAGACAGAGATGGATGTGAGACAGACACATCAATTGGTTGCCTCCCATACACACATACTCCAACCAGGACCAGGGACCAAACCTGCAACTCAGGTATGTACCCTTGACCGGGAATCAAACCCACAACCCTTCGGTCAAAGGGCCGATGCTCTAACCGCGGAGCCAAACCGGCCAGGGCCCTTCCCTATTTTTGTTATATTTTTAACCCTCATTTTTGCATTCATCTTCAGAAAGAGTGGGAGGGAGAGAGGGAGGAAGAAAAGAGAAATATTGATGTGAGAGAGACACATCAACTGGCTGCCACCCACACGACCCCAACCGGGGCCCAGGACAGAGTGCATATGAGATACGTGTCCTTAGCGGGAACCGAACCCGGGACTCTCTGGTCCGCCAGACTGCTGAGCCAAACCAGCCAGGGCCCTTCCCTATTTTTCACTCACAGACCAGAAAACATGAAATCTGAAACAAGCTTCCAAGGTTCTTGAAGGCAGAGCCCAGGACCAGTTTTGTTCGCCCTTTGCCCTCAGCCCTTCTCATTGTCACTAACACAGAGCGAGTGTTCAGTGATCATTTTAAAATAAATTATTACAAAATGGGTGTGCAGCTCTGATCTAATTGGATGGCGAGAACCCAAGATATGAGTGGAAGGCTGCCATAACTATATGGGCCATCCTGCCATCATAACCTCAAGAACAGTTTGGCCCTCATTCCTCTCCAAGGACACCATGGTCTTTTACTTGGACAGTAACATCTGCTTGCAGAGTGCGAAGCTAAATCAAATGCTCGGAAGGAGTGAACCGCAATGTAACACACCAACTGCAGACACTAGGTCGACCCTGGACTGACTGGGAGGGCGGGTGCAGAAGCAAGGAGGTAGCTAACAATTTTCTAGTCAATTAATTAAAAAATAAACATAGCCCTGGCGGGTTTGGCTCAGCAGTTGGAGCCTCGGCCTGCAGTCCAGAGAGACCCGGGTTCGGTTCCCGCTAAGGGCATGTACCTGGGTTGCAGTTTGTCCCTGACCCTGGTTGGTCGTGTGGGTGGCAGCCACTCGATGTGTCCCTTCACATGGATGTTTCTCTCTCTCTCTCTCCCTCCTGCTCTATCTGAACAAAAAATGGAAAAATGTCCTCGGGTGAGGATAAAAAAAAACAAAAATATAAACCATTTCTATCTTATAAATATATAATTAAATGTGTTTTAATAATAGCTTGATAGAGGTATAATTCTCATGCCATAAAATTCACCCTCCTAAAGTATTCAATTCATGGGTTTTAGTAATAATGAATTTTTAACAGCTTTATTAGATATAATTCACATACCATAGAATGATTTAGTTAGTGTACAATTCAATGGCTTTTAGTATATAGAGTTTTGCAACTGTATCCACATTTAATTAGACCATTTGCATCACACCAAAAAGAAACCCTTAGCCATCACTCTCCTGTATAATTTTTTTTATTAATTCTCATCTGAGGATATTTTTCTACTGGTTTTCATAAAGAGTGGAAAGGAGGGGGAAGGAGAGAGAAAGAGAGAAACATTGATGTGAGAGAGACACATCGATTGGTTGCCTCCCACAGGACCCTGACCGGGGCTGGGGATTGAACCACAATCCTTTGGTCTCCAGGCCAACACTCTAACCACTGAGCAACCAACCAGGGCTCCAGTATAATATTTAATAATAGAAGTTTTTAAATCATAAGTTAAAACAAAACATAGTGAAATTTAATATCACAAAACTAATAATTCACATGAAAGACTGGGTAAAAAAGATTAAATTTTCCAGAGGTAATTAACAAAAATAAAATTAATAAAATTTAAAACTTTATTGGCTGAATATTGATTTTAAAAAATATTTTATCTTGACAAACTCTGGAAGACATGACACAGGGTAGGGGAATGAGTTTGAAAAAAAATGGTATCTTGGAGAGAAGACACACATTGAAAAAAATACAATCAATAAAATATGGTATAAGCAAAAACAAACTTGATTAATGAATCAAATCCTGGTTGTAATGTTTACTCAGAAAATGATTGATCGCAAGGAAGATAATGTCAATATATTACAAATGAAGGTAAAATACATTAAAAATGATGTGATTGTGCTTATAGAAAGCTGATTCAGAATTAAATCAGTTTAATGGAGTTTGATCAAAAAAATACTTTCTTTAAAAACAATATATTGTTTCAGTGGGTTCACAGGTATAAAATTCAAAATGTGAAAAATGATGATGTGTTAACAGTAGGTAGATAGGTATTTTTTAAATCCAGTATATTAAACAGATAGAGGACTTTTCCAAGTATATTCATTAAAGTCTTGTTTGATCTGTTTGTAACGACCTTTCATTGTTTTTTGTCACAGGAACTCAAGGGGGAGAAGGGAGACATGGGCGCCCCGGGCCAACCCGGACCTCCTGGACCCTCAGTAGGTCATTTAGAGTTGTGTTGTTCCTTTGGAATCCAAAGTAAAACCTTAGTGAACATTCCGATGTCTGATCTATCTTTAAATCTTAAGATGAGCTAAAGCTCACTGGTGTTTTGCCACAGAGGTCATAAACACACTAGAAGTATTTTATGACCACATCTAGCTAAAATCTTTGCACTGTCTCACATGTACCCAGTGTCACCCGTCTTAGAATTTATCTTCAATACCTGGCTTTTTAGCATCTGTTTTTTAATTAATTCTCATAAATAAGATTCCTCTCTTAGATGGTCCCTCATTTCAACATTTTTTAAATAGAGCAGAATAATCAGAAGGGAAAATGAATAAAGATCAATGTAAGTTGAAAATTAATAATTATAAAACTTGATGTAACTCTCATGAATGCAGGGACCACCTGGAGACTCATATGGATCAGAAAAAGGTGCCCCTGGAGAGCCTGGCCCACAGGTAACTGGGAAATTCAGTGTCATGTGCCACCTGGGTGGGTCAGCGTTCGGGTCTCTTTAGGTAGCAAGAATAAGATGACCAACTCAAACTAGCTTCGATTTTTTAAAAAATTGTAAAGGTTTAGGAAGTGAACTTGGTTTAAGTATTTGAGATGTTCAGGGCTAAACCAGGCTTCGGGGACTTCCGAGCCTGAAGCAGTGTGGGCAGGGCTCTGTCTCATTCCTCTTCTGCTCCTCTCTGGGTGTTTGCCTCATTCCCTCCTTTGCCAAATCATCTCCCACGCAGGGGCGATGGGGAGAAAGAGCAAGAGGTAGCGGCAGACAATGCTGGGCCAATGGCATCTGAGGAGAGAGAGTGTGTCTCCCTATGTCCTTATGTAAAATCCCACAGCACCACTATAATTGGCTCAGCATGGGCCATGTCTTCATTCTGGAAAAGTGACTTTGTCCAGAAGGAAAAGGGACCATGATTGGTCAGACCAGTGGGATGGGGTTACTGTAGCTGACAGCCCCATCAGAACCATGCAGAGAGGGGAGGACAGTCCCCAAAGGAAACAGCTCCCAAAGGGGCACTGTGACGAGAACAGGATGTGGGGAAGAAAACAGGGGCCCTCTCTCCCACCCAGCTCTATTTGGGAAAGATTTAAACACATGTAGTGTTTTAAAACTCTAAAAGTTATATGCTGGGGAAAGTATATTTTTCTGAGAAAAACACATTTGATATGGTTTTTAATTTTATCATGGAGAGTAACAGCCCCAGTGCTCATCAGTAGATAAGTGGATAAAAAGCAGTGGTACATTTACACAGTGGAATACTATGCAGCTATAAAAAAGGAGGATCCTTTACCCTTTGAGATGACATGGAAGGACCTGGAGAGTATGAAGCTAAGTGAAATAAGCCAGTCAGAGAAAGACAAGTATCTCATGATCTCCTAATATGTAGAATCTAATGAACAAAATAAACTGATGAACAAAATAGATCCAGTGACATGGAAGCATGGAACAGACTGGCAAATCTCAGAGGGAAAGGAGGTGGGGAAAGATTAACCTGAGAACGTATATGCATGCATGACTCATGGATACGGACAATAGTGCGGTGAGGGACTGCGGTGGGAGGGACGGAAGCAGGGTGCGGGGGGTCAATTGGGTGAAAAAGAGGGGACATCTGTAATATTTTCAACAATAAAAAAAGAATTTTAAAAACAAAAGTGAAAGAAAAAGTATTGTCCACCTTTGGGGAAAAAAATAGGTATTTTTTTCTGAGAAAAAATTTTCAATATGATTTTTAATTTTATCATGAAAGGTAAATAGTATAATAGTTCACCCAAAAGCCCTGTGATTAATAATGCATGCCCCTCTAACGACTGGGTGGACAGCCTCAGTCAGGCGTTCTTGCCTGCGGTCGAGGGGAGATGATGGTCTCATCTAAGGTTCCCGCGAGTATTAACGTTATCTGTACTTATTAGGGCGCATGTGTTTGTTTCAGGGGAAACCTGGAAAAGACGGCGCCCCCGGGTTCCCTGGCACTGAGGTAGGGGCGTGGTTTACCTGTCGATGCTGTTGATACAGTGGAATGTCAGTCCCATTAGGTGACGAAGGATTTTGAGTCACTGAGTAGTTACACGCTAACCAAAAGCGTGTAGTTTTAAAAAATTACATTTGAGAATCATAGTTTTACACTGTGAAGAGAGATCAACTGAGCGTTCTGTTCCCCAAAATGGAGTTCAACTTGTTTTGCTTCCAACAGAAGAAATGGATCCGCGTGTCTTCTGACCCACTCCCTCCGCTCTGTTCTTTAGGGAGCCAAAGGCAGCAGGGGATTTCCTGGGCTGACGGGCGAAGATGGCATTAAGGTACCCCCCTTCCTCGTGCCCTGTCTTGAGCCTTTTTCAGCTGGCTGACTTAGGACCAGTGAGACTCCAGCTCCTCACAAGGAAGGAGCTGGGTAAAGCCTGCGACTGTAGGAAGTGTCGGGTCACTGGAGGTCAGGTGTAGGCTGGGTGGCCCCGTGAGTCTCAAGCTGGATCATTATACACCGGAAGGTCATCCTCAATTAGCTGTGAAGTGTGTTCCACATTGTTTCTCTCCGACAACATGTTACAGACATATTCAAATAATTTTTATATGTGGGTATATGTGCAAATTCAAGGTTTATTCTATAATAACACCACTTCCAGTAGAATTCTGAAATGTCCTCTTGAGTGGGTAAGGAAGGGTATTGGTTATAGTTGGGGCTCTAGGAACCGCATAGCCTGGTGATCCTGTCCCTCTTGTCTGGGTGAGAACTTGGAGTGTGATATGAGCACCCTTTGAAGGTGGGGGAAGAACCTGGAAGCCTCCAGTGCAACCACCACCTCTTAGGGCCTTGTTGATTGGACTCTTGACCTAGATATGGTCCTCCAGGTAGATAATCTAAAATCAGTGGCCCTCGCACTATGACTGGGTTTGTGCATTCCATAGAAATGACATTAGTTTTAACACTGATTTTCTGTTTACCTATGTGTTTTGCTTTTTAAGGATACCAAATACGTCAATACTTGTGATGAGTGTACTTAGTTTGTAACTGTCTTTCACCATAGGGGTGGAAAGGAGACATTGGCCCTCCAGGATTCCGTGGTCCAGTAAGTGTAATTAAAGATATTGCTAATGTCATGTTTGATCAAGTCCTTCAACATATCAAGGGCATTTTGAATCAGAGTCTCTCATTAACGGTTATGATAGAGATTATAGTATTTACCTCTTTATCAAACCAGGGCAAAAATACAGCTGTTGTCATTATTTGTCCATTTGACAAGGGACACATATTTCTACTTGGTCCTCTTTGGTCTTTGGAAGGCCCTGGTAATGCTCATCCTGGGCTGCAGAGGGGAAGGGAACCTTTGTCTGATCAGACCTGGTCCGACGTGGTCCTGCGTCCTGAGCAGAGTAAGAGGACAGCTGGCCACCCAGGGGCGAGGCAGCCAGCTCCACCCCCTCCAGCTAGTTATGGCAACTGCACCTTCAGGCAGAGGAAGCTCAACCATGGGCTTTAATGCAGGGCCAGCGAACACCAGTGACCCAGCCCAAGCCCCGTCTCTGCAGGCCGTCTCCCCTCCAGGAGGACATGGATGATGGCTGTCAGCTCCTGGCTGCAGGGTGGCCACACTCCATGGAGAGGAATACAAGGGACCCAGGCTCTGAGTTCTTGTATCTGTTCCCCTCCTGTCTCAAAAGACAGTGGTTCTCACAGGTGGTGTCCTGAGCAGGGCTGCCATTTTTCTACTGTGTAGGTTTGACAGGTCGATCTATGGTGGTGAGAAGTTAGGGGGAAGGGGATGTCCTGAGGCTAACGCATCCCCAGACCCCTCAGACCCAGTAATGTAACTCAGTAACTGGAAGAGGATCCTGAAAAAAAATCTGTATTTTGACACCACAAGCAAATGATTCCAACGCATTCCAAAGTCATCCCCAATACCTTTATGGAGTTGCTAGGAAGATGAGGTGAACTACTTTGTGAGCACTGAGTCAACATCCGACAGGTGCACAGGTCGCTGGGGACTTGATGATGGAGATTGTGACATCGCTATCTTTGTTGTTATTAGGAATTCTTTCTCTGTGTGATTGTATACTTACTGCTTAACCACCAGGCTCACGTCACCTCATCTTTAAACAAGTCCACAAAGATTTGGCCCCGTGCAAAATATAAAAAAAACAAAACCGAGGTTTAAAAAACCAAACACTTTAATATTTTCGTTTTCTTCTCCTCAAGAGAAATGAATTCTAGGTGAAATCTACTTTTCCAGCCGTACTTTAGAAGACATCTAAGCATTTTTAGCTTCTTGTGTGTTTTCTTATGCTCAACTCAATGTAACCCTGCAGCGTCCACTAACTTCAGAGGAAATTCTGCTCAGGCAGCAGGTGGTTAAGACCAGAAGTGGGTCCACAGGACATGTCAGGAACAATAGTCCTCAATTATGGTAGGTCAGTGGTGTCTGAGAATTTAAAGGAACAGTCAACAGAGTATTTTTTGACATGTCGGTCCCAGCATACTCTAAAATAAATTCAGGGCGTGAGGAAAGGCATTGTTAAAAAGTGAAATAGAACAGAATAAAAAATATCAGAGAAGACGGTATGTCATAAGGTAAGTCACTATTTTGTGAAACTTTAATTTCTGTGTACATAGTCACACACACATAGACATTTCGTCCATATGCAGGTATGTGCGCAGGCTGGGTTGCATCATAAAACGTATTTCTAATTGAAAGCCCATAAAATATGTGATGCTGTACCAGAAAAATCAACCTGTATCTTTCAATGTATCCATCCTGTATACATGACTACCATATTTCTGCTAACACATACGCCTGTGAATTGAGGAAAACACGCAAAAGATCATTTGGGCCAAGAAGAAGAAATTAAAGAAATTGCATTTGGTGAATGTCCATAAATAGCTGCTCTTTCCCTTTCTTCATTTCTTTTTTCCTTTAAGACAGAATACTATGATGCATACCAGGTGAAGGGAGATGAGGGGCTGCCAGGCCTGCCGGGGCCCAAAGGCGCTCGTGGCCCACAGGGTGAGAATCAATTTCTTCCTAAACTATGCGCTGATCACGTCCATCTTTCTGTCGAGGTAACACAGCGTGTGCTCAGCGACCTCGAACGTGCAGGGGGGGAAGGGACGTCTCCTCATTTTCATGGATGGTGGTATTTTTTGGTGCCTCCTAATTTTCATACAAAACCTCCTATGATATTTTATATTTTCACACGAAATTTCACTTGAAAATGCCATGTAAACTTTTCTAGTAAAATGGTGTAGAAGATAATTAAATTATCTTCAAGTAGGCAATCATGAAGTTCGAGTCTGGAAGCAGACAGACAGGTCCGAGGGCCGGGGGGCGGAGGGGAGAAATCTGTAACCTCAGCAGGATTACGGCTGTGAAAATGAAGGCCTGACTAGCTGGGCTCCGAGCAAATCCATGCAAATAGTGACAAGGGGTGACGGAAGCCCTGGCGTCCTCACTCCTGGCACCGTGAATTAAAGACACACTAGTATTCTGCTCCTTTGGAGAGACTGGAAAGTCTAGCCAGGGGCCTCATCTCCAGCGGCAGACTAGAAAGCCCCGCGTGTCCCCCGTTAACCACCACATCAGGGTCCCAGCCGTGTGACTCTCTGACTTGTGAGGAGGAGGGGCAGACTGTGAAAGCACCTCAGACTACTCCAGCGTGCAGCGGGATCGAGAACCACTAATCTAGGCAAATGATTGATGTGGACGAGATGGCAAAGGAGAGTTTTGCTTAGAGAAAAAACTCCCAGTGCATTTAGCTAAGTGGACAGATCCATATAGACAAAGATACATATTTTTTTAAAGCAATGTTAGCGCTAGAAGTGAACTGCGGAGCCTTGACGATCTCAGCTGTTTGATCTTATATCTGAACCACTCCAGCAAAGTAGACACAGAGCAGGCCCTTGGAGAATTCCTGCTGAACTGTTTGAAAATGATCTGAGATTAGCTTCTTCTCTGCAGTGTGTCTCAACAAGTTTTCTAATATTTATTTATATGAGAATGAAGGAAAAGTATGAAAAATATTTATTATTCATTATTTTATTGTCACCCAAGATTTCAAAAATGGGGAGAGGGGAGTATTTATTTCTTCATAGCAATGAATTACTGTCCTGCATTCATAGGTCCCCCTGGTCCCCCCGGAGATCCTGGAAAGCCTGGTACGTACATATTTCGTGGAGTATCAGTAGAAGTGCTGTTAGAAAGTACAATATACTGCTCTCTAGTAAGTTTGCATTATTTACATAAGACAAATCTCTTATTAATTGGCATGAGGGTGTTTGCAAATTCTTACTTGTGAACCCTGTGACCTGTAGTGGAAATTGACTGAGTGTTACAGAAATGCTATTTTTCACTTGTCAGTGGTTCTAACTAAGTGTAAGACAGCAACTTGAGTGTATGAGCAGAAGCCTTGACACTCAGAGGAAGTATAGAGATAGAAAACAATAGTTGGATGGTAATTAGGTTTGTTAAAAATGACAGTTTTCAAGTTGCATTAGAATTCATAAGTTATACTTTTTATGTGACATTTTAAAATGTACAGTATATTGTTTATGGTTATATAGACAACTCCATAAAGTGCAGGAACATCCGTGAGTCATTAGTGTAGTTGCCTCTTGGGAAAAGAAGAATAGAATCAAGGATGGTTACACAGAGACCACAGTATGAATGTAACGCTGTAATGTGTCATTCTTTTTAAAAAAGGAAACTAACACGAAATAGCAAACATTTGATAAACCTTACCCATCCATTATATTTTTCTTTATACTATGTTATGTATTTAAACTATTTTATAATTTGGAAAATGAATTCTAATTAAGCAGATTGCAGAAGTATATGTATATTATCATCCCTTTGTAAAAATAGGTGAACGGATAAATATTACATGTACTTGCATATGCATGAAAAAATACACATCCAACGAAACAGTGGGTATCTCTTGAAGTTACAATGGGGCAAGATGATATTTAGAGGTCTGGCCAAAGACTACAGAAGACTTCTCTCTCCCTGCCAGGCCCCTAAGTAATGAACAGACTCCTTCAAAAAGCCAGTGAGTGAACATTACAAACCTCTAACACGGTGTCAGAGGCATTCACCTTTATGCCAAAATCCTTCTGCGAAATAATCAGAAACAATCAGATGTTACCCTTGCTGGTTCTCAGCCCCTTGGTGGTGAGGTCTTGCTTCTTAACTAAACTGTTTCGGAGGCAGGGATTCAAGACTGCCCCCTCCTCACATCCTCATCATCTTAGGAGACACAGATGAAAGGGTTTTGTACCCCTGGGCCTGGCTTCTCTGCCAGGAGGTGCCTCCTCCCCCACCACACCCTTTTATACCTGAGACAGTTGGCAGGAATAACGTCCAGTTACAACTTTCTCTCTTCCTTCTTTGAAACACTGCAAAGGAGGCATCTCATGGTCTCTAATTTAAAAAAATATACAAGATAGCATATGTTGAAGAATTTCTCATGAAGTCCTTTTAAATTCAAAGACTACTGTGTATCCCAAACTCCGTTTCAGTCTCTTGTAATACATGACATCAGGTATCTCGTGGGCACGGAGAACTCTGAGCTGCTGCACTGCCATCATTTTATAAGGTCACAAATGAAGAAAGGAAGATATTCACTTTCTACTTTATATGTTATATACCTTTCGATTGTGCAATTTTTATTCATTAGAATACATCACATTTCGTGATTGAAAAATAACCATATATTAATCAGAAAAAAATTTTAAATATAATAAAATGATTATTTTTCTCCAAGGGTTATCAAGGCCTGGTCTCAGAGGACCCCCTGGACCACCGGGCATGAAAGGAAGTAAAGGGGTGCGAGGACCCCCAGGAGAGACTGCAATGGGGTCTCCCGGGGCCCCAGGTTGTCCTGGTTCATCAGGGCTTCCAGGACCGCCAGGACCTCCAGGACCACCAGGTAACGATGCCTACTGGTTCCCACTTTGTGTGCGCTGCCCAGTGACAGGTGTGTGCAAATCAGAGGTGGTGGTCCTTACTTGGAGCTTGGCCACCAGCCTGCGTGGGTCTTAGGAGTGACCCTTCTGCTGGTGTTTCCTTGCATCGGCCATCTGTGAAAACGACTAGGGTGGAATGACCACTTGACGTGCAGCAGACCTCAGCCCTGAGTCCCCACAGGCTGCAGAGTGGGAGGCGGGGACAAGAGTCGCGAGGCAGGGAAGGACTGATGGTTATCAAGCTGGCCTAGGCCAAGGGCAACTGTTTGTTCAGTCCCTGAAGACTGTCTTCCAAGAAGCTGTGCAACTTTGTCTCAGGACACTCTGTCCCAGGGAAGAACGAGGCAAGAGTTTGCCCACCAGCTCCTGTTTCTCCTGGGTCAGATATGGCTCCCACAGGACTGAACTGACCGCCCCACACACCCCCAGGTTGTGTTTGCTGGCTCCCAGGGCATCCCATGCTTTGGCACCAGCAGGGAGGGCCCACGCGGGAGGCCAGAGGTGTGCAGTGGGGGCACGAGGAGAGGTGCTGCCAGTGGGGGGGGGGGTTGGAGGCCGCAGAGCCGTGGCCCCCCCAGTTCTGAAGTGGTACCTGGAGGTCCCAATGCAGGTGTCCTTTCCTCTCCATCTCTCCGGGGCCACCTTGCATCCTGTACTAGCTGACAGGTACATAGACTCTGTGAAAATACAGGTCACTCTTTGTATTTTAAATTCCCTTGCTGGAAGGTGCCTGGGAGGTCTTGGGATTTATACTCAACTCTCCTAAGAGCCTTAAGAATCTTCTGTGTGTCAGGGATTATTTTAAAGAAAAGAGACATTTAGAAAGTATAGACAATAGGGTTACAAACAGAAAATCCAAAAGAATAATCTGGAAGACTTTTAGTGTTGCTGAGAGAATTCAGTTAAGTGTGTGATTATGTGAGCAATGTTTTTTTAAAGCATTGCTCTAGGCCAGTAACAATTTAAGAAATTATCCCATTAATAAAGGATAGAATGTCCAAGAACAAATCTGTCAAGCTATGGTGTAGACTTACATGGAAAACAAAGCCAGACTAAACTAAGCTAAAACTCTACTATATGTCAGGAATTGTAACAATTTCCAGTCCTCCGAGTCTTTCTCGAGATGTGGTTTGGGTCCTCATTTTACTGCTGACCAGCCTGACGTGCACAGTGCTTGTGCCTGATGGATGCCATAGTCAGGGTCTGGACCCCAGGCACCATCCCTCTCCCCTTGGAGACTGCCCGGTTCCCTATCTTCTCTTGTCTAAGCAGCGTCTGTCTGTCCATGCCGTTGCGCTTCAAATTCAAGGCCTGCAGAAAGTTTCCACTGAGCCCACACCCTGTAACACTGCTGCTGCGCCCAGAGATACGTACAGTGTTTTCAGCATACACAGAAGAATGAGATTTGACCCTTTGCCCCAAAATGCTAAAGAGATATCCTTGGAATAATTGGAAATAACATAATAAGATAACATGGGGCGCTTGTGTGATCAGAAACACCATATAATGAGTTTTCTTTTTTAAAAAAATGTTTTTATTGATTTTTTTAGAGAGAGAGGGAAAGAGAGAGAGAGAGAAACATCGATGTGAGAGAGAAACATCAATCGGCTGCCTCCTGCACGCCTCCCACTGGGGATCTAGCCCACCACCCGGGCATGTGCCCTGACCGGAATCGAACCCGGACCTCTCAGTCCATGGGATGGTGTTCAGTCCACTGAGCCACACCAGCTGGGCCGTGTCATGAGTTTTCAAAGAACCACGGCATCAGTGTCAAACACGATCCCGTGCAGGCAACGTGAAAGGAAAAGCTGTTGGCACGTTCAGCTGTTTCAGCTGCAGCTCACCTTCCAAACACTCACGGGGGAAATGCATGTAAAATAACACTGATTGGTGAAACACTTGCTAATGGAAACAGAAAACACTTAAAGAAAAACATTTTCAAAGTAACTCTGGTCTTGTCTTTCTGTAGGTGACGTCATTTTCCGCAAAGGTCCCCCTGGAGAAGTTGGACGCCCCGGCCCCGTGGGGCCTCCAGGAATCCCAGGTGTCGATGGGCGCAAAGGTTGGTTCCGTCAGAGATGTTGTTCTATTAGAATCAGCCATTCCCATCACCTTTGTTCCCACTGATCTTTTTCCCCCTGAGACAACAATGATCCCAAACAACAGCTTCTTTTCCTAAAATGCTCATTTGTCTGTAAATCATTCATTTAGTTAGCACCCATGCAATATGTCGTTGGCTATTCCTAGAATGTGAGTTTTATCCTGCACTCAAAGAGAGAAACCCCGAGCTAGGAGCATTTTACACTAACTCGGGAGTTTCTGTCTAAAAACACCTAGAAACTCAGGTAGATAAAATAAGCAGATATAAAAGATGAATAATGTGTATCCCTGTGTGAAATAGCCTACATGATTTTCACTACATGAAAGAAAAGGTTAAATGTAAGAAATGATCATGCAGTTGGACACGTTCTGTCTTTCTGCGGACGTGGTGGTGTTCACGGGTAACGCGAGCATGCTCTCCTTGCAGGGGAACCGGGCCTCGTGTGCACGGACTGTCCTTGCATCCCAGGCCCTCCGGGTCCCCCAGGTCTGCCGGGATTAGACGGCCTAAAAGGAATCCCAGGTACAGACTGTTTGCCAAGTGTTTTTGCAAGTACAAAAGGGTCAACTCACTGGGTGATAGAAAGGGGTATCTGACTACTGGAGGTCATGCTGTGGTTTACATGAACTCAGAGGGAGATTTTCAAAACGTGCTCTGTTCATATAAAGTAAGACAAAGCCACATAAAAGCTGGCATGTTTCCCTGTCCCATTTTAGTTGCTAAACTCGAGGAAAATATTGTATTCTCCAAGAATCGTAAATGCAGACTCCTCCAGGGGCCCCGTGGTTCACGCGGAGGGGCAAAGCAGCCCCGCGAAACACACGCCACTTTGCTCCTCCGTAAACATATGAGCTCTTTCCTATTTTTTTCTCGAAAGACACGACCCCTGTCAGTCCATTTTATGTCCCACATTTGATGAGTTAAGGGTATATGCACTATTTCACGTTCTTCTTAAGGATACAAGTGCAATAAAAAAGTAAAGCAGGTCCTTAAATAATGCCATTTTGTTCAATGTGGTTTCATTGTAATGTTGATGAGGTACCGTAGGGAATAACTCTTGTTTATATCAATCAGTCTGTGGTAAAAGTTTTATCGTATAGTCTGTGTAGTTTCACCGCAGTTCTGAGACCCTATCAGCGATGTTAAGTGAGGATGAACTGAACACCGCCGGCCTCAGCGCAGGGGACGATAGAGAGTGCTGGGGACTGCGGTAAACTGGAGGCACATTGAAAGGGACTGTCAATCACTCAACTGCAGCTGATGGTTAATTTGTTAATAAATCTTCCAATTTTTCATTAAAAAAAGAAATTCGAATTATCTAAAAATCACGTATTTATTTTTTAAATATTAGCCACCAATTATTTTTCCTTTATTGATTTTAGAGAGAGAGGAAGGTAGAGGGAGAGAGAGATAGAAACATCGATGAGAGAGAACATTGATTGGCCGCCTCCTGCACGCCCCCCACTGGGGATGGGGCCCACAACCCCAGGCATGTGCCCTGACCGGGAATCGAACTGGCAACCTCTTGGTGCATGGGTTGACGCTCAACCACTGAGCCACACCGGCCAGACTAGCCATCAGTTTTTGAAGGAATAACACACTTCATAGGCCAATATCCCGAGGGCTGAATAAAGCAAACGCCACTGCCCGGGCCAACCTCTGCCGGCCAGGCCTCTCTGCCCCAGCGCCGCTGCTCCAGGCTCACCACCTCGCTGGCCTTCCCAGAGCTGGCCGTGGGCAAAACCTTGGAGGAGAAAAGGTCTCTGTTTATTGCTTGGGTTCCTCTGGCCCTTGTGCCACTGCCCCGGCTACCCAGGGCCTCTCCCGCGGTACCACAGACGCTCTTGGTTCTGCCATCAGCACCCTGGTCTTTAGACACTATCATCAGTGACCTAGCATTAAGCAGCAAGAGCTTAAGTTACCAAGCCCTTGGGCAGTGGGCGAGGCACTGTTCTAGGTGTCACATCGCCTCCACACCTTCTTGCCCACGTCAGCCCCAGAGGGAAGTGCTGTCACAACCCCGTTTGACAGGGAGGAAGCTGAGGCCCAGAGCAGCATGGCTGATGAGTCCAGTCAGTCACTCCTTCCCCTACACCGCAACTCTTCAGTGTGAGCCAGGGCAGCCCTGGGAGGCGAGTTAGTGCAGAGGTCTACCTGCCCACATACTTCGGGTCTGTGTATGCTACACCATCCAGCAGAGTTTTCCACCGTGAGGGAAAACTGGCGGCAGTTGCGGGCACAGGAGAGAGTCAATAGGGGATCTGCGCTCAATCAGGGGTCTCTGGACACTCTCAAATCCTACCTGCTCTCCGTCAACGCCTTATTGCTTGGTACTCGCTGCCCTCTGGCTCCCTGAGACCGGCCCGAGAGGGAAGAGAAGGCAAAGGGCAGGGTGGACTGTTCCTCACAGAGCCTCTGGGGAATGTTCTATTAAAACAAAAACGAAGAGGCTGGGAGGGAAAGAATAAAAGGAAAGCAGTTGTTTTCCTACATTCCTCTTGTGTGACCTCTGGCCCAGGGCTGGCATGCAGGTGGGCAGCTCACCAGTCACGCCGTTGTGTTTTCCTTGGTTTCCCTACATTGGCATATGACAGGTACAGCTCCAAGGATATGTATAAGCAGTACAACCATTTGGATTGCTGTCAAGGAATATATCTTGGCTCAGATCTTGTGAAAAATGAAATCTGAATAAACATTTGTTAGCAAGCTGACCTGAGATTCATTCAAAAGATCCTCTAGATAGCCTGGCCAGTGTGGCTCACTGGTTGAGCGTCAACCCATGCACCAAGAGGTTAGCAGTTCGATTCCCGGTCAGGGCACATGCCCAGGTTGTGGGCCCGATCCCCAGTGGGGGGCATGCAGGAGGCAGCCAATAGATGTTCTCTCTCATTGGTATTTCTGTCTCTCTCGTCCCTTCCGTTCTCTCTAAAATCAATAAAGATAATAATTTTTTTAAAAAAATCTGTAAAGAAATCATCTTTGTAAAGATACTTAAATCCCTATAGGAAGTATGAAATTGTACAGCAAAATGCAGTTTGGCAACAGATATCCAAAGCCAGAAAAGCTTGTGCCCGTTGGTCCTGCAGTGAAACCTTTAGGAATTTATTGTAAAGGAAATAATTGGATAAATTTGGAGAATTAAATGTCCAAAGAATTAAATGTCACAACAGCTAAAAACACTCTAAATGTCTCAAAACAGCACTTAGCTGAATGGTTCACTCACATAATAGGCCACTTTGCACCCATTTAAAGTGAAGCTATAAATCTATATTTATGTGTATCAGTCTAATGCATGTATGTATATAAAACTTTATGAGTAATATCCATGAACATTTTAGCAAATACTATCTTCTGGCAGTAGATTTATGGGTGGTGATTTTCATTCTCTTAACTTCTGTTCAGTTTTATTTACAATGAGCATATATTACTTTTATCATCGTAAAAACGTATCTTTCAAATTATAGAGACAAGAATTTCAGGAAGCTAAAGTTTTTGAGCTCCTGTCTTTTTACATTTTATCTTATTCTAATGATTTCTTCCCATTCTCTGCTTTTACTGTACGTTTTTAAGCTAGAAATGGTCTTTCTTTGCTCAGGAGAAAACACCCTATTTTTCCACACACTGCATGACCCTAGCTGCTCAGAATTGGTGTTCAATGAATATTAATCAACTCACTGCTTTGCAGGAGGACGGGGGGCAGCTGGCCTTAAAGGAATCCCAGGGTCCCCAGGAAGTGCGGGTCTTCCAGGAATTCCAGTAAGATTTCATGGTTTGGAAGCTTTCGGTTCAGTCTGGGGAGGGAGCAGTCTGGCCGGAGACACGGTTGCGCTCCACACAGGTTATCAGTTTGGTGCCTGGCAAGGCAGAGGCACGTAAGAGATACATATTGATTAAATGAATGGACGAATGATGTGTGAATGAATCAGTGAGTGGATTAATTAATTTACAATCAATTAAAATGGTATCAGAGACAGAAAGCAAATCAGGGGTTACCCGGGGCTGAGGGTGGGAACAGGAATTGACTGGGAATGGGTCTGAGGGAATTTGGGGGGGTGACAAAAATGTTTTAACACTGGATTATGGTGATTGTAGCATCAATGTATGCATTTATTTTTTAAAAATCACTGAATTGTATTCTTACCAAGAATATATTTTATGGTATGTAAATTATACCTCAATAACGTTGTTAAAAATTTAAATGTTGATTATCATAGTGAAAGTTGTATATGGATAAATATATTTAAATCAAATTATCCAGAGATGCATGTTACAATGTAGCAATATTTGAACATGATCTGAATTATGATGATTATTATATCATATTGAATTATATTATTGTGTGTGTCACATTGAATTATACTGTGTAGCTACCAAAAAGGCTTAAAATTATATTTGTGGGTCAAAGAAGTATCTGAAACAAAACACGTTCCATTAAAATGGGAACATTCTTGTTGACTTTGTTTTTTTTGAGATTGACACAGAAACGACTCTACCCAAAGCAATGCAGACTCATTTCTCTCCCACCCTAGGGATCCCCGGGTGCTCAGGGTGACCCAGGGCCTAAAGGGGAAAAAGGCGAAGCGGCTCCACCGGAAGGAGAAGTCGGTGCCCCAGGGGACCCGGGGCCCAGAGGGCAGCCGGGAAGGCCGGGCTTGGATGGAGCTCCTGGAGCCCCCGGAGCGAAAGGATTACCAGGACCTAAAGGCGAACCGGTTGGTATCTAGTAACTTCCCCAAATTATTCGCCCTGTAAGTGAAGTGCTCTGAAGTCCTCCTTTCAAGAAACCGTTCGCCGATCGGCACAATTCATCCCTCTACCTGCAGGATGAGGGATCTTCAAACCAGAGCACATATGCATAGTATTTTGACAAAATAGGTAACGCTTCATGGATTTTTTTTTAGGATAAACAAAATTCTATGTTGGCAATGACCTTGTCTCACACACAAGTTGCAGGTTCACATTTGTATCCAGTGAGCTTATAAGAAGTTCGGGAAATGATTGATAATGGAAAGCCCGTCTGTGTTTTAGGGACAATGCTCATTCTGTACGTAAAAATAAACGTGTGAAGAGACAGAATAGTTAGGGGTAGGGTGGTCCAACAAGGAATTCAAGTGTTTTGTCATCGACAATATTTAAGCTTATGTAAATTTGATCTCTCTTCATGGGATAGAATCTCTCCCTGTCCGATTGAGCGATTCCTCCCAGGACCGAGTTTTCTGTGAGAAGTCTGCCAGGCAGGCTGCCCAGTGTCTTCTATGAAATACCAGTTTCTCCCAGGCGTAATCAGCGTCAGCCAATTAAGAGGGTTCTCCCTCAAACAGGGAAAGTTGGCAAATGAATTTAAAGATTTAGTCACAGACTCCAAATGTCAGAACAGGAGCGGTGACTCCCCGAGGTGCAGAGACAGCAGGCAGTCTAGCGACACCTTTTCAACGACAAAGCTTTTCCTCAGCCCCGCCCTTGGCAGAAGTGCCAGGCTGTCCCCGGGTGGTAGTTATGCTTATAGAGGGACAGAGTCTGGAACGCTTTGGGTCCAGTGTTAACAGAGTTCACCTGATGCTCTCATTTGCCTTTGCATCCTTCTCATTTCATTCCAGTTTGGGCAAAGATGTTCCAGAAAGTGAAAAAATCAAAGGGCTGATCTGTTGCATCTTATGCCCTGTCATTTTAAAAGAGGGACAAAGACCACTTAGCCACCTGTTGATCCCAAACAATGAAAAATTCAGTCAGATGTATTATTTGCAACCGTGTTGGGGAGGAAGGGAAACTTAGATCATCATATCCAATTCAATTTCTTTAAAACATACAATGTATTGGCAATGTTACAACTTATAAAATATTTCAAAAAGACATTTTCTAAGAAAAAAGAATAACACAGATGGAGAATCGCCTTGGTAATGGAAATACCTGGCGAAAACCAAACAAATAAAGGTTTGCTCTATGGCTTGATTTTATCCATTAACATGAATGCCATTTCCGTTTGAACTGGTGGCCCACGTGAGCTGGGTCTGAGAGGCTGCTGTCGCATGGGTGGCCTCCTGCTGTCCGAAATCTCAAGCGGGACTCAGTGTTCCAAGTTAATGAAATGTGGTTGAGCACGGAACTGCAGAAAGCACAGGGCACCCTGATGTTGGCAGTGATTCCCTTCCAATGCCAACTGCTTTGAATCCAAAGACCTTCTCAGTGACTGTTTGAGTGATGCTCATATTCGTGGTAATATTAACCTACGTGAGGAAAGACTGGAATGAAGCACTATCCAAACATATTCCTATTGTCACAGGCCCTCAGTGGTGAGAAGGGGGACCAGGGTCCTCCAGGGGATCCTGGCATCCCTGGGTCCCCAGGACCCGCAGGACCAGCTGGACCACCAGGCTATGGACCGCAGGGGGAGCCTGGTCCAAAGGGCGCCCAAGGAGTTCCTGGAGCCCCTGGACCACCTGGAAGAGCCGGTTGGTTAGTTTTCTGTCCAGTCCTGTTTTCCCGTGGAGGGGGTTGATGGTTCCTGGGGCTAGCGGTGCGCCCTGAGGCCAGTGGATGTATAGAAACTGGTTCCTAATAAGTAGAGTATGTCACCTCGGAGACATAGGGAAAGAACATATATCTCGGGCAATTAGAGGAAAGTTTATCTTTTCCTGTTACTGGGCAATTCAGCTGAAATTTCCTAGGGTGGCCTATATCCATGACTGACGAACATATGGAATGAATAGCTGATCCTAAGGCACGAGTGGACGTCAGTGACAATAAACGAAGGGGCTGCAGAACCTGCGAAACTGACCTTGAGGTGCCTCTTCTAGGTCTCCCGGGTCCACTGAGGTGACTGCCAACGGGTTCTTTCTGACGCATAGCCCAACAAACGGTTTAGAAATATGACTTCAAAACAGCTAGGTCAGATTTTTAAAATTGTCTAAAAACAGTTTTAAAGTCCCACTAACGCTGGGACCCAAATGTACTGAACGTGGCCGCTTCACGGTTTGTGCGATGTCCTGTATTTCGTTCCTGTGAAAGCTACCAGGAAACAAGTATCCTACCAGTATTCACTGAAACTCAAGCAGAATTCACATGATCAGTGTTTCTAAGAATAGTCTCTCTTCCCTAGACCAGCATGTTGAACTAGTATAAGCACAGACAATAATAGATGCTTATAAGTATTCGTCAGTTAACTAAGGAAGTTTCTATGGGCCAGTCATCGGTAAGCCAGTTTTGCAGAGACTCTTTTTCATAGTCCTTAGAATGTGTCTGTAAACCCTTTATGATAGTAGCATGTATTTTTCCTCGGAACCAAGAAAAGCTTCACTATGCATATGAATCTTGTGATCGTAAATCTTCCTAAGGTCCTAAGGGAGAGCCCAGTGTTTCAACACCAGTCCCAGGGCCACCAGGACCCCCAGGTGCTCCAGGTCGTGCTGGCCCCCCAGGTCCACCTGGTGAGTATCCCCTTTGCCAAGGCTGTTGACTGGCATCAGATGGCACCCTGACTTTCCTGCAAAAACACGGTCCCCATTTCGAGGGAAAGGAATTCATTGGCTCCCAAAGAGAGCACCGGCCAGTACTGTCAGAGGACAAGCCAACACACAGGGGACTTGCTATTGTCCCTTAAAGTCGTCCAAAGTATTCCCATTGTTGCATCTGACTGCAAAAGAGGATTGATATAGTTACTTCACAGGAATTCAGAGGCAGAAGTTTTCACGGGTTTTGGTGGAGGAGTGCGGAATGGTTGCCAGTGGTTACTGTCGCTCCCAGAGCTTCTTCACCAAAAACAGGTCACTTCTTTGCCAGTGTGGTCTAAAACTTAATTCTGCCTGCATGGAGGGAGGCTGATATAGTTCAAGATATCTAGAAAAAAATTTTTAGGAGTTAAATTATGTTTCCGAAATTATTTGCTGGTTTAATGATTAGTCCATTGCATAGAAATGAGGAAGAAGTCAGGGTTACGGTAAAATTATTTCTTAATTTCCAAAAATGCCTGGGATGACACAGAAACTTGGACATCTGGTTGTGAGGCAGGATAACGGGAAGTTGCTGACGGGACGTGTGTGTCGTTCAGGTTTCCCTGGACCCACAGGAACGTGCAAGGCAGGTGTTCCTGGGCCTGACGGTGACCCAGGAATTCCAGGAATTGGATTCCCTGGGCCTACTGGACCTAAAGGTGCGTCAAAAAATTTAAAACATAAGGTTCATTGAGGATATTTAGAAACTATAAATATATATAATGAATGACATAGGAAATATCCATAATACCCTTCAAAATGTTTTCCACCCTGGCCGGTTTGGCTCAGTGGTTAGAGCGTCGGCCTGCAGTCCAGAGAGACCCGGGTTCGGTTCCCGCTAAGGGCACGTACCTCGGTTGCAGTTTGTCCCCAGCCCTGGTTGGGTCGTGCAGGTGGCAGCCACTCGATGTGTCCCTTTCACGTCGATGTTTCTCTTTCTTTCTCTCCCTCCCACCCTGTCTGAACAAAAAATGGAAAAATGTCCTCGGGTGAGAATTAAAAAATAGTAATAAAAAATAAAATAAAATTATGTTTTCCTTCCGTTTTAAATGGGGGAAAAAAATCTTACAATAACGTTAGGTAAAAAGGCAGAATTCCCATTGATTTATGCAATCGCATCTCAGTCATAGTTTTTAAAACGCATATAAAAACACCGGAAGGAAATTCACCAAAGTGATTCTTCCTGATAGTAGGATTATGAGGAATTCTTTCTTTACTTTTTTTTTTTTTTTTTTAATCCTCACCCGAGGACATTTTTCCATTTTTTGTTCAGGTAGAGTGGGAGGGAGAGAGAGGAACACAGAGAGAGAGAGAAACATCGATGTGAAAGGGACACATCGAGTGGCTGCCACCCGCACAACCAACCAGGGCCGGGGACAAACTGCAACCGAGGTACATGCCCTTAGCGGGAACCGAACCCGGGTCTCTCAGGACCGCAGGCCGACGCTCTAACCGCTGAGCCAAACCGGCCAGGGCTTTACTTCTTAATAGATGTCTACACTTTGTACATTTATGCATTTCTTCATTTTATACATTTCTTTCATAATAAAAAAAAATAGAACTTTTAATTCACACATAGCTTATTTCCCTCTACACTCCCAAATAAATCCTTTAGGGAAAAAAAATGCTGTTTCTCATCAAAAGGAAAACTCTCCAAAGAAATGCAAATGCTGAGGCTGCCCCCTGAAAAGCACACCCAAGTCTTGTCTTAACATATGAGTAAACTCAGTCACTGGATTGTCACATACAACTTCAGATTTTATAATAATTGCATGTTTGTTTCAATATTTCTTAAAGTGTTTATCAAAATATGATCTATTTTTGGTGCTTCATCTCTCAAATTAATGTATTGTCATTGTTTATCATACATCAGTTCTGCCCAAACATGGGGATATCGATCTCAATGTGTGGTTATTTGAAATGAAAAACATAATCAGATTTTCCATGTGGTCAAAAAAAGGCACTTTCTTGAATGTCTTGCCAGTGATCTCTGAAGGAAGCTAGCCGGCGCACGTTTCGCCTCGTCCTTCTTGGACCCTGCATGAAGAGAGCTGCATCCTCTCTGAGACTACCCATGCTGGGCGCCAGGACGCCTAAGAACCCCTGGAAAGTGCAGAGTCAGAATTTCCCAGTTGAACCTCATGAATCTAATGAATCCCATGAACTAACTTAACTAACTAAAAACTGGTCACATTCGGGGCACAGAGGAACTCTCCAAAGGCAGCTTTGCCCCATCAGGGTTTCCTCTTCTGAACCACAGAACAGAAAAAGTGACGTGTGTGACTTCTTTCTCCATTTTCCCATCACAAATCCGCAAGAGAGAAGTTAACTCGTTACTTTCAGTGGCTGTGATAGCTAGGTACTTTATATCTTGATCTGGGTCATACTTGCATAGATACACACACACACACACACACACACACACACACACACATTTACGTAAATATATACTTGGCTGTATACCTTTTTTACAAAGTCAGCCAAATGGTCAACCAAGATCAGTGGTTTAAAAAAATACTGAATTGTGCCCAGCTGGTGTGGCTCAGTGGTTGGGCATTGACCCCTGCACCAAGAGGTCACCGGTTTGATTCCCAGTCAGAGCACATGCTGAGGTTGTGGGCCTGATCCCTGGTGGGGGGCATGCAGGAGGCGGCCAGTAGATGTTCTCTCCCATTGATGTTTTTATCTCTTACTCTCCCTTTCTCTCTCTCTCTCTAATATAAAGAAAAAAAAAGTTAAAAAAATACTGAATAGAAATTGTAGTGGTACGAAGCAACAAAAATGAAAAAGGTAATTTTTAAAATGGGAAACCAAGGAATTGAGCTTTTTGTTTGTTTTTTTTTTGTTGTTTTAAGCCTCACCCAAGGACATTTTTTGCATTTATCTTCAGATAGAGCGGGAGGGAGAGGGGGGGGAGAGAGAGCGAGAAACATCGATGCGAGAGAGACACCGAGTGGTTGCCACCCACATGACCCCAATGGGCTGGGGACAAACTGCAACCGAGGCGCTTGCCCTTAGCGGGAACCAAACCCTGGACTCTCTGGTCCGCAGGCTGACGCTCTAACCACTGAGCTAAACTGGCCAGGGCGAATTGAGTTTTTTTACATTGCTAATTTAGCCGTTGGCTTTCTCATCATTCAACCTTTCATAAAAACATCAAAAGCTATTTGCCTCATTAAAACATTAGATAAAATAAGAGATCTACTACCCAAAATGTTTTAATAACACTAATTGTACAACCTTTTTTATTTTTTTCCTATAGGAGACCGAGGCTGTCCAGGAACAAAAGGATCACCAGGTTGTCCTGGAGAAATGGGAAAGCCAGGGTTACCTGGAGACCCAGGCCCCCCCGGAGCCAAGGTCTTTGAGAATTCCAATTCACATGAAGTGGGGATGGGGAGGAGCCATTATGGTTGGCCAGTTAGGCTGTTCCTACCAGTCAGGATGCTCTGTGTGTAGAAATTATCAATAGGCTTGTAGATGACAAAGATGACGAATTTTTAAAAGTTTCATGAACCATTTCTCCCTTTTAGAAAGGAAAATAGAAGGTGTTAGAAGCCAGGATTGCTTTTCTGTTTCTTCCTAATCTTCAGAAACACTCGTAATATTTAAAATGGGAGAAGTCTAGAAAGAAACATGGATAGTTATGAGAAAAACTCAAGAGTAGAGACATCTAGACTGTTCACAGAAAACCCCACAGAATTCTGAAAAAAATGGAGGCTCTAAAGAATTATTAGCCTCATTTTATAGAAAATTCAACAACTAGAGTTGAAAAGGGAGAGTCGATAGACTGGTGGTGACCTCCACAATGAAGATAGTATTTTCAAGTAAATAGCCCTAAAGACCAGCCAATAGTCGATAAGGATTTAGCAGCATTCTATAGTAAAACTAACGTAATTTCTGTGCTATAGGGAGAACCAGGACTAGCCATGCCTGGAGAACCAGGAACACCCGGTTTTCCAGGAGAAAGAGGCAATTCTGGGGAAAATGGAGAAATTGGACTCCCTGGATTTCCAGGTCTCCCTGGAATTCCAGGAACTGGAGGGCTTGATGGACCACGAGGTACAATAGCAAGTGTGATTACTTTTCTCCACTGTGAGCTCAGCTAAAATGCAGCAAATTGAATGTGTAGGTGGTCTAGGAGTGAAGACTTCTCAAAGTTCTAGATGAATGAATAGAATCTGTGGGGCCTAATTATGTTTCCCTTCAGCATTGTTGCTCCATCTTTGTTCCATCTTTCCTTCTCCTTTCCTTCTTAATGAGCACTCTCTATGTAAGACACACTAATGCTATTAAATATTCATCCTATTTAGGGGTGGGGGAGTTACAGGAGAATGCTTGGGATAGCAATACTAGGACCCTGGGTTTGGGCCCCTGACTATATTCTTGGACTCTCTTTTTCAGGGGATCCAGGGCATCCTGGACCACCTGGAGAACAAGGACTCCCAGGAAGATGCACAGAGGGTCCCAGGGGACCCCAAGGACTTCCAGGCTTAAATGGATTGAAAGGGCAACAAGGTAAGAGGAGGGACTCAAAATCTGTCACTTGATGGGCAAGTAGCATGGGACTCCTGCTCTGCACTTTGCTGTTTAACTTTGGGACTGTCCAGCAGCAAGTCCTGACCACTGTTCAGTGGGAAATGGGATGAAACACAAACCTGTTGTCATGGATCTGTTGTAGTGAGGTCTCACTCAGATGAGTGGCACTGGATATGTTCTGCAAGTTCAAGACACAGTCATTAATTGCAGTCCCAGGATGTGCCTGCAGGACTGGAAAATAGGTCTAAATTCTACATTTTTATTACTGCATGAGTCATTAAAACAGAGAATACTAAAGCCAGAAGGGATCTTAAAATTTTATAGGAGGGGCCATAAACCAATCAATCAATCAGGGAGATAAGTGTGTGGTTTATTTAGCCTCAAATCACAAAGCTATATATTTACAGCCATAAAATATTTCTGGAGTTGGTGGGGAAAGCACTTGTGTGTTCATTCCTTTATTTCATTCATTCATTCATTCATTCATTCATTCATCCATTCATTCATAGGCAGAAAAGGTGAAACAGGACTAAAGGGAGACCCAGGGATTCCAGGCTTGGATAGGTCAGGACTTCCTGGAGAACCTGGACCACCAGGAATACCAGGTCTTCAAGGCGAGATGGGACCACCTGGTCAAAAAGGATGCCCAGGAAATCCAGGATTTTTAGGGCCACCAGGTATTTTCTTGTGCTTTTATTTATTTATTTTTATTTTTAAATTACAGTTGACATACAATATTATATTAGTTTCAGGCCTGCAACATAGTGATTAGATATTTACATATCTTATGAAGTGATCACCTCGATAAATCTAAGACCTATATTTCACCATACATAGTTATTATGATATTATGGACTATACTCCCTACACTGTACTTGCTGGGAGAAAGCTACCCCTCCAGCCCACACCCTGAAGACAGACAATTTAGTTCTGAGTATGTCCCAGGTACCTTTTGAGCTGCTGCTGCAGCATTGGAGCTCAGAGGAAACAAGTCAGAGTAATTTTAAGTGTGGGCCCTTTAAGAGAGCTGCCTGGGACCCTAGAACTCTCTGTCTCACTCAGCCACAATCTTCGCTGGTTTTTACAGCAAAAGTTAAGGGGATTTCTCTTCCTGGCACTGGGGCTCTGGGCTAGGGGCCTGGTGTGGGATCCCTAGCTCCTCAGGGGGGACCTCCACTGCTGATATATCCCTCCTGATTTTTATCTGCCACACATGAATGGGGGACCAGCTCGTTCTGTGTCTCTGCCCTTCCTACCAGTCTCCATGTGGCTTCTTCTTTAAATCCTTAGTCGTAGGACTGTTCAGCTGGATGTCAGGTGGTTCTGAATGATGGTTGATCTGTCGTTTGGCTGTAATTTTGATGTGGCTGTGGGAAGAGGCAGGCACAGTGTTGACCTAAACCACCGTCTTGATGGGCAGAAGCCATGAATCTGTGCTTTCATTTTTCTTCTTCTGTTGTCTTTCACCTTTTGCTTCTAAGGTGCCTGTACACCAGACACAGGCAGAGGCTTTTGTCTCTGTAGTTCTCTTTCAGTCAGTGTCAGTTTTCTCTTCTGAATTATTTGTAAGGGCTGGAGGGCAGGGAAATGGTGGTGGTTGGGTGGTCACATTTTGAAATTATCTAGGATCTGACTGTATAATCCTTTTTATGTTACTACTAAGATATATCTGCTAGCCCTGGCCAGTTTGGCTCAGAGGTTGGAGCATCAGCCTGCGGACCGGAGAGTCCCGGGTTTGGTTACTGCTAGGGCACGTACCAAAAAATAAATAGATAAAAAATTAAAAAATAAAATATATTTGCTAGTATTTTGTTGGGAATTTTTGCATCTATAAGGGAAACTGGACTGTTTTGTTTTGTTTTTTCTTTTCCTGTGATGTTTCTGCCTAGTTTTGGTCCCCTCCCCCCTGGGAAATGTTTCCTCTTGTGTTTTCTAGAAGAGTTTGTGAAGAATGGATCTTTTTTAAATGTTTAGAAGAATTTGCCAGTGAAGTCATCCAGTTCTGGGCTTTTCTTTATGGGAATTTTTTTAAGTTACGAACTCAATTTCTTCCTGTGTTAGGGGTCTAATCAGGCTTTCTATTTCCTCTTCATTCAGTTTTGGTCATCTGTGCCTCCGGAGGAGCTTGTCCGTTCTCTCTAGGTTGTCTCATTTGCTGGCCTATAGTTACTCACAGATTCCCTTACACTTCATTTTATTCCACCCTGTTTTTACAGTGTATATGTTTGGGAAGAATATTTCAATATTCTCATGGCATGGAACCTCCCTGACCTTTCCCCTAGAGAAGAGCCCAGAATAACAACTTAATCTGCAGATTATTCTTCCATTCATATGACTGAGCTGGCATCATGTGCCACACTGTTCCAGGCTCTAGAGACACATCAGTGGACAGGAGTCCTCCTCCGACAGTGCGGGCGACAACAATAAATACATTAGTTACAAGTTCAACTCGAGACAACAGCTCTGACAAAAACAAACTAAGGGGATATAACAAGAAGCTGTTGGTCATGGACTAGGGGAAGGAATGGCCCAAAGCTTAAATACAGTCTATTCTTATCCACAAATGTGATCTGCTACCAGTGACTTTCACATACGTGCTGTAACAGAGACTGTTCACTGACCCATCTCCTAGACAAACACGGTCATTTTTGTCTTTATAGAAGCCATCCCTTCAACTCCCAATCTCTCCTTCTGTGTGTAATTGATTTTATTTTGTGGAACATTTGCTTTTCTCATTCTGCCTGTGTGCTCTCTGTGTTGCTTGTTTCCACAGGTGAAAGGGGACCGGTTGGGATGATGGGCTTCCCAGGCACCATAGGCCTTCCGGGGCCTCCTGGGACCCCAGGCTCCCCGGGACAGAAGGGTAAGTGAGGGAGGCACCTTCCAGCTATCACGGGGGAGAAACAGCAAAATAAATGATGTTTTACTTTTTGAAGGGATAGTTCTGAGAGAACTGTGCATTTGATTCTGCTCTTTTCTGTGTTTCTTTTTCCCGTTTGAATGGGACCATGTTCTTCCCCTGCAGGCTTCTGTGCTCCCTTCACATAACTGCCTGTTTGGGGAAACTATTTATGAAGGTCTCGGCACTGTTAAGCTTTTGGCTAATTTGTTTTGTTTCATGGGAAGCACTGCTAACTTCTGAATCCTTATGCACTACTTATAGAATTAAGGATCTGCTGTGGTTACTCCTGTCTTACAGGTAGCTCTGGAATTCCAGGAGTAAAGGGTGTCAGAGGACCCCCAGGAGCCAAGGGGGAAAAAGGAGATAAAGGACCTCCTGGGCCTTCTCAAATATCCCACCTACTGGGGGACAAAGGAGAACCAGGCCTCAAAGGTACGGACAGCCTTACCTTTAGAACCAGAACATCAGAGCTGATTCTGAGACTAAGAACCATCCGGCACATCTTTCAGATTGGCAAGCGAGCACAGTCAGGGCCAGCGTTCGATGTCCTGTGCACAGACCCACAGCCAGGTGGCCTGGGCCTGATCGACAACTGGTCTCGTGTGCCTTGTACAATATGTTACCTCTCTAATGCATAGCTCTTTGTTTCTAAGTCAATTGTGCATCTTGGTCAACTGCTTTGAACAACTATCCTATATTCTACTATAACGATATCGCATCGATTTTAATCAGGAGGTCGTGAACTCTGATAAAATTCTAACTTGTGATTTCCACACACTGTTTTCTCGTTAGGGTTTGCAGGAAAGGCGGGGGAGAAAGGAAGCAGAGGCTTTCCAGGGTCACCAGGGCTAGAAGGACTCAAAGGGCCACCGGGACCACCAGGACCACCAGGTACAGCGGACTGGCTAATGAAAATAGCAGGTTTTAAGTTTTCCTAGAGCGCAATGTGTTTCTAGAGTTATTGGTGTGATTAGTCTTCCAAGAGAAATTTGCTTCTAAATCAAAGCAAAATGAAGGTGTATATTGTCAGTCTGTACTAAAACATAGTAACATCCACAAAGTTCCAGTTTTGTGCTACCAATTTTATTTTGAAACTGCTAGTGTGTACTGTAAACTTTATCACAATATCACATATCATAGAAGAAAATCAGATAATGCTTTAGAGGTTTTCAAATTTGCCTCTTTCTCTTTTAAACCAGTTATTGAGTTGCAAAGTAATGTCTTTAAACAATTAAAGTAGCCCTCCCCCATTCTCCATGACCTCATTAATAACACAGTATATCACTTGGCAATACGTTTTCAGTATAGAAATGTATTGCTCTCTGGTTGCAGAGGGCCCCCTCTTTCCTATCGGTCTTGGTCCTCGGATGATTTTGATGTTCAACATCCAAGCCTGCTGACAAGAACTGACTTTCTCTAATGTTACATTTCTGGGTCCCCAGTCCCTTCCTGATATGAAGCCAAAGGCAGCTGACAAGTACTCCGGCCAGCTGGCCTGGCTGCTCTGGATCCGAGCATGCGATTCATGCTCCTCTTCATTCATGCGAGCAACATATACACTGAGCACTTTGTGTCGAGGAGCCACTCAGGGTGTATGACTGTTCATTTGTCCTCAAGGCCTCAGAGGTGATCCTGGAAGCAATGGGAATCCCGGAGAACCAGGCCCCCGTGGAATGCCGGGAAGCATGGGGAACATGGGGTTACCCGGTAACGTATAAAATCCCGTTATGAGCCTACGAGCTCATGATGAGTCCCAATTCTAGATTTTTGTGTGTTGTTTGTTGTCTTGGTTTTCCACTTCTTAGAAAGTTGGTGTAAAACAACTAGATTTACTTTCAGACAAGTGTACTAGGTGCAACTAGAACATCTGTGAGAACAAAATATAGATTTACTTTGTGTAAAAATCACCCATTATGATTACCTGATATATTAGTGATATTGAAAGGTCAGCTTTCTAAAGCAAAGCTGGTTTTTGCAAAGACAAGAAGTAGAACACTTCAAGATCCCTGTGTTAACCTATTTTATCTGATTTATTTCCTAATTTCAGGGTCCAAAGGAAAAAGGGGAACTGTGGGACTCCCAGGTCTCCCTGGAAGAGAAGGCCTCCCAGGTACTCATGGTCTCCAAGGAGATAAGGGAGAGCCAGGTTATGCAGAAGGGGCAAGGCCAGGACCACCAGGACCAAAGGTATATAGGTCACTGACGTATTTACGTCTTGGTGGTGGAGTGAGTTCCTTTAAATATCAAGTATTAGATTCAATGTGAGCAGAGAAAAATTTAAATATTATTATATTTTCAGGTAGTTATTTGGTGTGTGTGTGTTTTTTTTTTAATTCTGTCTTCACAACTGAAGACGCCTATCATATAACTGTCAACTTCTTAATTTATTCTCACCACTTTCAACTCCCAAGGAATTTCTCATAATTGTCCCTGCAATTTAAGTGTGTTACCAGAAGGATGCAGTGATCAGAGACTTACACAGTCTGTCAGGACAGTGTTTGTTTTCCTGTGATGCAAAGTAGCCTATCTCTGCTATGGACTCATCTCATACAGACTTAGGAAAATAAATTTCTAAACTTTATCCTCAAAACCACTTGACTTCAGATTATATTTTCAGGGATCATTTCTAATAGTTCATTACTAGAGAGGTTTCCCTGAATGTATAGAGCACCCCAAAACCACGAGGAGGAGGCACATTCTCTCCTGGGTATGAAACCTGTCTTGGTGTTGCCTCAGTAACTGCCATTTGCCACTGATGATCAATCTTCTCTCTCTTTTGAGAGAGTAAAAGGGAGAGGACACTGTCTGAGTGGTTTTCATAAATAAATTAAATAAGTAAATAAATAGCACTTGTCTTATCAAACTATAATAAAAGAGGTAAAATAAAAGAACTTTAGATCATCATCAAAAAGCAAACAGAATCCTAAGATACGTACACTTATCTTAGTTGTTTCAGAAACGTAACTGTTTTCATTCCATTACACAGAACTGTATCTGTCTCTGTGTTCTCAGTGCTGTTAACTAGAGGTTGCATTTCAAAGCCTCTGCTAGCATGTTGTAACAAGTAACAACCAAACGTGTTCTGCAGTGGGGGTGCTCAGCTGGGTTTTGTAGGTTTATTTCCTTCCAACCTTTCTGTGTATAATTATAATAAAAGCCAGAGCTAGGTCACTAGAGAATGATTAATAGAAATTACCATGAGCAGGGGTTTTAACATGGGATTCCACATCCATCACTAAAGATGTCTATGGGACCCCAAGAAGTCTGCTAATCTCCTGAAATTGAATGTAGAATGAATGCAAATTTTTGCAGGGAGGAGTCTGTATTTTTATCATACTTTTAAGAGCATACGACTCCAGCAAATATAAAACTTGGTATTTAGGGGGCCTTTTCTCTGACTCTCTTTTGAGTCAATAAAATACTACCTTTTTAAAGATTTCCACCAATCAAGTTTTCCAACAGTAATGAAAACAACATGAAAGAAAATGTTTAGGAGCCACACAGACCCAAGAAAAATAGCCCTTTATTGCTTGGAGCACAGATGAATGTCCTTTGCCCTCGAGTTTTAGACTAGGTCCTCAGAACACCAGGGAGACACTCTGTCCACTGAGATATTTCTCACTGAGGAATCGTTTTATACTTAATTTACATTCAGTTAATTAGTCGTTTCTCTTAGATTTAGGGTTTTCATAGGTAACCATGGAAGAAATGTTTAGAACTCTGCAGTGAACACTAAATGAGTTTGTTTTACCAGGCTGGCAAATCACAGTAACAAAGTAGTATTTTTTAATCAGTTACTAAGGAGATTTTATAAGTAACCATCAAACCCATATGTGCTGGCTTATAAAACTGAAGTATCGATTTAATGAAAGTTTTCTTTTTTTACATATATGTGTATGAGTAGTATTTGTAGAACATATATTCATTTGGACTAACTATGTCTTTCCTACCCCTGAGTTAATCTTCACAAGTTGAAAGTATACCTTTGTGTGATTATTTACTATCTCCTCACTGGTCTCTAAAGCTCCATGAAGGTAGAGACTGTATGTATCACATAACTGTTCGTGCTCACTATTATATTCCCGGTGAGAGGCAGCTTCCTGGGCTGGGACCCATGCAGCCACGGAGGCTGGGTGCTAAGAAGGAATACACACTTGGGTCCATGTTCTGATGTTGCTGTCTTGAATAGCTGTGGCATTGTTTGAAAGAGAGCTGAATATTCATTTTGGGCTGGGCCCCATAAAACGTGTAGCCACCCTATCACAGACACTCAGAATGAATTGCTAACTAACCAGCTAAGTAATAATAAGTAAATGTGAACAAATGCAGTTTGTACTTAACTCTGATCACATATCCTGCTTATACGAGAATTTTAAAGGTGTTTGACTGAATTTAAGGGAGAACCAGGACGGCCAGGCGACATGGGAAAGAAAGGAGAAAGAGGGCCACCTGGCCCGCCTGGATCTCCAGGGCCTGCTGGACCGGATGGAGTCCCCGGAAGTCCCGGAAGTCCCGGCCACCCAGGTGAGCGTTGGCTTCACAAGTCAGAGCGGGAGGGTTGCCACTTGGCACGGCCCTCACCGCCTAGAGTCCTCTCTGTGGACAGAAAGCTAGTTAGGCTTTTGCACTATAGTTGCTTTTACTCAGCTTTGATCTTCAAATTCTAAGACACTAAGAAAGAGCAGATTAATCAGGAGGAGCCCTATCTACTGCTCAGCCAGTTGGTAGACTGAAGTCTAAAACCTGCTCCCATAAACCAAACGTCTGGGGTGCTGCCCCCAGGAGTTCAGCCTAAAGGTGTGAAAGGTTAGCTCATTGCCCAATCTTAGGATGGTTGTATTCGTTTTCTAGGGTTTACATAACAAACAACACAGGCAGAAATGTATTTTCTCACAATTCTGGAGGCTAGAAGTTTGAGATCAATGTATCGGCAGGGCTGAGTTCTTTTGAAGCCTTTCTCTTTGACTTACGGAGGGCCACGTTCTCCCTGTGTCTCTGTCCAAATATCTTAGAAGGACACAGAGCCCACCTTAGTGACATTTTAACTTAATTGCTTCTTTAAAGACCCTATCTCCAAGTACAGTAATATTCTGAAGTACTGAGGGTTAGGAATCCAACATTTAAATTAGGAAGCATGCCCTGGCTGGGTTACCTGAGTGGTTAGAGCATCGGCCCGCAATCTGAAGGGTCTTGGGTTTGATTTCTGGTCAAGGGCATGTACCTGGGTTGCAGGTTCGATTCCTGGCCCTGGTTGGGGTCTTGCAGGAGGCAACCAATGGATGTATCTGCCTCACATTGATGTTCTCTCCCACACCCCCTCCCTTCTACTCTCTAAAAATCAATGGAAAAATATCCTGGGGTGAGGAGTAACAAAAAGAAACAAACTAACACAATTAGGAAGCAACACAATTCAACCCATAACCCTGTTGTGATTTGTTTCACTGGCATGTTACAAGCACAGACTTTGGCTTGCTTTCTCAGTCGCTTATAATGAAGGTTTCAGTTTTTGTTTTGCTTTACTAAGACAACTGCTAAGCGACTGGGTTGCAGCTTTAGGTCTTACCTAAAGATATATTTAAATCATCTTTTCAAACACTGAAAGTTTCCACGGGTTTGCTATTAATTCCCAACTAAAGCAATAGATCGGATACCAAGTGGCCCAGGTGACTGCCGTCTGCACACCCTTGGAAGGGATTCAACACATCCCTGCCGTGCGTCTCTAGGGAAACAGCACCCGAGAGAAAGGCCCGAGGTGACTGGTACAAGTCATTGAACACCAGCATGAGCACAGTCGACTGTAAGAACCGACCATTTCATCCAACGCTGTAACCATTTCTCTTTCCGTGTGTCTTTTCCTTTCCCTCTCTCTCCATTTATAGGGAAGCCGGGTCCAGATGGTGATTTGGGGCAGAAAGGAATGAAAGGCTTCCCCGGATTCCCAGGAGCAAAAGGCCCTCCAGGTCTCCTCCCTGCACTTTGCTGCCCTTTCCTGCGGGAAGCACGTTCTCTGAGTCCGACGGGCTCTGGGCCACGCTGTTCTCTAGAAGGCAGTGTTCAGTCCTCAGGCAGAAATGCATTAGCATGAGGTCAGGTGTTCATACTGAACTGGGGACCCGTCAACCCAGACATTCCAAAGTGATAACCCCCATGATTGTATTAGTCTGTTTATAGTTGTCATTGCCAAGTTAGCTTCACATCACTACCGTTCCGAAAAACAAACACCTACACCAGAATGACGCCCACCTGGCACATTGGGCCATTGGTAGGAATTCCTCTCTCTGAATGGCTGTTTTCTTCAGGCCCTCCAGGGTTACCCGGAAATCCTGGACCAATGGGTATGAGGGGTGATCAAGGACGTGATGGAATCCCGGGTCCCGCAGGAGAAAAGGGAGAAACGGGTACAGCTTGCTCATTATCTTCGATGCACTGGTTTCATTTTGCGTGAGATAATTAGAGATGCTAATTATTAATTAGTGATTGATATTGAATTAATGACCCTTCACTGTTCTAGAGAGTCTCCTCTGATGGAACAGACGGTCTTTAATGTGTTCCGGGTGCGAGGTCATTAAACTTCCTTTTGCTGTCAAAGTGAATTGACCAAGCAGAATAAGTTATATCTATGTAATGAAATTAACCATATATAAAATATTAATATGCAAGCATTACCTCTTTCAGGTTTGCTGGGGGCACTTCCCGGCCCCAGAGGGAGACCTGGTGATCAAGGTGAGCAGCTCTTCCTTCCTGACGCTGGTGGTTCACAGGTTCAAGGGCAGAATCTAATTTAATATGCTTGATATATAAAATAAACAACATATTGGATTAAAGAAGTCTCAGCGGTCATATAGGATGTTTATATTCTTTGTAGTCGGTTTAATCATTTTGAGTGAGAAATCTTTAGCATTTAATTGGAAATAAAATTTCATATAAAATGATCACATCTTAAGTTTTTAAAAAGCCTCAAAAACTAACAAATAGCCTAATCATGTAAGTAAATGAGTATGCAGCTCGATCCCTCTGAGGTAACTAATTGTGGAGAGTTCATTGAGACTTACAAGGTATGAGTCTTTTTAATTAGTGTATTCTCCCAATTCCGAAAAAGAAACCATATTGTAAAACAAGGAAGAATTTGAATGGACTTGGAATGTATAGCCCAAGACAGTATCTTGGTCCCTCCGACCATGGTCAGACGCTGCACAAATACACTTCACAGCTGGACGTGAACTGAAATCATCAAATAAACTGTGGGCATAAAACAGCTCAAGAACATGATAGACAAAGGGCTGGACAGTCAACATTCATCCATTTGATCTTCATCGTCACTAAGTTTTCCCCACATAATAACTTCCCAACCCCCCCGTGCCAGCAGCCCCGTCCCTGCCCTTCTGTCTTTTCATCATACCTGCCTCCTATTTTCATGCCACTTAACTGTTTCTAGAAGAACACAAAGACGGGAGAGAGGAGGAAGTTTATTGTCAACTCATACGACATTTTCCATTCATGAATGTCAAAGTACAATTTCTTGAAGGTTCTTGGCGATGAAGAATATCACTGTTCAGTTGTGACCTTTGGGGGCTTTCTCTGGTAACCCCAAACCTCCTGCCACATCCCTTCCTTACAGAGTAGTGTCTGCCACGTGAGGGACAAGTAACCAGAGGATGGGGCCGGGATTACAACTGTGTTGTCCCTTTGTCTGGATTTAGCCGGGCGACGCTCCAATGCACATGCCATTGCTGGAAGGCTTAGCTCCGTGTGCTCTGTGGAGTTAGCGGTGATTAAATAACGTCATTGTGATTCAAGTCCATCAGATAATAACATCTGCGGCTTACGTTTGCGGAACACTGTAGACCTGGCACTGTGCTTTTCCACTTTAATCTCACGTGATCCTTAAAGAACTGAGCTAGGTCAGGTCCGACCTTCGTTTTAAGAATAAGAATGGGGGAGAAAAGGGAGACATCCATAATACGTTCGACAATAAAAATAAATAAATAAACACAAAAGTAAATAAATACAAAAAGAAGACTATGTTAAAGTGACTTTGCCAAGATCAAATGGCTAATCGAGGGCAGAACTGAGTCGAGACCTACATTTCTTTTACCAGCTTCTTTAAAAAAAAAATATTGTGTATCTTGACACGTTGAAGCAAAGTGTCTACACTGTTAGAGATGACCACAAACTGTGACTCCCAGGACAGGGGCATTGCGGAAGCTTACAACCCCGTTCTCTTCGCAGGAGCCAAAGGAGACAGAGGAGCCCCAGGCTTGCCCGGCCTCCCCGGCAGGAAGGGGATGGTGGGAGATGTTGGGCCGAGAGGGCCCCCAGGAATAGCAGGATTCCCGGGGCCCCCAGGTTTCCCTGGTGCCATCCTCCCTGGCCAAAAAGGAAACCGAGGCCCACCAGGCTGCAGAGGAAACCCAGGTAGAGGGTGTACTTCTAAATAAGATAAAAGAGTGAAAATGTTTCCCATCAGAAGCGCTCAGCCTCACCCGTGTGACCTGTGACTTCTGTTCTCCCCGGGCCTCTCCATCTCCCACGTGCACCGTCCTCGCACAGAGCACACGAAAGCGGTGTGTTGTTGAGGGAGACTGGCCTTCCTGATCACTTAGTAAATTCCAGATTAGCCCGAGAGAGGGGCACCCATGAGCTCCTCCTCTGTCATTGTTGAGCCAGGCACAGATGCTGTTCCCACAGACCTTCACGGGGAGAGCCCGTTCCTGCCCTGTGCTGGGGGTGTCGCTGCGGTTACCCCATTCTGTCTCGACCTCTGTCCCACCCCGCTCCCAAAGGGGAAAATCGTTCGGGGTCATGGGAAGGGAAGGATCACCGACAGAACCTGCCAAGCTCCCTGAATTCTTTCTGAATGCAGGTGAGCCTGGTCCCCCTGGACCTCCTGGGAGTCACGTCAAAGGCATAAAGGGAGACAAGGGATTTATGGGCCAGCCAGGCCCACCAGGCCCACCTGGAGCTGTAGGAGACGCAGGGCCACCAGGTCCTGTGGTAAGTGTGGAAAATCATTTTACTTGTTATTCTTCCCAGTTGATTGCCAGGATCAGAGGCACGAGAGGCAGCAAAACTTGCCCATTTGTGATGCATCTGTGCAGTGCACCCCAGGGGAGACAGCATCCAGGGGTGCAAAGAATCAAAGCACCGTAAGGGCTGGACGGACTTGGCTTCCCTGCAAGAGGCCTCTCAAAGTTCGGTCCTGGTGGGACGCTTCTCTGTTTCATCCCTGACCTTTTCTTGTTTAGATTCTAAACAATTCCAGTGATGGAAACTTCAAAAAACACCTGGGAGTTTGGGATCACTATGGAAGACAACATAATTCATTGTCTCTGTTAATGTGCTTTTGAAGTTATGTGTGCTATCCCCTAAATATCTCTTAATTTTCTCCCCACGACAACATACTTTTCAATGTTTGTAAATACTTGCCATTTCCTTCCAAATACAGGAGTGGGCAAAAGTAGCTTAATCATAATAGTCATAATTATAACAACAACAGTAATAAAAAATAAACTTTTTTTTTGTGGACTCACAACTGTAAACCTACTTTTGACCACCCCTATATTTTCTCCCCCAATAAATACCTCTTTGTGTGTTGTTGTTTTTCAAATTCAATTTAACCTTTCACCAACTCTGCCTCTATTCTGAATATATCCTAGTTTGCCAATATCTCGGCCTGGGGCGGACAGCATCCAGGGATGAGAACAGTGCCCCGTGCAGTGCCGAGAGGAGGGGTGTCATCCTGACATCACCGCTTTATTTATTTATTTATTTTTTTATTTTTTTATCCTCACCCGAGGACATTTTTACATTTTTTGTTCAGGTAGAGTGGGAGGGAGAGAGAGGAACAGAGAGAGGGAGAAACATCGACGTGAAAGGAACACATCGAGTGGCTGCCACCCACACAACCGACCAGGGCCGGGGACAAACTACAACCGAGGTAGGTGCCCTTAGCGGGAACCGAACCCGGGTCTCTCAGGACCGCAGGCCAACGCTCTAACCGCTGAGCCAAACCGGCCAGGGCCTGACATCACCGCTTTATAATCCAACCTGAAATCCACCCGGCTGCCCGGCCGCCCCCACCATCCTGTGGGCAGCAAGAGCCCGTGTGCCTTTTCCTCGTGAAATACTGCCAAGCTTTCTCCATTAGTTCTTGTCCTGTCTATTGTTTACTTGAGACGTAACTGCAGGACTTGCACATTTACCGTTCCTGGATGTCATCTTGCTGATTTCGGCTCATGCTCCCAGCCTATTTCTCTCTCAGTTCCGTCCCTTCTCAACCCCTCAGCCATCCCCCTAGCTTTCCGATCCCTCTGCTTACTTCAAACTCTTGGAGACTGATGAGGAAGTCAGAGTTCTGTCAGACATGTTCCGGGGCAGCAACTGTGTTGCTCTCTTAAGATCTCTTGGTGTTTGGTTTCCAAAATCTACCCTTTTGTTTTTTTTTTTTGTTTTTTTTTTTTTGAAAAATGAGATATCTGCCCTCCTTCAGTCTTGGATATCTCTCATGTTCTCCGTTATTCTTTGGAAGCGGCACTGACCCTATGATCACATCAGAAGTTCTCCCCAGGATACTGGGATGTGGAAAGTCTGGTTTGGAAATGTGATCTCTCTTAAATCTTCTGAGGGTTCCAAGGTCCAGGCATCTACATTGGCACTTGAAAGGCAATTCTACTTGATGGGTGTCTCAACTAGCTGGGTGCCTTCATCTGCTCTCCCCTTGCATGGAGGAGCTCCCTCCTACCCAAGGGCTGGGCCTGGCACCGGGCCCTCCTCCCTGGCTACTCTGCAGACCTCAGAAGCCTGGAAGGCCTGGATCAGATGGTTCTGTGTACTCTCCCCCCCTTTTTAACCTCACAACCACCTCATCCAAGCAACAGGACTGCTTCTTGCTGAGTCTTCCTACTCCACAGCTGGCCCAAGGGCAGTCTTGTTCTTGGTTTTCCTCATGTTCACTGTTTTCAAGAAATAGCATTCTGTCTCAATTCACATGGTCACTGTAAGTGCAGATTTAACATACATTCTGATGTATGGCTCTTTCCGGAAGCCCTGCCCCCTCCCCCTCCTCCCATGTCTTTTCTTGGGCACCTGACACTACAAGAGCAATTCCTGTGAGCCTCCTAAGGAGGCAGCATCTCCGCCCGGTCCGATCATTGCATCCTTGTCCAAAGTGGGTGTCAGAACTGCCCTACCAATCCCTTCACGCTCCCTCCCCAGTCACATCACTTCTACCTGTCTGACCAGGAGCCATTTACAACTCTGCTGGCTTAGTTAGAATGATGGTGGGTGTTACAATTCAACAGCTTGTCTTTGCAGAAATTACAAATACAAATTATAGTTTTTTATTCTGGCAGTCTGGTGCCTGCTCTTCCCCATCCAACTGTATCCATCCAATGCTGACACGACATTCATGAGTATCAGAAGTTGTGTTTGCTCTTGGGCTTCAGGTTATCTTTTACTTCTTTTTCTTATTGAAAATGATAGTCCTGCCTGGCCAGTGTGGCTCGGTGGATTGCGTGTTGTCCCATGGACTGAGAGGTCCGGTTGGATTCCCGGTCAGGGCACATGCCTGGGTTGCAGGCTCGATCCCCAGTAGGGGGCGTGCAGGAGGCAGCCATTGATGTTTCTCTCTCACATCGATGTTTCTATTTCTCTCTCTCTAAAAAATCATTAAAATAAATAAATAAATAAAATGATAGTCCCAAGGAGAAATCTAGGTGGCAGAGGAATTATAGGAGGTGAAACACTGGACTGGAAGGTTAAAATCAAAGAATTTACATGAGTATATTCATTGCCCATGGACACAGACTATAGGGTGATGAAGGCCTGGGGTGGGGCAGGAACCACGTGGAGGGGGGTAATGGGGGAGGTGGGGGGGGGGGAATCCGCAATACTCTCAACAATAAAGGTTAAAAAGAAAAAAGATGTCTCTTAACTTTAGCTCATTCTTACCCAACATATTATACCTTTTTGTTTAAAACCCCTGCAGTGAACGTTGTGGTTTTTAAAATGTGTCTGTGGTTCTGCTCCCTTTCATTTTAAATACAGGGAGCACCAGGTCCTCCAGGTCCACCGGGGCTCAGAGGTGACCCTGGATTCCCCGGATTTCCAGGCAGGAAAGGTACTGTTTTCACGCACTGCTCTCTGGAAGCAAATAAGATGACTGAGACTCACACTGCAGTGGCTCTCAACCTTCCTGATGCCGTGACCCTTTAATACAGTTCCTCATGTTGTGGTGACCCCAACCATCAATTATTTTCGTTGCTACTTCATAACTATAATTGTTATGTCTTAGGTGACCCCTGTGAAAGGGTCATTCGACCCCCAAAGGGGTTGCGACCCACAGGTTGAGAACAGCTGCATTAGGGCCCACAGGTTTACTAAACTCCTCCGGTCGCCCCAGACATTTAGGGTTAGTACAAATAAGACCTCAGTGTTAGTGAAGAAGGAAGATTCCACCAGCACCCAAACCCAGGGGGCTTGAAAATTAAAAACATACCTTAAAGATGGAAACTATAGGAAAACTACACAGAAACAGTTTGAAGTGATTACCTTTGAGCGTACTGATGTGTGTGGGTTGGGGGATGGGGGACTATATTACTATCAACAGCATTGCTTTGGAGTGTTTATTTGAACTTGTGCATGTGTTACGATTTTTGAAAGCTGAAAATCTAAAAGAACCTGTTTGTTAGTGGGGGGGGTAAGTAAATGTTTATATATAGATTTAAACACTTGTGTATTATGTGTTTAATCAGGAAGAAAAAAAAACCTATACTTTTGGGGTTTTTAAGTTTAAAATGTTCATACACAGAAAGTTAAGCTTCAGGTTTTAGAAATTCTCCAATCTTCCATAAGGGTGATATGATCTCAAACAAGGTTTTGATTTTGGGATCTGTTGTCTTCCCAGGTTAAATCCTCTAGTATACATATTTCGGTAGGGAATCTATTCGACTGGAAGGTGCTAAAAAATGAGTGTAAGCCAAAGTGAACGAAGCCACATTTTCACAAAGGAAAACTCTTCCAGGTCTAAGGGAGGGGAAGGTGAAGTTCAAGGAGCCTTTTTCGTGCTTCCAACCTCTGACTCCACAAGGAGCAAATTTGCTAAGAATGAATCAAAGTGATTCTGAGAAGTCTCATTAGACACTGGGTCGGTGACTGCCCGCAGGCAGCCCGGGACAACTGTGTGCCACCTGTCACTCTCCCAAACTCAAAACAGTAATATCTAAGTTTGAAAATTATATAATGGCCCCACTAAAGAAACATTCTGGTGAGATATGTAAAGGTATTTTGGGGGAGATTCATAAAATCCAGTTCTCTTAAAATATGCTCCATGAAACAGTCAATTAACTCTCAGATTTCAGAATAAGACCATCTATCAGCTGGCACTGAGGAGTCTGCACATTTTTTATTTAGAAATTTTTAATCTCCAAAGTGAAAAATATTTAGGCTTTCTCTGCTGTACGTAAGTAAATGTTAACACCTTCCTCGAGTTCTGGTATCATGTGGATAGTATATAGTTTAGTTGCCAGTCAACTTTTGGTAATTATTTTATTGTATTTCTTCAGTGAATATCATATTTAGTAGTATTAAAGTCTTTCTAAGTAATCAGATGTAATAACTACATATGTCAAGATGTTTATAAGAGAGTATTCATCCAAATCAATGATTCTTGGAACCTTATACTCATGTCAAAGACTGAGAGAGAAACCTTACCACTTTGATGGATTATATCAAAACAGATATTCTAGCCCCAGCCGGGTGGCTCAGTTTGTTGGAGTGTCATCCCATATACCAAAAGGCTGTGGGTTCGATTTCTGGTCAGGGCATATGCCTAGATTTTGGGTTCAGTCAGAGCACATACGAGAGGCAACCGATTGAGGTTTCTCTCTCAACATCAATGTTTCCCTCTCCCTCTCTACCAATCCTCTTTACCTAAAATCAAAAAATATATATCCTTCCTTGAGTAAGGATGTTTTAAAATCAGATATTCTAAATGTACTCATGAGAGTTCCTAACGTAATCAACTCTGGGCTGTTAGAAAAGCTGGAGTAAGAAGCTGAGAAAATAGATAACTATGACAACCAATATAATTTACCAGGAAGTGCTAAAATAGGTTTTAATGTCGCTTCATATTTTACCTGTGATATTAAATTGAATTGGTTTCTGAAGTTACACAGTGAACTCTTAGAAACTCTCCCCTTTCAATGCTAAATACAAAATTTTAATGCTTACTTCTAGAATATATGTTTCAATAGATATTAAACATGATCAATTGGGTCCAAATGAAATGCCCATATCCATGTGAATAGAATTAAGTTGTAGGCTGTCACAGAGCTTATAACCTCCGGTTGTAACTTCCAGTATCTATCCTTAGAGTTGATCACCAACCTGAAGAGCTAGGAAACCCATTGTTCTAAGTAGAATCACATTGCCCGCTCCCTCCCCCCAATTTTTTTTTTAAAGGAGAGAAGGGTAATCCAGGATTTCTGGGATCAGCTGGACCTCCAGGGCAAACTGGGCCAAGAGGACCACCAGGTAAATACTATCTCCTCAGTACTGCTCTCCATGAAGAAAGTGAGCTCATCAGTAAGGCCACCATCTTCTTATGCTCATGTCAATAGGTCCCCGTGGAGACCCTGGCACACTTGAGATCATCTCCCTTCCAGGAAGTCCTGGGCCACCAGGTCAAGCTGGAGGACCAGGGATGCAAGGAGAGCCCGGGCCACAGGGGCCACCAGGAATCCCAGGTGTGGGGCTGGCAGCATTGACTTGGATCACTAGGAAGTGGTTGGATCAGCAAATGATACTTCACAGAAACTGTTACACATCATAGAGGTTTTTGCAGTCAGTTTTAGAATTGAGCTCATTTTACTCTTGACCAGCGAATACAAGACCTTTTGAATCTACTGAAAGCTGTCGTGTATAGTATAAACTTGAGCAAATGTACTTTAGGGCACTTGAGGGTTTTTTTGTTCGTTTTTTATTAAGGTAGAATTATTGTATCTGTCTTCTCTGACAACTGTTAGTCTTGGAGTTCTATTTCTAATTGATTGACTGAATAAACCTGGCTTCTGTGTATTGATACTTTTCTAACTTTGTATAGCACTTGGAAAAGTCGTAAATACAAATACATGCTTAATCTTATATTGGTGTATGAAAATTGAAATAACCCTTTGTGGGTTTAGCACATTGTAATAGTCTTCTGAATGGAATTATATTCTGTTTGCTTGAATCACCTGGGAAATGGCATATTACTTTGACTGGTACAAGGGCATAATGAATTCAGGAACAGCATCAATCAAAATGGCAGCACAACTTTGAAATGCTGTGTTTCATGTACTCCTAGTTCATTGCTAAGGGGCTTTCTTCCTGGAACTAGTGTGTAACAAATTGGATGACCAACTGTCCCAGTTTGCATAAGGCTTAAGGTCTGCTCGGTGTGCAGAACTCTCGTTGCTGAAACTGGGGAAGTCCTAGGTGAACTGGGCTGACAGACCACCCTACCTTTCATCTCGTATGAACTATTCAATGCAATGTTGGTTTTTTCGTTTGTTTCGTAGGACCCTGTGGGCCAAGAGGTAAACCAGGCAAGGATGGAAAACCAGGCATTCCTGGACCAGGTGGCGAAAAGGGCGACAAAGGTCGCAAAGGAGATCAAGGTAACAGCTGGCTTGTTCCTTCACCGGAACGCTGCTTCAGCAGACAGAGGTCTCATTTGAGTATGTGACTACAGTAGTAATCTAGGTCTTTCGGTTTGTGTTGTTCAGCTTAGACTAAACACCAGCCATGAAAAGTTCATTTAAAAGAAGATGAAAAATCAGAAGCCACTGGACTACACCATTCTTCCTATCTCCTAACTGCATAGATGTGCTCCAAATTTTAGCCTGAGAACAGAAAGACCTAATGAAGCACTAATTCTATTTTCAGAAAGGCCAGTGCTGTTTTTAATTGATAGGACTACTTAATTAATGATAGTAATTATTGGAGTGGTATACAGTAGAGAAATATTATCTTGGCATGAATAGAAGAACAACTCAGTATCTATACTTTGGAAAGCCATGTTTTAACTATACCATTCTTGATACAACTCAACAATTCTGTGTATCTTGGAGGGGTGGGGGTGGGTCTTTTAAATATTTTAGTCTGGCCCTGGCCAGTGTGGCTCAGTGGTTAGAGTGTTGGCCCTTGGACCAAAGTGTCTCTGGTTTGATTCCTGGTCAAGGGCATGTACCTGGGTTGCAGGTTTGATCCCCAGCCCTGGTCTGGGTGAATGCAGGAGGCAACCAATCAATATGTCTCTGTCACATTGATGTTTTTCTCTTTCTCTCTCCCCCTCCCTCCCTGCTTTCCACTCTCTCTAAAAATCAATGGAAAAAATATCTTCAGGTGAGGATTAAAAAAATATATTTTTAAATCTGAACATAAGCTATATGTTCACCTGGATCAAAATCTATCTTCTGCAAGTTTCAAAAGCACCTCCTAGAAACCACCTAGATGTCCAAATCTTATTTAGGATTGCTGCCTTTGTTAAAACAAGAAAAAAATTCTAAATGTGATTTCCCAACTTACCGATATATACCCAGATCTACTATAATAAAACTGTAAAGTCTAGAGACTTAAATCTTTAAAAATTCAAATATAGCCCAGCGGGTATGGCTCAGTGGTTGAGCGTTGACCCATGCACCAAGAGGTTGCCAGTTTGATTCCCAATCAGGGCACACGCCCAGGTTGTGGGCCAAATCCCCAGCGGGGGCATGCAGGAGGTGGCCAATCGATGTTCTCTCTCATCAATGTTTCTATCTCTTTCTCCTTCTCCCTTCCTCACTCTCTAATGTCAATAAAGAAAAATAATTAAAAATTCAAATAGAATGCTAACATTTATTTGATAACTCATAATTTAGCAGTCGTGAGTGTACATTAGAGCACTATTTATTTGACTTTCCTTCAAATGTGTTTTTCAAAGTGGTAAAAAAAAAAAAAGCCTTACTGATAATTGTATTAATTAAAACAACTTTATGGCTAAGTCAGTGATTCAGAATGGGACCACAGCAAGAGCAAAGGTACTACAATGCAAATTATGTTGTATTGAGAATGATTAGCAAGTAGACAAAATCAGTCCTAATGCTATTAAGGGCCTCACTAAAATGAGAAAGGTATGTAGGAGTCAAGCATTGGTCTAAACTAAGCCTTGGCCTTTCTTGGAAATCCAGAGTATCCTTGGATCATACTTATTTGCATAATCGCTCACCTGAATTTCTGTCACATTTAATCACTTCACAGTTCCTGTGCTGAGATCTGAAGGGACCGGATCTGCATGGAGCCAGTTAGAGCCCCAAAGAGAGTAGATACTAGGAATGGTGAAGACACCTTCCCTGATATATTTATTTATTTATAATTTTTTTCTTTATTGATTTTTCGAGACAGGAAGGGAGAGGGAGAGAGAGATAGAAACAGAATGATGAGACAGAACACTGATTGGCTGCCTCCTGTATGCCCCCCACTGGGGATCAGGACCACAACCTGGGCATGTGCCCTGACTGGGAATCGAACCGGTGACCTCTTGGTGCATGGTCCGACGCTCAACCACTGGGCCACATTGACCGGGCCTTCCCCTGATATATTTAAAACATGGCAATTTGACTTTTCAAGACGACTTTGAAGAATTAGATATGGTCTATTTTTAATTTCAAAGAATAAGCCACAGACTCAGAAGATAGGAATAGGGTGGGGGGAGACCGAAAAATATATAATATTGGGGCTTTACCAAATCCTTGTGAAAAGCATTGACTTTAATTGGGACTAAACCAGGGGACTGCCTGACTCCATGGCATGGTTGTTTATGGGGAAAAATACCTCCCCCGATGAATGGCCAAAAATTAAAGTCTCTGCTGGTTGTGCATGTCCTTAGAACTCTTAAGAACCATCACCCAAATCTGCTTGGGTGGGGATCAGAGAGCAGTGGCAGGGGAAATAGACCAGGGGTGATGGGATGGGGGTGGCGAGTCTCTGCCAGTATCATAAATAGTAGGTATTTAATGAAGGGAGAACAGGAGGAAGGAGAGAAAGGATAGTGACAAATGTGTATTAACTAGCCTATTCCAAATGTAGAGAAACTACAACGTAAAAAAAAAAAAAAAAAAATCTTTGATTTTAACTCATAAACTAACTTATCACAGGAAAAAAAGTCTTGTTTTCATTTGCCTTACTAATTGATCAAAAACTTTCTTGAAGTTTGCACCTTTGAAAGGCACTGTCAATGTTTTCCATGTTGACTGAATTTATGAAAAGCCCATGTAATTTTTTTCTTATTGAATAGATTTTCACATTATAGACATTTGGTTTCTTGTTCCCCACAATGTATGACATATTTGATTTATGCATAAAAGATGTACATGAGATCTACCAGAGGTATTAGGCACCAAAGAAATACTAAGACGAAGAAGACCTGATCTCAAAAAGTTCATCATAAGATATACACAAGTATCTATAATCACAGGCACTGTGACATTAGTCAGCATTTTAATAATATTGTTTGGCCACTATTCTTTGTGACTCCTTTCTATATTTGGGGCTTATCAGATATACACAAACATTTAAATTAGGACTTTGGAACAAGTTTGAGGTTGCTTGTGTTGCAACATGTATATCGTGTTTCTTGAAGGGCCACCTGGATTCGATGGAATGCCAGGTTTGAAGGGGAAACCCGGTGACATTGGACCACCTGCAACCAGAACAACGATGAGAGGCTTTATCTTCACCCGGCACAGTCAGACCACAGCGATTCCTTCCTGTCCAGAAGGAACTAAGCCACTCTATAGTGGGTTTTCTCTTCTTTTCGTACAAGGAAATGAACAAGCTCATGGACAAGACCTGGGTAATGTCCCAATCCCAGTTCCCACGCACTCTGTTCCAAATACAGATTGTGACTTTTTATGGTATGGAGTACTTCTCCCTAAAGTCCCTTGGGTATCTTACAGTACTTTTTAAGAGAGTAAATAAAACATTGGCCTCAGGTCTAATTTTTATTCTGGAATGTAAAGCTCTTTTTAATTAAAGTATAATTGACATACAATGTAATTAGTTTCAGGTGTATCACACAGTGATATTTCATATTTATACACCTTACAAAGTGATCACCACAAAAAGTACACTATCCATGTCACTGTACAAAGTTACTATGATATTGATTGCATACCTATGACTATTTGTAAGTTTGTACCTCTTAATCCCCTTCACATTTTTGCCCATACGGTCACTACCCAACCCTCTGGCAACTATCAGTTATCTGTATGAGTTTGTTTGTTCATTTGTTTAGTTTTTTAGATTCCACACATGAGTGGAATGATAAAGTATTTGTTTTTCTCTGACTTATTTCACTTAGTATAATATCCTCTAGGTCTATCCCTGTTGTCACAGATGATAAGATTTTATTATTTTTCATGGCTGGGAAATATTCCATTGTGTGTGTATATGTGTATTGATTTCTTCTTCATACATTCATCTACTGGTGAACACCTAGGTTGCTTCCGTGTCTTGCTATTGTAAATAATGCTGCAGTGACCATAGAGGTGGACATATCTTTCTGAATTACTGTTTCACTTACTTCAATTGTGCACCCAGAAGTGGAATTGCTGGGTCCTTCTTGGTCTCTTGTTATATAGCCTTTGTTCTAAAGTCTTCTCTGTCTGATATAAGTAATGCTATCCCAGCTTCCTTTTTTGTTTGTTTCCCTTTTAATGAAGTATCTTTTCCACCCCTTTATATTCAGTCTGTGCGTCATTCTATCTGGAGTCTCATTCAGTCACCCTATGTTTTTTCAATTGAACACTTAGTCATTTTCATACTAGATTTCTAAGTGGTTGGTCTATCTTTACTATGTTTGTCTTTACTAGTGAGATTTTTTTCTTTCATATATTTTCTTATTTCTGATTTTGGCCTTTTCTTTTCTATTTAAAGAATTCCCTTTAACATTTCTTTTAATACCGGTTTAGTGGTGATGAACTTCTTTAGCTTTTGCTTGTTTGGGAAAATCTTGATCTCATCTTCAATTCTGAATGATAACCGTGCTGGGTATTCTTGGTTGTCAGTTTTTCCCTTTCATCATGTTGAATATCTCATGCCACTCCCAGCCTGCAAAGTTTCTCTTGAAAAGTCAGCTGAGCCCTGGCCGGTTTGGCTCAGCGGTTAGAGCGTTGGCCTGCGGTCCAGAGAGACCCGGGTTTGGTTCCCGCTAAGGGCACGTACCTCGGTTGCAGTTTGTCCCCGGCCCTGGTTGGTCATGTGGGTGGCAGACACTCGATGTGTTCCTTTCACGTCGATGTTTCTCTCTCTCTCTCTGTTCCTCTCTCTCCCTCCCACTCTACCTGAGCAAAAAATGGAAAAATGTCCTCGAGTGAGGATAAAAAAAAAATTAATTAAAATTTTAAAAAAAGTCAGCTGATACTCTTATGGGCAGGCATTCCCTTGTATGTAACTAATTTTTTTCTTGCTGCTTTTAAGATTCTCTCTTCATCTTTAACTTTTAACAATTTAATTATAATGTGTCTTGGTGTGGGTCTGTTTGTGTTCATCTTGTTTGGGATTCTCTGTGCCTCCTGGACTTGGAGTCTGCTTCCTTTGTCAAGTTAGAAGTTTTCAGCCATTATTTCTTCAAATAGATTTTCTGTCCCTTTCTTTCTTCTCCTTCTGGGACCACTATGACTTGAATATACACTTGATGTTGTCTCAAATGTCCCTTATGTTAGCATTTCTTTTTCATTCTTTTTTCTTTTTAATCTTCCAGTTGGGTGATGTTCGCTATCTTGTCTTCCTGATTGCTGATCCATTCTTCTGTGTCATCTGATCTGTTGTTGATTCCCTTCAGTGTATTTTTCATTTCAGTTGTTATATTCTTCAGTACTGATAGGTCCTTTTTAATAATTTTTCTTGTCTGAAGAGTTTTAAGAGCATCTTTATGACTATTACTTTGAACTCTTTATCTGGTAGACAGCTTACTTCAGTTTCATTCAGTTTTTTTCTGGGATTTTGTCCTGTTTTTTGTTTGGAACATATTCTTTTCTCTCATTTTGCCTGTTTGTTTCTATGTATTAGGTAGCTCACCTAAAACTCCTGGTCTTAAAAAAGTGGCCTTATTTAGGTGTCCAATAGGGCCCAATGTGGAATCCCCCTTGTCACCAGAGCCATGTACTCAAGCAGTGTTCCCTGGGTGGACTAGTGTGACCTCCTGTTGTGGCTGGGCCACAACTTCTATGACTGGCAAGAAGGTGTTCCCCAGCCTGCTGGTTATAAGGCCTGGCCACAACTGCTGCAGGCTCACTGGTGTGCAAGGCCCAGCCACACTGTTGCAGACACACTCCTGTGTGTTGGTGTTGATAAGGCCACCCACTGGGTGTCGCAGGGCAGGAGCCTCATTGGAGGGGTGCTAGCCTGGGTGGGTCCTTGGGGAAATGCCAGGGTGGGGCAAAAAGTGTAAGCAAGGTTAATGGAGAGTATCAGAAGTGGCACCTGCCAGTATCAGACCAGCTAGGTTAAAGAAGAGGGGCAAATGACACCTGACTCAGGAGAAAGTTCTAACAGACCCTTGTCCCTCTGGCACACACCCTAAAATGAGTCAGTGTATCACCTTTACATATGACCTAGGTTCTTTTCAAACTGCTTCCCCTGTGCTGGGACTCAGAAAGAGCACAACCTAGGTTTCCTACAGCCCTCTGGCTCTCCCAAACATAAGCGCTACTAGTTTTCAAACCAGATGTTATAGGGGTTCCTTTTCCTGGTTCAAGTACCCCAGACTAGGGCTCAGACCCCTCACTCTTCAGGGAAAAACCTCTGCAGTTGTGAGTCATCACATGGGGAGTGGGAGATAGAGTAGGTCCTAATTAGACTTAGTCTCTATCCCTCCTATCCGTTTCAATGTAGCTTTTTCTTTATATCTGTAGTCATAGAAAATCTGTTCTGCTAGTCTTCAGGTCGTTCTCAGAGACAGCTATTCTAGATGTAGTTGTAGTTTTGATGTCAATGAGGAGATGTATTATACATATATCAAGAACTGGGAATACTTTGAAGCAAAAACATTTTTCTAATTGACCTCTACCAGTCCTCAAGTTCTAGACTGATTAGAAAGGGCCACAGAAGTATTAAAGGTGGAAAAAGGAGGATTTGTTTGCCTATTAGATCTTTGATTTTAATCATTATTAAAACGTCCATAACACATTTTGCTAATAACTCTTTTGTGTTGTCTTTCTTCAGTTTTTGCCATAGATTATGTTTTAATTAATCTCTATCTAGTAACAATATTCAAAATAACTTTAATTTACTGAAAGTGATACCCAGTCTGATGTTTTATTAGGAACACTTGGAAGCTGCCTACAGAGATTTACCACAATGCCATTCTTATTCTGTAACATCAATGATGTATGTAATTTCGCATCTCGAAATGATTATTCATACTGGCTGTCAACACCAGCTCCGATGCCAATGGACATGGCTCCAATTACTGGCAGGGCCCTGGAGCCTTATATTAGCAGGTAAAAATTTAATCTCTTAGTTTTGTGTTGGGATAAGGTGAAATACTTCATTTGTAATTGAACTGTAAGCAGTACATCACAGTGTAGAAAGTGGAGATGCCACCCTATTCCTTGTTTTATGTTACAGATGTACTGTCTGTGAAGGTCCTGCAATGGCCATAGCCATTCACAGCCAAACCACTGACATTCCCTCATGTCCCCATGGCTGGATTTCTCTTTGGGAAGGATTTTCTTTCCTCATGGTAAGGGAAAAGGAACAGCAAATTCACAGAATGCCTGTAGAATCCTGACTGCCCCCAAAATGATGTGCCTGTCATCCATATATATAATATGTCATGAACATTTGCTTGAAAATCTGAAAATATACCCTTTTTAAAAAGCAATAAGTTGTTTATTGGTAAACAATGGAGCATTTGAAAAAATAGGCTTCTCAGAAGATTACCCACACAATTCTAAATAAAACATTTAGGTGAATGGTAGCTACAATATTGGTAATAAAATGTCTATTTTTAATGTGGCATGTATTTTATATACATCCTCCATAATCCTTACAAAAATCCTGCAAGGTAGTTTCTATAATCTACAGATTGGGGGGGGGGGGGAGGAATAATTTCCTCAAGGTCTCACAACTAGTAAGAGGTAATGCTAGGATTTGCACCCAACTCTGTCTGCTCCGACATCTTTATGCCTTATACTGTTCCCTTTGACATTCATATGAAGATGGAAACTAAGAGAAATAGACTTTTAAAGAGAAATACCCCAGATGTAAGTGCTAAATGAAATCTATGAACTGACCATCTGTGAGTCTGAGAGCTGCACATATGCAGTAAATGGTTATTCATACTCTGTACAGCATCATTTATGATAGCATTTTCCCTTCGTTACTCACAGATGTCCATACTTTCAATCGTGAATTCAATAACTATTTATTGAACGCCCACCATATGCCACTAAGGATACCAGCAGTGAACCCAAGTTCCTGCTCTCCTGGAGCTTCCATCCTAGTGAAGGTAGACAGTACACGAGAAGATACAATAACAATAGCGATGAGTACAGGTGCTGATTGGTGGTATGAAGGACCTAAGGCAAGATAAAGGGGGCTGTGACAGGGACGAGATCAAAGAAAGCCTTTGGAAGTTACATTGAAGCAGACCCCTGAACAATAAGAAAGAACCGGTCACACGGTCACACGTGGGGGAAAAGAGTATTCCAAGCAAAAGAAACAGTTTTTACTTTCTTTTTGATGACTCTAACTCACTTGAAAGTAACTGGAATGTTAGCCAATCTGAGCAAAGAAACATAAGAAGTTTAATTCATGCTTTTTTTTCTCGTCTTCTATTACCAAAAAAAAAAAAAACATTAAACATTTCAACACCTTGCACAGTATCTTTATTCAGATATTTTTATTGTATAGTTCACGAGCGCGGGTTCTGAGGGCGCCGGGCAAGCACTGGCATCCCCCGGATCCTGTCTGGAAGAATTCCGAGCCAGTCCATTTATAGAGTGTCATGGAAGAGGAACATGCAACTACTATTCAAACTCCTACAGTTTCTGGTTGGCTTCATTAAACCCCCAAAGAATGTTCAGGTAATTATTCAGAGTCAAGTTTAATCTAATGACTCAACTGCAGAACTATTGAAAGGTTGCCTGTGTTAGATTTTCATTACCTGTGTGTTGATGTGCTCATATTTTTAAAATCTTACATGCCAATAAAATCCTGTTTAACTTGGCACTTCCAGTTTACAAGAATCAACAAGCAGCCATGGTTTTGTACTACTGTACCAACAAAGGTATCACTAGATGCATTTAATATTTAGAATAAATGTATAATACATTACTAAATAAAACCGTTAAATGATCTAATTTTAATTTACTGTATTGGAAGACTTTTAAGAAAGGATATTTAAAAAGCGGGTGGTTTTCATTACAAAAATATGATCTGTGTTTCCTTAGTGCTACTGAAATACAACTAAAATAATAAAAAGTTGACATATATACCTTTTCAGAAATATACCTCCTATAATAAAGTTTAGATGAGCTACAATATGCAGTAATAAAACTCAAACCCAGCAAGCATTCCTTTTTTATCTACAAATTGATGGTATTTTTTGTTTTTGCTTTTCCAGAAGACCTATTTCATCAACTGTGAAAGCTGGGGAGTTAGAAAATATAATAAGTCGCTGTCGAGTGTGCATGAAGAGAAGACAGTGAATAAATCAAAGAAAACAGAACTGTTATTTTTCATCTTAAATAACCAAGTAATGACACAGAACATGCAGTTATTTAAGTATTTTTCTCTAACCAAACAATATCACTCTATGATGGTTTGGTACAAAGTTTCTATTTGTTTCCCCATACAAAAAAGCATTTCTTTTAAGTTCTTTCTATGATCTTGGTCTCCAAATCTGTGTTTTGAAGTCCCCCTATGGCAAGGCAGCAGAGTTTCCACAAAATATCACTGAAATTGTATTCCATTTGTACCAAACGCATTACTAACTGATGACTACATAAAATCTGATGCTACAAGTGAAGACCTATTTGGTCCACTGAGTTGCCAAGATTTGCCCCCTTCTATTCCAGTCTTTGAGACTCAGGGAGGCTGTAACAGTTTTAGATTGCCCACCACCTACTTCCGAAGACTTGAGATTCTAAGTAGAGGAGATGGGGCGAGTGGAGTATGAGGCATCAATGATGGAACTGGACTTACAGGTCTGTTAATTAACTTAAGGCTTGAGGGAACCAGAATTAAACTGAGGTTCCTGGATTTTCTGGTGCTCTTTTAAACATCTCCAATACTAAGGCCAAAAGGGGAGGGTCCCTGAATGGAATCACAAGAGCCTTGGCAACACCGTATGGTTTTGTTTTGTATTTTTAAGAAGTCTTTTTATTTGTCCATTGAATTCATTTCACTGCAGCAATACAGCCTACTTGTGTTCCAAGTAGGTATAATTTTTACCCTTTGTGAATTAATTTTAATAGAAATTTTTTATACACATACTCTAAAATGTGTGATTTTAGCTTTCCTTTTAAAACAACACCCACACAAATAACAAGAGAACCACTTATTAGGTGCATACTTTACCGCCATCCCTATAAATTTTGGTGCGTATAATTGAGTAGTTCAGTAATCCATGAAAGAACTTATAACATGTGCTGGTTACTCAGGCTCAGAAAATTTTTCCTTTGCTCTAAATATTCCATTCAATTTGGATATTTAGAGATTCCCTTGTTACTTCTCTTATTCTTTGGTAAAAATGTGTTTTTTATATAACATGTTCTTTTAAACTATGTTGAGAAAGTCCATTGTGTAAAAATCTTAGTGTACAAATTGTATAACTTGGCAGCTGTGTCTTTAAACTTGTTTTTCAGCTTGTTGATACATTCCCAAGGTTAGTTAATTCAACTTAATAAGCATTTCATTCAACGCCAAGCCATGCCTCAGGCACTGTGCGAAATCACAGAAACACTAAGGGGGAAAAAAGAGATTTGTCTGATATAATAGATATAATGTCCTGGAAAAGGTAACTTGCTGTTTCTGTTAGAAATCCTACATACCTAAGTTGTTTTTCCCCCTTTGCTTCCTTTACCTCTGTCCTAATAGTTCATCATAATTCAACAGATTTTAAACCTCGATAAAGGTTTAAAAATAAGATGTATTATGCCCAAGGAGAGCCCTGGACTTCTAGGTTCCCCTAGGCTAGCTTTTCTTAGGCAGCGCAGAAGGCAAGGTCTGGACAAAGACCTGCAAAACATTAAAAATCATTTATACTTGATGGTAGCACACTACTTGATGAGTCTCAGAAGTCAGGCATCCTAAGAAAAAGTTCTGAAGATGTTTCTTGGTCCAGCTAGGTGGAGTTGGTGGTGCTGTTATTTAAACTTGGGTTTTACTGCTTCAATCTCAGTTGTTGGAAGTGAAGATGTGGCCCCAGAAGACAGCAGACTGTTGACCACAGTCCACATCCTCCACTGCTCATGTGACCGCTGTCAAGCCATCTTTACATTTAAACTAAGAAGTGCATTTTACTTAGATTATTTATTTAGACTCACCTGCTATTAAGACTTTTTGGTCTAAAAATATCCTACTGTTCCAATTGTACTGTAATGGCATAGAGGGCTAACAGATCTCCACAAACCCTCTATAGACCAGAAGTTCTCAGAATGTGGTCCCTGGACCAGCAGCATCTAGGAACTTGTCACAAATCAAATTCCAGGGCCAACCCCAGACCTACAGAATCAAAAACTCTGGGGGTAAGGCCCAAAAATCTGTTTTAACGAGCCCTCCAGGTGATTTCCAATGCACACTAAAGGCTGAAAAAAACTGCTCTAGGCAAACACCCCAAAAAACAATTCTACAGGCAGTTACCAGGTAGAGCTGACTACAGTTTTTCCACTTGTGCTTCTCTTTCAAGTTCAAAATCACAAATGAACTTAAGGTTATCTAATGTTACTAATAAGAAAAAGCCCTAGACTGGTGCTAATGCCACATGACTGGCCTCCGCTTATCTCCTGGCCTCTGTCTGTCTCCTGGCCTCCGTCGTCTCTTGGTAACTTCCAAGGAAGACAAGTGATGCTCAGTTCCAGAGAAGCCATATTAAGTTGCTGAGTCATAATCCTAAGACTGAGCATTAAAACATTGCTTGTGTGCACTACTTTCTACTAGTAGCTTTATAATCTATGAGTAGCTTATAATGTTATGAAGATTGAACTCTGCAAATAAAATGTTAATAACTTATTTCTTTTAAATTTGGGTCTCCAACTTTGAAATTTCAGTGTTCTCAGAGGTCTCTCTTTTTGCAAAATAAATATTATTAAGTAATTTATTTATAAAAGTATTACAATACTAAATTTGAATGTTATTGCTAATTTAACTTACAAAGAGTTTCTATGCATCAAATGTAACTTACTGCTACTAAACTTAATTTAATATTTACTCCATAACCAAATGAAATATATTTAAAATATATTGAATATTTTATATTATTGTATCTTGATAAAATTAAAATATTGTAATGTACTAATATTTCTGTAATTATAGCTAAAATACAATGTTATGGTATTATCTAATAATAAAATTGAGAAAAGTGAAAAAATTTTTTCAAAATGGAAATTTTTATTTTATTTTAAAAATATAAGTTCACTGTAAAAACAATAGGCAATACAGAAGTAAACACATGGGGCACATTTTCATATCCATAGACAAGAACTAATCATTATTTGCACGGATTTACTACATAAGTCAATGAATCTCCAATTGAGGGACACTTAACTAAGTTTTGACTATGTTGTACATGTCTCATGTCACAGTTTGAGGAAATTGGTACTTTGTGGTCTCAGTGTCTCGAAGAATTATAGCAAGGAAAAGACTGAAGACGGGGAGTCCAGGTAAAAGGGCAGCAGCCCGCTAACCTAGCAGTGGGAACAGCAAGTACAGAGAAAGTGGACAGTTGACACGGAGGTGGGGGCTTTAAAGATGAGGAACTTGGGAGAGAGTGACAGATGACTTGGGGACGCTGAACTTTGGTTACTGAAAATATAATCTTGACATTAACTGGAAAAGGGAATTCGGAAGGTAACTGGATTGAGATGAGGGACAAATCTGAGTTCGACACCCTTTGGGGACCAAAGCTTCAAAAGGGACACATGGGAAGAACTGGCTGGAACTAGAGCAACAAGATGGGACGAAACGGATGTAATTTATTTAGGTGTACGTGCCACCCTGTCCCACAAGGGGACTGGGGCGACTGAGCTCGAAGACAGGCGGTGACAGGCGGTGAAGAACCGAATCATCAAGAGGGAGGGCCGGCCACCCTAACGAGGCAGAGGAGGGGGACCCGGCCCGGAGCTTTGTCCCAACACGGGGAGCTTCCAGTAAGAGAGAGATGCAGACGACGGATTATACAACTGTACATCTGACACCGATATCCTGTCCTTAACCAATGCCACCGCAATAAATTCAATTTTTTAAAAACCACTTGCAGAGCTGGCGACATGGGCCGGTTCCAGGCCTCACGCCACGGAGATGCCGGTGCCGGCAGCCCTAAAACACAGCTCTTTTATCTGGCTCCCGGAGGTGCACCTCGTACCCCAGCGGTTCTCACAGACACGACCTCGGGGTACCGGCGCGCCGCGAACACGTCCCGTGGAAGGCCGTCCCCCGGGCCGGGGCTGCCAGGCCGATCCAGGACGCCCGGCACTGCCCCGCTCCGCGGCGTGCGTCTCCCGGCCCCGCCCCGCGTCACGTGACCGCGGCCCCGCCCCCGCTACGGGTCCCGGCAGGGGCCAGCCCCGGCCGTTCTCGCGTCTCTCCGGCCCGCTGCGGGCCGCTCCGGCCGGTGTTTCGCCCGGGCGCCTCCGTGCGCTCGGCCAACGGCCTCTGAGAGCGCCCACCCGAGCCCCGGAGCCGGCGGGTGGCGGCCCTCGCCGGGGACCCCCCAGCGGGCCCAGGGGTGAGTACTGACGCCTTCCCGACGCGGGACCTGCAGCCTGGCGCCGAGGTCGTGATCCGCGGCGGCCGGAGGCACCCGCGGCGGCCCCAGTGTCGCCCTGGCCGAGTCCCGACCGCCGGGCTTCTCGCCTTCGCCCCTGGCCTGTCCGCCTCCCCGGGGCCCTGCCTCCCTCTGGCCCCGAGGGGCTGCCCTGCAGACGTTGGGGGGGCAGCCTCTCACCCTTCCCGGTCCGCTGCCTCCGTGTCGGTAAAGGGGGACTTTTCCCTCCAGCGAGCAGTTTGGGGGATTGGGGAACCCCAGGGCTGCCCTGCGGGGTGCTGGGCGCCTTCTCCGCCTCCGGACCACGGCCCTGGCATCTTAAAGGATGACCTTGAACCAGACACCGGCCGTCCTGAGAAGTAGTTTTCGGTTGCTGTTTTGTTTTTGTTTTTACCTTGTGGAAAAGACGTGTTTGAAAAGAAAGGCCTGGTCGGAAGCCGGCTCAGCCGCGAGAGGCCCGGGGCGGCCCAGCCCGTGAGCATCCCCGCGGGCAGGTGTAGGTGCCAGAGATGCTCCGCGGATTGATTTCCTCCCCGGATCGGGGAGCGGGAGGAGAGCCGGGCTCCCGATCCTCCGAGCCCCTGACCTTGGTCTGCAGGACCGGTCTCCCTTCCAGGGTGCGTGGCAGGACACCCGGGCTGGGTCCTGTAACGTTGGAGCCTGGCGCATTCTCACCGGAGAGGGGAAGCCATTCACAAGTGCCGGAGTCTTAATTGCACCAGATAAGAAAAGCCTGGGGCCCTTGTTCTTTGTTCCCAAATATAGAACCAATTGTATCCCGGCCTCTCAAACGCGGAGCAGCTTGAACTGCAGGTCCTTACATGCTTTCTCTCCCTAGATGAAAAACATTTGCTTCTGTGTCAATTTCATTAGCTAATGAGATCCCAAAGGAAAATCCCGTAGGAAATTGGATTTGGAAAGAATTACAACCATTTAGTTGTCTTGAGTAGTCTTTTCCCATGTAGTTATATTGTGTGGAGGACCTGCTATCTTTTTTGGTTGCAAACGCCCGTGAATTGGTGTTGCTGTTCTTTCCAAAAGGAAATTGTGTGTTCTATCCCTTCCTGTCCGATAGGGCTGCCTCGTTTTTAGGATTACCGAGTTTGGCTGTTACTCTCCTCCCTTCTGGTGTTTAAACTTGTTTTCTGTGGATTCATAACCATATTTTTAAACTCCATAGTTTGTTTTCCAAGTTTTCAGTGACTTAAACTAAAATTAATTCTGAATTGCTACATCCTGACTTTGTAATACACAACATTCTTGAAGTACAGTTGCTTGGAGAGAACTGAAACAGGTGACCTAGATAAAATCCTTGAACTAGGTCCACACAAAAGGTGATAAAGAACAGTCTCTGCCCCCCCCCCCTTCTTTCTTTTATAATTTGAGAATTATATAAATCTTTACAACCACGATCATTGACCCAAGTTTTTTCTCATTCCCTAGACTTTTCCTCTGGGTCCCAGTCTTATGATAGAGAAAATGGGAAAGTCAAGCTTGAATCTTTGTGTCCCAGAATTGGGACACTTTCCATGAGTGGGATGTGACTGACTTGCTATGGGTGGTATATGATTGAGGGTTTTTGTAATAGTTTTTGTTATGTGTGTATTTAAACCGTAGTTTAAGGCAGTGATATAAAATTTCCTTTTAAAAGACATTGATTTAAAAGACTTTTAAGAGTTGGATTAAAAAAAGACTAAGTGTAACAGTAAATGGACTGTGTGAATATGGGTAAAAACATGAAGTTGGTTAATTACTGATATCTGGGAACTACTGGGCTTAGAAAGTAGAGATCTAAGATCACTTTTGATTCTGAGAAGAATTTCATGTCCTTATTTTATAACAGAATATTAGTACTCGTTACCTAATAGATTCTAAGTGAGAAAACTTCTGGAATTAATATCTTAACTTCAAATGAGAGGTTTATTTTATTTATTGTCAAAGTATATTACTAAAAATGCCATAGTCTAGTGAGGGAGTGAAAAATTTAGATTTTGATAGATTTTACTTAAGCAGAAACCTAGTAATTGGGACAGTTCAGCATTAAATCTTCGTAGAAAAGTTCCATTTACTCTTTTAAGTTACTAAGATTGGCTACAGGGGTAATTTGGCTTTTTTCAGAAGTTATCTTTTCCACGTCCACCTCTATGAGCTATGTTGTGATACTTTACAAACTCAGAGACTCTTTCTTGTAAGAGAAGAAGTAGCTGTAGATTGGAACATTGAGCCCAGGTTGGTGTGGTTCAATGGTTAGAGTGCCGGCCCTCGAACCAAAGGGTCCCGGATTCCTGGTCAAGGGCACATACTTGGGTTTCGGGTCCATTCGCTGGCCCTGGTTGGCAGGAGACAACCAATTGATGTTTTTCTCTGTCTCTCTCTTTCCCTCCCTTTCCTCCCTTCCACTCTCTCTCAGAAAAGTTAATGGAAAAAATATCCTCAGGTGAGGATTAACAAAAACAAAACAAAACAAAAAGAATGGAATGTTGAGACTCATGGGTTGTCCTAGTGGAAAGTTAGTAAGACGGAAATGCAGTAAATGGAGTGTGGAGAACAGCAAATTTCAGGAAGATAATGTTCTAGCAATTTGCATTCCTTGTTTATTATTTTAAAACTCCAATTTTCAGTGTCCCAAGGCTACACTCCTTTTGAGATACATCTTTTTAGTGTTATTTCTAAATACAAGCTTTTATTTTGCTTCAGATCTAGATGAGAGAAGAGTTTCTCATCTAGAATGTTGCACAAAAATTGATAATAAAGGTTGCCTGCGTAGACCTGAGTGGGCATAGGATAGGATCTGGTGGTACACTGTTTTCTCTATTATGTTCTTGTGTACTTTGTACCATGTGTACATATTATTGGTTTAAATTAAATACTGAATAAAAATTTAGCCAATACATTTGTTCATTTTTAATATATATGTGTATGTGTGTATATATATGCTTCTGTGTGTGTGTGTATATGTGTGTATAGACATATATGTTTGTGTGTGTGTGTATAAAAAGATTCCTTTAAACCTATATATATTTTTCATCTGCTACTTTTATGTGAATTCAAATCAGAAATAATGTCGGTCTTGCCCTGGCAGGTGTGGCTCAGTTAGTTGGGTGTCGTCCCATGTACCAAAAGGTTGCCGGTGATTCCAGGTCAGGGCACGTGCCCAGGGCATATGCAGGCTCGCTCGATCCCTGTTAGGGCGTGTGCAGGAGGCAGCTGATTAATGTCTTGCTCTCACATTGATCTCTCTCTCTCTCTCTCTTCCCCCCTTACTTCCTCCCTTCCTCTCACTCCTTCCTCTCTAAAAAATAATAAAATTTTATAAAATTGGTGGTAACTTTTGAATTGTTTCTTTATTTTATGAATTTTTTAAATGTAAGGTTGTATACCTTTGATAAATGTTATCATTTGGAAGATTTCCAGAAATGAATTTGTAATATGGTATCATCTTGTTTCTCAATCAGCTCCTGCTTTCCTCCCCCAGAGAGGAAGTGGCTCAGAATCCAGCACGTGCACATTGAAGCAAGTTAAAGGATTTACTATGAAGCACAGAAGCAGATAGTGCCAAATAGCAAGTAGTCGTTGGTACACATTTGTGAGTAAAAATTTTCTATTTTAGCTCTATGTTCTTAGTCTTTAAAATATCTGCAAGCCAATTTTTTTCAGTTCACTCGTTTGGGTAAAGAATTAAAATATAAGTTAGCAGTCATAATTAACCAGTTGAGCAACCTCTAAGAACTCTCCTAAGAATCTCATCGAGGTGGAGTTCAAGGTGTGTAACACATCTCTGACATGGAATTTAAGAAATATCCCAGCTATGACTTACAATTATACTGTCCTTAATTTTTTATTGCCGTTGATTTAGATATAATATCTCTGCTGAAAACTTAGCATGATTTGGTTTACAAAGTTGATTCCCTTTAAAGAAAACACTACTTATAGATCAAATTTTTAGGCTACCTGAGATACATTTACCTCTGCCTTTTACATTCTCTTCATGGTTTCTTCATTTGTATTTAGTCGATAAATGAAGAGGAGTTTTCCTCTTCAGGATATAATGAGTAAAGTTGTTTTTCTAATCTAACTACTCATTTGTATACGCATTGGATTAACTTTTCTTTATCCTGTTGGCAAAATCATAAAACAGTGATTATGTTTAAAACCATCTTTATGATTTTCACACTGTATAGAATAACTAACTGTTCAGGAGGGATTTGAAAGTCAGTTTTGAAAGTCAGTTTCTCAGATCAAGTCCTAAGCCTGTTGAGATCCAAAAATAATGTTAAGTAGATATTTTATTCATAGTTTTCTTATGAAATTAATTGTTGAAATACTGATTTCTATTCTTTCTTTTTTACAGCTGGAAAAGCAGTGTCCGTGTTGTTATGTACACCTCCAAAAAAGTTCAGATCTGTAGGGGAATTGTTGTGTAAAGTAAACTGAACTACAGGGTAGCAGTATTTTAATAGCTATTATAGACGTGTATTTACTATATTAAAAATGAGTAAAAGAAAAACCAGTGACCCACCAATAGGAAGGTCAGTGACATTTAATTCAACTGAGCTGGTATTAGAGGCTTGAGAGAGAGTGGCCTGAAAGCTGATGGCCACAGGCTAACCTTGCTCTTTTATGCTTTTACCAGCATTTTGTTTGGGGGTAACTTTCTGCTGCATTTCCCTGGAGCATGGATCCTTCTTTAATTCAGGTTACTCCGTGCATCTGTACCATCTTTCCCCTAAAAGGCATGTCATGCTTTAAAAAATATACATGTCAATGTGATATTAAATACAAATTAATAATGTGAAACTTTCAGTCCCTCGAGATGAATGTATACATTAAGGACTTATTAATACATATGCTGTGTTTGGTATTCCTTGCATCTCAGTCATCAGATATACATTCAGCAAGAGAAGTTTTAATTTGTATTTTGTGATTTTCAAGGGGTTGCATCTTCTTTTTTAGTACATTTAGAATCAGTCTTACCTGCCTTATAAATCTGATTTTCATCATTAGTTTTTTGTTTGTTTTTCATGCATGACAGCAGTTTCTAATTTTATTTTTGTAAAGTCCTAGCAGCTTTCCCTCAAATAATTGATTAGGACATTTTAAGTTAATTTTTCTTGCAGGCATTTTTGAGTTATAAGCAGCATGCATATCTATGCTGAGAGAGAATGTGTGTGTGCGTGTGCGCGCGTGCGCATGTGCTCGCACATTTGTGCTGTGGTTATACAATAATTTTAAAAACTTGCTCCCAAGCAGTAGTTTCAAGGTGCAGTTTCAGCTGATAAGGTATAAGGCATTATGTTGAGGAAAACATTTTCTTCGCCTTTTATTTTTTCTTTGTATTATTCAGTACTCATAAATGAGAAGTCTCTTTTTGCTCGTTCGATAAGGTATTGTCATCTAACTTCACTGTGTTGAGAAGACTAACATTTCAACACTCATTCACACCGTCTGTAATGTTTTTGCCCACAGAGTGAGTGGGGCGGCATTTCCTTCTCCCACTGCTGCTGAGATGGCGGAGATTAGTCGAATTCAGTATGAAATGGAGTACACTGAAGGTATCAGTCAGCGAATGAGGGTCCCGGAAAAACTAAAGGTGGCGCCACCAAATGCTGACCTGGAACAAGAATTCCAAGAAGGAGTTCCGAACGCCAGCATGATCATGCAGGTTCCAGAGAGGATTGTTGTAGCAGGTATTTTACATTTGGGTGTTGAGTTGCCTGACATACCTTGTTTTATATATTTTTAGGAAAACTTGATTGTTTTTCAAAACATTATTTAGAATAGGGGTTGGGAAATGGCAACTTTCATTTTTTTGCAATATTTTTATTCATTACAATAGTCTGAAATTTCAAACAGTACTTTTTAATCAACTAATTATTGAGGTGTAATAACATAATAATTTACATATGTAAAATGTGCATAATATTTAAGTTTACAGCGTGATGAGTTTTGCGATGTGTACACCATGTAACCTCCACCACTGTCCAGACATAGAACATTCTCATTACCCCAGAATGCCCCCTTGTGCCCCATCTCATCCCATTTTTACTCCTCAATTTCAGGCGACCATAGTCTCCTTTCTGTAACCAGAGACTAGATTTGACTTTCCTAGGGCTTCATATAAATGGAATTATACACTATATACTCTTGGGTCTGGCTTTTTTGGCATAGTGTAATGTTTTTGAGATTCTTTCTTGTTGCTTATATCTTGTTCATTCCATTTTTTTACTGAGTAATATTCCACTGTGTAGATATACCACAATTTGTTTATCCATTCACCCGCGATGGACATTGTTGTTGGGGCTGTTAGGAATAACGCTGCTGTGAATGTTCATGTACAAATCTTTGTGGGGATATTTTTATATATGTGTTTATATTTCTAGGAGTGGACTTGCTAGATCATATTGTAAGTTATGCTTAACTTTATAAAAAGCTATCAAGCACCCTGGCCGGTTTGGCTCAGCAGTTAGAGCGTCAGCCTGCAGTTCACAGAGACCCGGGTTCTGTTCCCGCTAAGGGCATGTACCTTGGCTGCAGTTAGTCCCCAGCCCTGGCTGGGTTGTGCGGGTGGCAGCCACTCGATGTGTCCCTTTCACATCAATGTTTCTCTCACTTTCTCTCTCCTGCTCTATCTGAATAAAAAATGGAAAAATGTCCTCGGATGAGGATAAAAAAAATAGAAAGCTGTCAAGCTATTTTTGAAATTGGTTGTACTCGATTATAGTTCCATCAGTGATGTATGAGAGTTTCAGTTGCTCATTGTATTGTTCATGTTTAATTTTGGCCATTCTAGTGGGTATGTAGTGGAAAATACAGTTCAATAAAAGTACTAGCTTTCTAAAACTTCCCTTCTTTTCTTTTTATATTTTTACTCCCAGGAAATAATGAAGACATTCCATTTTCAAGACCAGGAGATCTTGACCTCATGCAGTCAACTTCTTTTAAATCTCTGGCATTAAAAACACCACCTCGTGTACTTACGCTAAGTGAAAGACCACTAGATTTTTTGGATTTAGAGAGACCTTCTTCAACCCCTCAAAATGAAGAAGTAAGTAGAATTTTATCATGAATTGAATTTGAAATAATATAGGAAAAAGCACAAGTTAAAGAGGAGTTAAGAGGCTAGAAGTATGTAATGAAAGCCTGCATGGACCACTGATTACTACAAGTTCTGGTTTATAGACACCCCAAATAAGATCTGCTGCTGCTGCTGCTGTTTTTTTAATTTAAATATGACTCAGGAAAAAGCAGATTTTGTGGAAATCATGAACTAGGCACTACACCTTCAGCAATGCAGAAAGTTGGGAAGTTTAGCTTAGGAGAAGATTAATGCATCACTTGGTTACGAAAGCAGTCTGGCAAACAGAGCAAAGAAAGCTCCTCTTCTCTTGACACTACCTCCTCGCTCTGCTGGCTGAAAAGTTTCTGCTGAGTTCAGGACTGTGCCAGGCAACATCAATATCCCTGTTGACCTAAATATGGCAGTATGGGTTCGCTAGGTGTTAGTAACCAAATTCAGATCCTGCCTCTGCCATTGATTCAGGGAGATTATGGCTCTTTCTGGAATGCCAAAACCTTTAAGCTAGGAAGACTATTTTTTTTTTTAGTCTATTCTCAGATATCCAACCAAATCTGAATTTGTTTAAACCCCAGAAGCCGGAAACATTTATTTGTAATAGAAATACATCCCATTTTCTATAATATTTGTGCCTTTAAATTGTTGAGAATTGCCCAGCCAGTGTGGCTCAGTGGTTGCGCGTGGACCCATGTACCAAGAGGTCACCAGGTCAATTCTCGGTCAGGGCTCATGCCCAGGTTGGGGGCCGATCCCCAGTGGGGAGTATGCAGGAGATGGCCAGTCTATGTTCTCTCTCATCAGTGTTTCTATCTCTCTCTCTAAAATCAATAAAGAAAACAATTTTTTTAAATTGTTGAGAATTATTCTTAAATAATATAAGTATCTGTAGTACACTTGCCTAGCAGCAATTCTTAGTTATGCTTTTTGTAAATTTTGAGAGTAGCCTTAGATTAAGGTTCTTTTTATGCTAAGCAACTATTAGGCTACTAAGAATATTTTCTAGCCCTGACTGGCATGGCTTCGTGGTCAGAGTGTTGACTTGTACACCAAAGGGTTGTTCGATTCCTGGTCAAAGGCATGTACCTGGGTTGCAGGTTCTATCCCTGGCCCCTGTTGGGGCATATATGGGAGGCAGCGAGTCAGTGTGTCTCCCTCACATCTGTGTTTCTCTCTCTCTCTCTCTCTCTCTCTCTCTCTCTCTCTCTCTCCATGCTGCTCCTTACCCCCTTTCCTTCCACTCTCTCTAAAAATCAACGGAAAAAATATCCTAGGGTGAGGGCTAACAAAAATTACATGTATTTTCTATTCCCGTCCCTTTCTCTGTGTCTGCCAGGTCCGTGCAGTCGGCAGGCTAAAAAGAGAGCGTTCTATGAGTGAAAATGCTGTTCGCCAAAACGGACAGCTGGTCAGAACTGACTCCATGTGAGTACAGCCGCTGTGCGTTGTCTCCTTCATGAGTATCCTCTGTGTTTGTCTGTCCCATCTTTTTCTAAATAATTTGCCTTTTTGTAACTCTCACATTTTTTTTTTAAAGAAAAGGAGAAAAAAGTGTGTGTTTTATGCCTAAGAAACTGAGAAAATAATTTACTTCTAATACTTTTTATAGCCTTAAAAATCTGACCATGTGTCAGATCAAGTTCCATATCAGGTTCCAGTTGGACCTGACTGGAGAGTGACGATAGGGTGCAGAGCGGGTGGGACGGCAGAGGGCCTCTCCTCCCGGGGTGCAGGGAACAGCACCTTCTCTGAGTTCTTGGAGAACCTGAAATGCCCCTCGAGGACTTAGTTATTCTGAAGGGTTATAGGGGAGGAAAGTGAGTTAAAATTAATACATATCTCCTTAAGGGAGGATTGATCTGAAGTGTTGAACCATTATTAATGTGAAATTGTTTATGATAACTCTATGTTTTCCTGAAGGTACCAGCCTGTGAAATCATTTTTCTAGAATATCTATAAGCGTACGGCACAAGTGGTGAGAAAGCCACATAGTTCATGGCTGAGGTAGCTTCTTGATATCTAGTGCCCTCAGAATGATGAGATAACCACAGAGCTTTTATTACTTTCTATTTGTAATATTTTTTAAGACAGTAAAGGTTTAAATAAACTTTTTTGTCATATAAAGATATGGCTTATTTAGGTCTTTAATTACTTTGAAATGTCACACTAGTGAAATAAAAGCACCAGTATAGTTTCACTTTTGTTTTTTTCTCACAAAGTATGTTATTGATAGTGGAGTTTTGTTAAAAAGAAAGGAAACAACTCTATTATGTATATAAACCAGCCTACTGTATATGATTTAGAATAGATGGTTAGATCATAGATATTTTTTCAGTTACTAATAACATAAGTTTCTTGTAACAAAAAAGATTAACAGAATTAACTACTATTTGATTTATTTTTTCATAAGTTGCCTTAATGGCATTTTCTAGTGTTTAATACAACCGAAATTCTCATGTGTTAAGTTTTGGTAGTAAAAATAAAACGAATTTTATTTAACCATATATTTCACATCGAAATGCTTATATTACTTAGCCATACTTTTTATTATGATGGTTATATGTTACCTGTCATGGTAAGTAAGTTACTTAACTATCTTCTTGTTAATATTATAACCTAGCATTTTCTTCTCTTACTATTATTAATTTTATGATTTATAATTGAATTTATCTTTAAGAATCAACATTTCTTAACCTTAGCAACTTTATATAATGAACATATTGTGTATTCAATGTTGGTAACGTGGTCAGGAAGAAACTATCAATATAATACAGCTATATTTTATCTCTACTAAAGTAATTATCAAACTCTTGCTGTCTTTACTTACTTTAGTCTTTTCTTTGTAATGTGAGATTAATTATGTGTCGTTGTGCATGAACCTTTGCCTGCCTTTACTTTTATTCCTTGGCTTGAAGGATAGAAGTACATGTGGATATAAGAGCCACTGGCCTCCATTCTCTTAATTACTTTCAAGAGACAGTAGGATTGATTATGGTCAGCTATAGATACAAAAATGAATTCTGGCCAGTAGAATCATATCTAGCTTTTCCTTTGTGTTATAAAAGCTGAATATGTAAAAGAAGCATAATTATTATTTAAGGTGGCACAGATCAGATTCTGCCCCAAGAAATAAAATTTCAAGGTTCCAGGCACCGATTTCTGCACCGGAATACACGTAAGATTTTATCTGCTCTGCTTTTCACAAGTAGGAGTTGTTTTTATTTTGCAGGCTTATGTTATACTAATATTCACCAGGTAATTGGCATATAATACCCTAATTTTCTTACTGTTTGGCTTTTTAGTACCTCTGTTTCATGATTTCTCAAACTGTCATCATACACTTTGTTTAGGAAAAAAAACTAGACCAACTATGATTTGGGGTGTAGTGGTGAAAGTGACGTGAATAATTTACACATAAACACCTGAAACCTATATAATTTTATTAACCAGTGTCACCCCAATAAATTCAATATTTTTTTAAATTTACACATGAGGACCAAGCATCCTTCTCCATTTTTTAATTTTTTCTTTGGTTGGAATATTTTCTAGAGATTCAGCTTTAACCAAGTTTCATGATTCCAATCTTTTAAAAAAATTTTGGCACACTATCTTATTTATTTTGATTGATAAGGAGAATGGAGTATGAGTGTGGTTTGTCATTGAAGTTTTTTTAATATCATAGATTAAAATTATGCTTGGAAGAATGTTTTGTGATCATTAAAACCTTTGGGGAGAGGGAGGACTATTGATGTTCAATATAAGAATTTAAGAGCTCATGTAGTTCTTAAGCAACAAAAGCTACTCTGACAACCAATGATTTTTCTCTTATTCTGGTTGTCTTATTATGCCTCTAGGAACTAGTTAATTGCCTTAGATAGTGGCAAAAAATTATAGTTTTCTCTGTATTTACAATTTCAAGAGAAATGATAGAAGATTTGTGCTCCAGTGAAAATTCTTTCTCCCCCTTTCACTGTCGTACCTTTCCTGGTTTTTTGGGAAGAGGCTGGAGCCTTACCCAAAGGTTATCCTCACCGTCTGAGAAACAGTCTTCCCATAAAAACCCATGGGAAAGAGGTACTGAACTTTGGACTTTCATTTTAATAATGATGTAGTTATGCCAAGTAAATTTTCATTTAAATTTTAGTTTTGACTTTGGCTAGTGTTATTTACTTAACACTCATGTCCTAAGATTTTATTTATGCATGAGGTAGAGATACTACTAATGAAATAACATGATAAACATTGGTGCTTTCTTCAAAAATTTCTAATCTTTTATAAAAGAAAAAGGTGAGATTTTGCTGTTTTATAACATTCATAGGATCAATTTATCATCAAAGGGCATTTTTATTAAATTACTAATATTATAATATTTGCTTAAATAATCTCAATGTCTTTGCATATGTTTATTTTTTTATTTTTCACAGTAGTTCACTTGGCAAAACGAAACTAAAAAAACCCCAACAAGTCTCCCTTCCGTGGTTGGGTGGGTGAATGGAGGGAGGTGAAACTCCTCGAAGCACCCCGTCTCCCAGTCTCCCCGTCACCTCCCTGTCTCCCTGTCTCCCTGTCCTGTCGATGCCTGCGGTGGGCGTCCAGCAGCTCAGATGGATTGCCAAAATGGGGCTCATTCCTGTTCTTAAATTTGTTTATTTGTAAAAAGACTGGCAAGACTGCTAAAAGCTTAAATTGTTTAAGCATTTATGGCTTCTAATTAGGGTCATTTTGGTCATCTTTTGATTTAATCATTTAGTACCTCTCTATATGAAAATAAATGTTAACTAAATCAAGGGCATTTAATCTATATGTATACTGCCCAAAGCTGTCATCAGTTTAAAAAATACTTCCTATTCCGTTTTTGCTGTTTATGGGGGAATGCCGTATACATTAATAAAAAGGTAAATGTCTTACTAATTTTTGAAAATTTAGTTTCTTTTGATAAACCATCAGAAATTCAAATATTTTTTTTATGTTGGTCTTTAATGAAATATTTTTACTAGTATTGATAGACTAAATTTTATCTTTCTACATATTTTTTAAGTTATAATCGAGGATCATGGAAGGTTTTTAATTTCCATTTATTACCATATTTCAATTTCATATGATCATAGCATCTTTGAATTGCAAGAAATTTTATAGACTTTTATAACTCCACCTTCTGTGCATTCTATCTTGAAAAATTCTTTGCAGTTAATCTGAAAAATAGTTTATGCTTGACTACTTTATAAATACACCTGCTTTCCTGTGTATGGACAGGAAATACTTCTACTTTTAGAACTTAAACAATTTCTATTGCTTTTACTGACAAAATGATTTCTCAAAGGAAGTTACCCTTCTTTCCTTTTAATTTTTAATGGGCAAAAAGTCTATCAGACTTTTTCATGGATTTGGACTTAGTTTATCATTATCAACATTGTTGCTATACGATTATTCTAAATATGGATTATTAAAGACTTTAGTAGGATGTAACTAATTTATTTACTTATATAGAATGATATGCTAAAGTGTTCAATTTAAGCACCAAAATGCAAAGATAAAACCTTTAGTTATATCAGTAAATATACTGATTTGTCCTTTAAACTCGCTTCGGTTAATTTAGCCAGGTATGTTGGCAGCTCTGTCGCGACACTGGCCGTTTTTATTCCTGCCTCTTTTGACAGTTTTCTAAGAATTCAGTCTGGCTTCTCACAAAGAGCGGGAGCGGCAGGTTTGCCCTCGCTGCCCGAAGGGAACCCGGGTGAAAGGCCAGAGCCCGACTGTCCGGGCGGACCGACTGCCAGCTCGCAGATGCCGGGCTTCACCACGTGCCATGGGTAGTGTAAACCGGCTCATACACATTCCAGAAGATTTCTGGTCTCTGGACAGACTTAGGGTAACAGTTCATGAGCCAGTATCTGAAAACTTGCGTTTCTTTTGACACCATTAGACCCACTTCCTGTGGTGAATCAGCCCTGACATTGATTTCTCAATATGCCAAGATTGGCCTTAGATTTTTCCCTTCTACGCAATCTTTGGAAAACAGGGTTTTCATGTCTATTGTAGATCATTAAGGCATTCAAAATTATTCACAAAATTGTAGAGAAGATTTTGTTCTAAATTTCTGGGACTCTGGGAATCATATTAGATGACAGCTATCCTTTCAAAACATATCCCTCTTATTTTGTGGTTTCCAAACAGATACATGTTAAGTTCGAAAAGATTACACAAGTTGAAATAAAACACTTTCTCTCTTTTCAGTTGTTCAGTGTCTGCTCCATTTTCTTTTTCTGGACGTGAGACACAGGATGAGGTTTAGTCTAAGGTGTTTTGCCCTGACATTGAGAAGAAATGTTGAGCCCACATCTCAGGGTCTTAGTCCCGTTGTAACAAAACCTCGTACCGTAACAAACCAGACACACGTCAGTGTATCGGTTAACTACCCAAACGGCTGATCACGCTCTAACATTAAACAAGTCTCTGAAAATACTGCTCCATTCATGTGTCCAGCTTATAGGAAGCACTGGCATTGGAGCCAAAGAAATTGCGAAGCGCAGTTCAGACATGAAAGAATGTAAGATTACTGTCGCCAAGAAGCCCGGAAACCAAAACACTTCTACTGCAGCTTTCTGAAACTTGATTCATCTTTACATTTTCTCATAAACTCAGCTTGCTTCATTGTCTTTGTGAAATATTTGAAATGGCATTTTCAGGGAAGCACTTTCAGGTCACATGTTTAAACCTGTCTGACACCTGTATAGCAGAATTTTCTATCTGACTGTGATCATCCGTGAGCTGCATGGCAGGTTGTTGGTCAGCGGTTTGATTTGCCGAGTACATACACCAGAAAGAGAATGCTGCTCCAGCACCAGCGGATGAGCACACTCAGTGCTGCCGTTCTCGTCCCTCTCCAGAGTTGTTCTTTCGGAATTCCTGCTTCGAGGTGGATGTTCAAGGCTACGCAGTCGCAGATGCTGCATTGTAGCTGGTCTTTTAAAACAATTGGATATATTAACTTACTTGATTTAACTGATAGGGAAGGTGACGGGTGGGAAAAAGGGGCAAGAAAAGTTAAGATAATTCTTAAAATGTGTTTGGGGAAACTGCTCAGCTAAAGTTTTATAAAAATCTGATGCGAGTATTTTTTTTCTTCATTTGCTGTGCTTACAAAAACAGTGTGACACCATCGCCACAACAGGTCCGGGTCTGTCCTCCCCGTGTGTTACCTGAAGATGGAGTCAATCTCTCCTCTGCTCGTGGCATTTTGTCGCTTATCCAGTCTTCTACTCGTAGGGCTTACCAGCAGATCTTGGATGTGCTGGAGGAAAATCGCAGGTGACTGGCCATCAGAGGCTCGCCAGCTTTATTGCATATTTTGGCTCCTTCTTGTGGACTGTGGTGTCTTCCTTTTTCGTTTGCACCTTCGTCTCTTTCTAAGATGTGGTGGTTTAAACAGTTTGCTTTGCTTTCTTTTAATTTAAAATTATTGTCCAAAATTCACATTTCACAAGATTCTGTTAGCTTTTCTTCAGGCAAAGAGAGTATTTACTTAATAACTACACACAGGAAGTATAATGATTTTTCCAAAGGTTTTGTTAGACCTGTTCTAAGTACTTGATTCCATTTTGGCTATGGTAGGGACATTGCTGGTTTGAGTGAAGGGTGTGGAACTGAATGAAGCGTGCTAATTTTCTTCAGTAAGACTTTTGATTTCGTCATTTATGATACTTATGTGGTTGGGTTAATGAAATAGATTTGAGACATAGATGTCAGTGTAGCTGCCACAACTTTTTTTTTATTCCTTTAAATAGGGATTTCTAGGCCTGTGTTGAAAATTTCAGGTACTTTTTATTTTTTTTGGAAATCTGATATTTTTCAGTATTGGTCATTCATCTCACTTTTAAACATCAAGTAAAATCATTAGTAGTATGCTTCGACTTGTTCATACAAATAAATTTTTTGCCATTATTTTTGTCCTTCATTACTACATAGTATTTTTTCAAAAGATGAAATTTGTGAAGCTTTTTGGCATAATATGGGAAAGGTACATGTTAACATGTTATCTGCTAACATGTTATCTGGTAATCTGTGAGTCAGCGTTTGACTCTGCATTTTGGAGAAGTAAATGCAGCTCGCTCTTCAGTGAACCTTCCTTCTTACCTAAGGCACTGGCACGTCTGTGGCTGGCTCTGGACTCTGTCTCGCAAGTGCCTGATCCTCCCGCAGGCCCCAGGGCTGTTCCCTATTTCACAAGCAGTTTGCCCACGTGCTCCACTGTGGTTTCTGGGCCTCCCCTGGTTACTCTAATGGTATCCACTCCGGCTGGGGCCTTAAAGCTGTACCAGAAAGAGAGCTCACAGCAGGCGGAGCTTCTGTGTCTCTCTCCCCCTCCCCAAGGCTCTCCAGTCCCCTTCCTGCTCTTTGAAGCTTCACGGACTCGGGATGTCTGAGAAGCAGCACGGTTTAGGGGGAAAAGCGTGAGTTCAGCGTCCGTCGGAGACCGGCTGACCTACCCACTGAGCAGCGGGCTGCGTGATGGCCTTGGACAAGTTGCTCAGCTTCTCTAGGCCTCGTTTTTCTCATCTACAAAATAAAAAAAAAAATTTAAAGGAAGGGTCATATTACCTAGCTTTCTGGATTCCTGTGAGGAATCTCCCCCACCACCACCACGGCCACTTTTATTTAAGATATAGGGCAAATGGCCTCCACTTCTTTCTTTAGTGTGGTGGGGGGTCCTTCAACACATACTGAATATAAAGTACTTGGAGCTTAAGAACGAATATTTCCTGGTTTTTTTTCCTCCCTCCTTAAAATAAATTCATTCTTCACTAGGTATCCTCTTTCACTTTTTAATTACAATAGGTCTTTAGAAGAGACCAGATTATTAGGTCAAATTACAGCATATCAAATGCTATTACAGTGAAAATATCTGAATGAGATAGATATTTATAAATCCTATGTAAATTAAATAGTAGCTAGATGACAAAGCCAGTACATTAAAATTATTTGCCCCCCCCCCCACACACACACACATACAGTTCAATGCAGTGATATAGAACTTGTAGAAAACAGTTGGATTTTTTTTCTTCCATAATGGAAAAACATTTTGCCTCAAATTCACAAGTACAAAATCAAAACTCTTACTAAAATTGACTTTATATTTTTTTATTATGAAAAACTATCTTGAGCCCCAAGTGAAATTTTATTTATGTTTTAATTGTAATGAATTGATAACTTTAAACTCCCTTTTCTGGGAGGAATTATCTTTTCTTATTCACTTAAATGAGATTCTTAAAACGTATAAAGTAGTTGTATTAATAATCCTTTGCTCCTGGATACACACCATCTGTATTGCCTTGGAGCCTGGAGGGTTGGATTCTTATTAGTCTTATTGGATGCTTTTATTATTGAAAGCATTTTGAGTTTTTATCGTTGTATTTCAGTCTCTTGCAATCCAAATGCTGAACAAGATTTAATCAGAATTGTAAGTGCCAAATCAGCGTTCATTTCTACTATGAGAACTGTCTAGCATGACTTTTCGGTTATAAGAACTAGGAATGTGAAATTTGGATAATGGTCTACTTGCATGATTATAAAATAATACTGCTTATATAGCTTTAAGTGTTCTTATGTTTCTTGCTCTGTACCTCATTTTTTTCCTTTCTATTTTATTACTCTTGGCTAATGTAATATCTTTGGTTTTATGCCATCACATTAAGTATAGTTAAATTAAGCTAGAACTATTTGACAGGCAGAAAGGGAGGGAGGGAAGGAGGGGGAAGAAAGGGAAGGAAGATGACTTTCTGACTGCTTTATTTTCATAAAATAATGCAGATTCACAGTTGTTTGACAGAACTATTTTTAGTTTACACTTTAAAGGACACTGTCGAAAGGTTTATTTATATATTATATTTTCATTTTCTCATTTTATGAGAACTTATATGATCTCAAACCAGGCTTAACATAAAGAAAAAGTAAAGTCATATGTACATATTAGAAAAGTTTATTTATCAAAACTCCTAGAACAAGCATGAGGTGTGTTGTTTGGATTTTAAACGCTGTTATGGCTTACCCTTGGCTGGTTAGGCAGTGCCCATGGCCTTCTGACATCTGCAGAGCTCCATTTCGCATTCTCCACTGCAGAACAGTGACATTTTGAAAGGAGACTGCCTATGTAAGAACATTCTTTAAACATTGACATGTTAGTCATGCTTAGCATGCTTATGTTTTATTTTTAGAGGGGGCTTGATTATTTTTATTCAGTTTTTCTTTAGCAAATTCTACAAGCTTTGAGTGTATAGAATAAGAAACCAATGTAAATAAGTTTATATTTTTTGTGAGTGATAAATATGTTACTTGGAAAATCAAGAATGCAAAGTTGTAGTTGAAACAGCTTTTTAAATATGTGTATAATTCCTGGTCTCCCAATTAAGTTGTTTATTTGGCAGTTTTGTTTTGTTTTTTCTCAAACAAAGAAACACATATTCTATTAAGTCAGATTATTTATTTACTCAAGACGGTCACTATACAAGTTAATGCTGGAACTTGTCGAGCCTTGGGTCTCACTCCCCTTTGCCACTTTAATCACAAAACATTGAACATATTATCAAACTTAGAAAAAGATTTTTAATGTATTTATGCTTATGGTAGAAAGTGGTACTATGCCAAATGCCTGTCTAATTTACTTTTATATTATATGTCAATTGCCAGTGTAAGAAGACAAAATGAAATACGTTGTGAAAGGTAACTGTATTCTTTTCTGGCTCTGCATTACAAAAGGGAAATCTCTGTGGTGGAACATTCTGAATATGGCAGATCCATTTGAGCACATTAGTGTGAATTTCTTCAAAAGGCTTTAGGTAGCACACAGTGTTGGCTTTATTTAAACAGTCCCATGCTAGTGTGATATAAGATTGTAGTTAACTAGTAAGTTTCCTAATGCCACAGAGTAAGTATATCCGTAGGGTGGGATGGGTTTTAAACCTGTCTCAAGCACAGGTGACTTCTCACTGTTCTTTAGTGAACAAAATAGAATCCTAACAGGTCTTCCCCGGAAGTCTGAGTCTCGTATCCTCTGGGCTCTGGAGGTGCATTTAAGCACTAGTAGTGCCTTAAGGAAACTTACAAGCTGAACGTTAAAATTTTCTGTGATGAATTTACAAAAATAGTGAATTGTGTCAGTTTACAAACAAAAAACTAGTGTCAATTTACAAACAAAAAACTAGTGCATTTGGTATTAAATTATTAAATATTTGCTATAATTAAGAGATGCCTTCATATTTAAATTCAGGCCAAACCTGACCAGTACTTAGAACATGAGACATTCAAAATAGAATGTAATGATTCCTAAAATTCTTATATGGATCCTATACCACAACCTTTTCTCTCAGTTTAGCAAATACTGCTGATAACTTTTTGGGGAATTGACCAGTGACCTTGTAGAGCTTTTGTTTTCTGATTTTAAAAATTAAGATTTATTGGAAAAGTTTCTATTCCCCTAGGTAAAGAACGAATTGTCCTCTAGAAACAATGTACTGAGACTACGTGACAGTCCCCACAAAGTTTTCCAGTGCACCTTGGTCTTCATTTCCACAGCCCTGTATGCCACTCCTGGTTGTCTCGAGGTCAGACTCAGTGCCATGGCCTCTGGCACGGGCTGTCGCGCGGCCCTCAGACCACAGCCCCAGTCTCGGCTCCAGACCGAGGCTTGCAGTGTGCTCTGGAGCCCGACTTGAATGAGACACGGCTCTGTCACCGTCTCAGGCCCTCGTCAGAATGAGGAGGTGGGAAGGAAGCAATTGTGGGAAATGGGGATTGCGTGAAATTTTCAGTTTCCAGTTGGGCTGTTGTTATCAGATGAGCAACCACGACCATGCAGGTGCTGCTAACCAGTTCTTAACATGCTTCGAAAGTTGATGTGTTTTTTTTCCAACTAGAAGAGAGAAATTATACTTTCTAAAGGTGTCCTCTGTCTTGAATTTCATAAATGAAAATGCAAGCACCCGAAAAATCATTGATATGTTGGTGCTGTTTTGTTACATAACTATAGATTTCCTTTATTTTACAACCCAGAGAAAATACTAAATTTATGAAAATTTTAAAATGGAGGACATGTGAAACCAAGATGTTTAAAGTATTTGAAGTATATTATATTGTATTGAAACATACAATATAATCCTATTTGACATTTATTTGTCTTGTTTTTGCTTTTTATTACTTCTCTGTTTCCTGGTTCTGTCTTGTGCCTTCTCCAAACACCTGCCTTAGACCCATGTTGCGTGGTGGGTCTGCTGCCGCCACTTCCAACCTTCATCATGACAACGTCAGGTAAAGTTTGAGACTTTGTCACTACCAGGATGAATAGTTGACTGACTTTGTATTTTGCAGACTGTAATGCATGTGGTAGTCATGCCTTTATATTATAGCTTGGACTTGCACAGCCTTTCTTTGTGAGTACACCCTGCTTTGTTCAGAGAACAGTGAGTCGTCACTCGGGACATTGGGCCACCAGAGTGTGGGGAAAACGCTTAGCAACTGTGATCCAGTATCGTGTATCCTGGATGCTGTATTTAAACTCAGTTTCAGTAGCTTACAGGAGATCATGCTGGAACAGAAAACATCATCTTAAACCTTGTTTCATATGCATCATGTTCCCTGTTGCCTGAGGTCTTGCCCAGCATTTTCTTTTTAGTTAATTGTCTATAATGTCACTTTCCACGTGTAGATCAAGCTGTCAGTAGGACATCATCTTAAATCGGGGGAAGTCAGCATTGATGGGGGGAGTAAACGTTTATAAAGGGAATTTGTTTTAAGAATTCTCGTCATCTGTTGATTTCAGCTTTTTTCTTATTTTTGCCCCTTTCATACCTTCACACATGCTTAATCTGACTAATTATTTCTTCTGTCAAGCACAGGACAGATAGAATGGCCCATACAAGTACTTAAGGTTCTCACATGCCGAAATCCCCATTTGCCATCTTCAGGGGGGTGGGTGTTGGTTAGTATTTACAGATACCATGACTAATTGTTTCTGAGTGAATTTTGTTTATTTTAAGCACCAGTATATTATCTGTAGCATTAGCTTTCAAACTGGCAGCATTGTTTCTGTGATGAGAGGAAGCTGGCGTGTTCGATCACTTTTAGGCAAGAGAAGAGGGAACCAGTTTCTCAGTCTAGTTAGTCCAGGGGCCCTGCCACGCTGCCGACCCCTTCTTTCCGCAGTGCTGACCCGGCCCACTGTGGGGTTCCCCTGTACACCCACTCTTAGGATTGTGATCCTTTTCTCTGTTTTCAGCCAGTGATCTGACTTACAGTGTTTAGTTCTGATAAATACAGGTTTTAGTTTAAAACACATGGTACTGTTTTAAGTTGAATTATACAAAGTTTTTTGCCATACCCTTAGATTTCTTTGCAAATGGAGATTTCCTTTGCAGATATTGAAAAGCTTAGTTAATGCAGGATTCAAATTGTGAGTGATCCTTTCAGTTGTACCTCATTCTCTGTGTTCAGCTAGGCCCCGTCACTGTGAAGCAACTGTTTCTATTTGACTTTTTTCCCAATTATTCATCTCGTGTGCGACCTCACAGAAATAGAACAGTTTTGTTTTGAGGATAAAGTGTAGAGAAGAGGCATCTTCAACCTGTATTTTATCTACTAATCATTTAATTCTTGTCATAATGTTCAAAGGACTAATTAACTCAGATGTTTATAATCCCATAGCTCTAACATCTACTAACTTTATAGCTTATTTCTCTAACTGGTGCAGTTACTTTCAGTATTCCAGGACATTTATTCCATTCCCATGAAAAAAGGGGCAGTTAATGAATAAGCGAGTTAATTCGACCATTGAAGGCACATTTAAAGATTGATCTAGATTATCTAGAGTCAGTACATACCATGTTGTTGAAACTACAATCTGTCGGGTTATCATCAGTGTTCAGAATGATGACACTGCCTGACTAAAGTATTTTTGGATTATTTTCAGTTGTATTTAAAACAAGAACATTTCTGAATGGAGTTGTCTTTAACATGTCTGAATGAAAATATAACTCTCCTCATACTCCTCTGAGGGGTAATGGGTTTCTTATAATGGGACTTGCTTGATAGATTAAAATATATGATCTATGTGCCAGCTTTATAGATTACATAGGAGTAACTTTTAAATTCAATTTATTTTCTGCTTATTTGAAACAGTTAATGTGCCATTTTACTGAAATAACCATGCAGAATTAAAACAGGATATAAATGTGAGGTGAATTGCATTGTATGTACATTGTATCTCAAAGCTGTTAATTAAAGATATATTTATTAAATGGGAGTCCAAGCAAAGAGGAAGAGTAGCATTTGTGTGTACGTGTTTCTCGGAAGTTTATTGTCACGCACTTAAAGAGCTGCTTTTCACTGTGCTTTCTCCGGAGTTTGTCTCGGTGGCTTTCCAGTGTCACTGTTTCCTACACAGCCCTGCAGTGATTGATTCTTGAGCCCGTTCTGGGTCTGAATGTAGTGGTTTTACAGTAGAGAGTAATTGGAAGTAAGAGGTAAAGAGTAGAAATGGCAAGAAAAGGGAAACTGAGAGGAGGAGGAGGAATGATGGTCTCACCTTGTCATCTGGAGTCCGTGTCCCTGCCCGCGAGTCTCAGCAGGGACTCCGGTGCATCGCGTGTGGACATACGTGTGTAAGAATTGTATGTTGGTACATCCTTGAGTAGCAACTCTCACATCTTCAGCCAGGGGTCCTTTTTAACGATGCCAGTCCCTCTGAGCGTGAGAGTGTCTCCTTATTTATATCTTTGGCAGGGCGCCTTCTTCTCAGAGTGCCAGGACACTTTGCCAGTGTGGAAAGTAGTTGTTATCTTAAGTTGTCTTCTTTTCTTTATTAGTAACAACTCAGACTGTAAAATATTTTAGGAATATGTATTGTTAAATTCTGATCTTTTGTACAATTCTTTGAGCACTAAACAACACATTACATGACTTGCCAGGTTCTCGTCTGACATTATATTGTCTTTGTATTTCTGTCCGCTAGGTATGGCATTTCAAACATCGACGCAGCAGTTGAAGGAGCTGCAGATGACATGACTGTTGTAGATGCGGTTTCATTAAGACGACAGGTATTTAATGTACCAAATAAGATATAATCCTGAGTGACCATGTAATGTTTAAAGTGACAGTTCCTAACATCTCATCATTTTCGCTCCTGTGGAAGTCACGGATAGAAATATTTTACCTGTCAAACTATTTATTAAACCATAATTGATTTTCCTATTTTGATTAAAGATGTTTAAACCACCATTACGTGTTTTGATCAGCTTTAGCCGATATTGCCAGAATGGATTGATGCAGTTCTGGTGAATAACAGAGAACCTTGGTGTTTTCGCAAACCGGGGCAGCCACAGCGGGCTGGCGTGGCTTTGGGGAATGTGGGAAGGCCACTTTGGGACCTGTGTCGCTGTGTTGGGGACTCCGTCGTGGAAACTGCTCTCGGTTTGCAGAGGGTCATCATGTGCCTGTTGGTCATTGTCTGTGATAAGCCTTACTGAGAACTGCAGTTGCCTGTGTACATTTAAATGTCCTCCAGCCTCTGGAATCACATAGACACACACACACACACGGGGGGAGGCGTATGCAGTGTTCTCCTTGTGTCTGGGCCAAATAGACATGGAGGGGGCATGAATGGAAATAAAGTATTTCTACACAAAGGTCAAGAAACTCAACGTTTAGCATAAGAATACATCAGCAGCTCATTTTTAAGATTTAATATAATACAGGGATAATATGAAGCAAATACTTCTTTTTCATTTTGAGTCTCATTGACGAACATAAATGGAAGCTATGTCATAAGTTCTTCCATATTTTCGTTTTTGTTTATACTTTGCCTATTGAAGAAAGTGGTTTCTTTGATCTTATCATTGAATTCACAATTACACCAACAACCTAGTTTCCTGAAAATATGATTTGAGTTTGTGTTTTCACAACAATCGTCCAGTCCGTAACTTAGAGGGTACCTCGTGGAGGACAGACAAGATGCAGCCCCCGTAAAGGACTACGTCGCGCACAGACTGTGGAACCGAAAAGGACTGGAAAGCTGGTGGGGAAACTGCGAGTTTCCAACATGAGGAACAGACGCGGAATCACCAGCAGATTCTACAGAGTCTGTCCTTGTGGCCCGGCAGCCAGGGAGGCTGCCGCTTCCGCAGCTGCCTGCTCCGTGGCCGGTTCCCGGACCCGCAGTCGGAGTCCCTGCGGTGGTGGTGAGCAGCTCGCGGGCCACCACTGCAAGATACAGAATGTAACCCACTGTCGGGGGATATTAACGAGCTGGGTTGGTGCTACTGCTTCTCAGAGATGCCCAGATAGAAGTGTTTTGAGGACTCAAAGCAATGCCACTTTTTCATTGACAGTAAAGTAGGATTTTTAGTGTAAGGATCCCATGAGACCAAATAAACTGTACTCATTTTGAATAGCGCAAAAAAAGCAATCTTTAAAAACTTTTATTTTTTACTAAGTTGGCCCTAACAGAACAGTGGTTGCTTAGCACTGATAAATGTGGTTGCTCAGGTGGTGGAAATGTCATCCTTGTGCTGCCTAGGTTATGGGGTCAGTCCCTAGTCAGGGCTCGTGTGGGAGGCACTGATTGATGTGTCTCTTTGTCTGCCTGCCTGCCCCCCCTTCTCTCCCTCTTCCCCTTCCCCTTCCCCTTCTCCCTCTCAAAATCAATAAACGTATCCTCAAGTGGGATAAGAAATAAAAGGAAGGAAAATAGACCCTCTCTAACACAGAAATGTGGAGAAGGGAAAGGGAGAAGAGTATTTAAGTGAATTTTCGCTGTCGTAGGTAACTTTTCTGCATAGTCTTGTTTATTTTCCTCCAAATGAAACTTCCCTCATTTGTAATAATTATTTTGACAAATTATACTACTTTATAAGAATCTGATTACTCCATGCATTGAAACCTCTGTTTTGTTGTTGTTTTTCACTTAGATAATCAAACTAAATCGACGTCTACAACTTCTGGAAGAGGAGAACAAAGAGCGCGCTAAGAGAGAGATGGTCATGTACTCAATCACTGTAGCCTTCTGGCTGCTCAATAGCTGGCTCTGGTTTCGCCGCTAGAGGTAACCTTAGCTCTCAGAAAATATTGTCTCAACAGCTGGAAATATAAAGAATTTGCAAACTTCTTTGTTTGTGTGTTTGCGTTGTATGCCATTTTATAGTCCACGCCCCGAAAGGTACTTCTTCCAGCAAGGAGGGAAGCCTCGTGTTTGCAGAAGTAAAGGTAGATTCTGTACTTAGCTGTGTTCTCTTGTAACCAGTCCTGCAGTTGCACCGCCTCGAAGGTCTCCCTGTGCATGTGTGTAAATAGGCTCTGATTTGTTTTTTAAGGAATTAATTTTTTGCCTCATCAGTCTGCACAAGTAATTCTCCGAATGGGAGAGGGTCGAGAGTGGATTTAGAAAAGCGTCTGTAAAAGACAAGTATGTTTGTCCTTTTTCTCAAACACTGTTAAACAGTTTTGTTACTGGACACATTGGCATCCACATTTCAGCGTTGACACTTCTGAAGTCTTGGTCTGGTGTCAGAATAATGAAATCCAGCCACCTCGTGTTTCATTTTTATTATTAAAGTAATTCCTAACATCTTCAGCAGTTTATCTTCTCTGTGTGCAAAATATGCGTGCTTATTTTTATTTTAGTATTTCAGGTGGTTTTCTATAAAGTACATTTTTACTAAGTTCATGTGTGAATGATTTCGCAAACTGCAGAATAAGGTACAATTGTAGTGTATTTAATAAACTGTCAACCAAAGCAATATTTGTGGAAAGATTTTGTTTCATCAGAGGTGCCGACATGAGCCTGAGTCTCCGTCCAAGGCAAGTAGCGCGGCTCATGACCGGCAGGAGCCAGACCAGCTGCTCTGCCTCCTGCGTCTTCCTGCCGGCGCCGCCCACGTTCCCAGTGGCTGCTCGTTTGTAGTCCCCGCAGTGCGCTGCAGGGGGAACACTTCGAGTCGTGTGTGCCTTTCCCATCGTAGTATTAACCAATATACTCAATCTCAGAGCGAAGTGTACCAAGAAAGCGAGTCCTGGAAACCTTCAGTTCTGAAACTTTCCCCCCCTTTTTGGTTCAGAAACTGATAGGATTTTAGTGAGGCGTGGTATTCTCCGCACATACTCAGTGTCTTTCTGCCAAGGCAGTGAGTTTTGGGAAAGGCAGATGAGGGAAATTAGATACAGGTAGACTCAACATTCTAGTCTTGCTTCTCCCCATCCTTCCAAAAAAAAAAAAAAATACTTGGAGAAAGGAGTTTTCCTTTACTTCCTAGGGTTTATCATAAGTTTAATGACCTTCATTATTTTTTACACGTGAAAGCCTTCTGCCTTTTGTAATGTCCTGGTGATGTAATTGATCATAGTTTTATGTATATCCAGAGTAATTTCTGTGAGAGATCCAACTGAAAGCACAAAAATTATCAAAACAGTGGATAAAATGAGCACCTGTTTGGTTGGGCAGGCATTAGTGATGAAATGAAAGGCAGGAATTCTGGGAGATAAACACAAAAGCAGTATACTTTTCTTCCTGTTGACTTACCAAACACTGGAAGCTCAGAACTTTCTTAATGGCCGCGGAGGGGACAGGAAGTGAACTTCCACGCTGGGGCAGCACCAGGTCTGTGGGAGATGCCTGTGGGAAGCCAGGACCCCGCACGGCTGCGCCCTCAGGGAAAGGGTAAACGAGAACAAAGACACGTTCGCCTTGTCACAGGTCGAAAAGCGGAAGAGCCTGAATCTAACTCTAAAGCCCAGCTCTAGAAGGTGTTTGTCACTGTAAGAGACTGGTTTTGGAGTCGAGAGGAACAAATTCAGGCCTGGTCGGGACAGGCAAGAAATACTTCTTAGATATGAGCTCAACCTTGAAAAATACATAGGATTTCAACAAGCAGAGAATGAAAAGAGTCCAGGTGCAGGGAACAGCGGGAGCAAAGGACACAGACGGGCCAGTCATGGTGGCCAACTGAACACACTCAGTATCCCAACTAAGTCTCGCGAGTGTCGCACTGCTCGGACCTGGACTGGAAGGCTTGCTATTGTCCGGCTCCTAGGATGCTTGTTAAAGCATTTGCACCTCGAGGGATCATTTTATACAAGTAGCCAGTTTTCAGAAGCTCTTTTCTGCGTGGATGTCTGTTTTGTGGCTTCTTATTTATTTATTTATTTATTTTGCAATGCATTTTATTTTTTTAATTAATTTATTTTTTATTAATTAATTTTTGTTACAGATGTTTTTCCTTTTCCCCCCACTGATTCCCCCCTCCCCCCTCCCTGCCCTTTCCCCAGTTTGTTGTCCATGTCCACTGTTCATGCATACATGCATATAAATTCTGTGGTTTATCTCTTCCCCACCACCCCCCTATTTAGGGGATTGTCAGTCTGTATCCCACTTCCGCGTCTCTGGGACTACCCCCTTCCTCAGACTGTTATGTTCATTATATTCCACAAATAAGTGAGATCATATGAAACTTGTCTTTCTCTGTTTGGCTTGTTTCACTTAGGATGATACTTTCCAGGTCCCTCCATGTCTCAAAGGACAAGAGGTCTTTCTTACAGCTGCGTAGTACTTCATTGTGTATATGTACCACAGCTTTTTTATCCATTCGTCTACTGATGGACACTTGGGCTGTTTCCAGATCTTAGCTATTGTAAATAGTGCTGCTACAAACATGGGGGTACATGTATTCTTTCTGGTTGGTGTTTCAGGCTTCTTAGGGTATATTCCTAGAAGTGGGATCACTGGGTCAAATGGAAGTTCAATTTTTAATTTTTTGAGGTAGCACCATATTGTTTTCCATAGCGGCTGCACCAGTCTGCATTCCCACCAGCAGTGTATTAGAGTCCCCTTTTCTCCACACCCTCGCCAACACTTGTTGTTTGATGATTAATTGATGGCAGCCATTCTGACAGGTGTGAGGTGATACCTCATTGTTGTTTTAATTTGCATCTCTCTGATGATTAGTGATGTTGAGCATTTCTTCATATGTCTCTTAGCCATTTGTATGTCCTGTTTAGAGAGGTGGCTATTCAGTTCCTCTGCCCATTTTTTAATTGGATTCTTTGTCTTCCTTTTGTGGTGTTATATGAGCACTGTATATGTATTGGAAATTAACCCCTTATCTGATATATCATTGGCAATGATGTTCTCCCATACAGTGGGTAGTCTTTCCGTTTTGATGATTGTATCTTTCGCTGTGCAGAAGCTTTTGAGTTTGATGTAGTCCCATGTGTTCATTTTCTCCTTTGTTTCTGTTGCCTTAGGTGATGTGTCAGTAAAAATTCTGCTGCGTATGATGTCTGAAATTTTGTTTGTTTTGTGGCTTCTTAACTGACATTGAAATTGAATTGTTTCCTCGGCCTCAGTTTCACTCACAATGTCCGTATTGCAGATGTTCTTTGACCCACGTCTGAGTAGACACTGAGTAGGCACAGCACTGACCTGCGTGCCTAAGTTACAGCAGACACGCCACACCCTGTTTTTAAGGACCTGACAGATCAATGGAGGAGGATGGGAATAAGGCTTATTAAAGGGTGATAAACTGTATTGAAGAAGAGCAACTTGAGATATAAGCTGAAAGATGGGGAGAGGGGAGAACATTTCACATGGTAGATATAGCAAAAAATACATGTGTAAAGATTCCAAAACAAGACGACATGGGATGGAAGTGAGAAATGAAAAACAGCTTTGGATTTGACTAAGGACACGTGTGTGTGGTGGGGGGTGTATATGCAAAGACTGCAGGTCTCCAAAAGGTCCCTAACCACGGGTGGCCAATAGCTCTTAGGGATTTAATTCCTGTCAGCAGTTTCCACCGGGATGGAAATGACCAGGAAGTAACTTACCAGCTGTTTCAGCTGATTGTGCTACTGGGAGCCAGCCTGTCCGGTGTCCTCTGAAATGGGAGGCTTATGTCTCCTCGGTCTCTTCACGACCCTGCAGAGAACTGGGCCATCCGTGGTGAGGCGAAGATGGTGTGTACCGTCACTGGCCCTTGTATTCAATTGCGTGCAGCAAGCTGTCATGTTATTTCACCTGTGTTTTAATTGTATGGCTGTAAGCAGTCTGGCATTCATTTAATAAGCATCAAGTCTTCACGGAAAGCTAAGTCCTAAAGTAGGATTCACGAACTCGTTCGTCAGAATATTTCTAGTGACCCTACTGTGTGTCCGGCACTGTGCTTGGTACTGAGTATGCCAGCAGTGAGCACAGGGAACACGTCCCTGCACCCGTGGCGCTTGCGGTCTTGGGGGAGAGGCACTGTCAGAAGCGAGCGCACAGAGACCGCCATCCCTGAGGTGACGGCACTGTCAACGGAAGCAGGCTGGAGCAGAGAAGAAAGGGGCACCTGCCTGGCGTTGGGCAGTGAGGGGAGGCCTCTCAGAAGAAGGGGGGTGTGTGCTGAAGTCTGAGGGACAAAGAGGACATAGCCAGAGATTAGACTGGTGGGGCGGGGGCCAGGGCAGGGGCAGGCCTTGCCGACCTGAAGCAGGAAGGGACTGATGAATGAATGGATGAGAAGCCTTAGCTGGTCCCTGTTCTCTTATAGTGATGGACAAACAAAAACATGTGCTGCTTTGTGACAGGTGTGGTAGTGGTGGTTTGGGTAAGTGCTAACTTAATTTATTGGAGTCATGTACGCGGGGAAGGCTTTGCCAATTGGGTAGGAGCTATTTCGGTTCAACCTTAAGGATAAATAGGGGTTTCCAGGAGCATGAGAAGGTCTTCATTCAGCAAAGGGGTTCAAGGGAAAAAGGCCTGTTCTTGATGGTACTAATTTTGGGGAGAAGCTACAATATAAGTATTATAAGTTATTTCTAGAACCTGAAGTCCAGTGAGCATAAATAATTGAAATAAAATGCAGGAATGGTCACATTTAGAAAATTAATAGATTTTTAGTCTGTTTTATAACACTTTAATATGGTAAATACACTGTTGTTATTATCCTGTCTTTTAAAGATTGTCATATATAGAAAACCTTTTGAAAGACTGAATTTTTTTAGGTATTTATAGGTTTTGTAGAAAATGCAAACACAGGAAAACAGAAAAGTATAATGACTCACTACATACCTGTCACCTATATATTTCTCCATTGCTTTTACTTTTGGCTGAAGTATTTAAAAAACATGACATTTTCTCCCAAACACCTAGAAATCTGCATTTCTAAAAAATAAGGACATTTTCCTGTATAACCATAAAACCATTGTCAGCCATAAAAATTCACAATAAGTCCTTGATATAACCCAAACCAATACTTGTCCAAGTTTCCCTGGTTATTCCCAACAAGGTCCACATAATACCTTTAGTTGAATCTCATCTCTTTGTTCTAAATATAGAACAGTTCCCTCTACACATTCCGCTTTTTATTTCTCCTGTCCATTTTCTTGTTGAAAGCAGAAGGCTATTGACCATTCAGTGTCCTACCTTTAGAATTTGAATATATCCCTTTCCCTGGGTCTCCTGTAAGCTAGGAATTCAGTCTAGAAACTTAATTACATTCAGGTTAGAGATTGATTATTTTTTCTTCAAATGTAAAGAAATACAAGCAAGGAAAAGGTCCCTTACTTTTACTTCCAGGATAGCATCTGTTCCTTCGTCTTCCCCCCCTACATAACCCATTCCCTTTCCTCTCCCTCCCTCTCTGCACACCAGAAGATAGAATTAGAAAATTCAAGTAGTACAGAGAGATACGAAACACACTGAAAGCTTCTCTTCGCTGCTCCCCATGTCAACTACTGATGATTTTTACTTTTTTGTATGAAAGCAATGTGCATTTACCGGCATGCTTTATTTTATATGTGAAAGACTGATTTTTTTTAATCACCTTCTAGGTGACTTTAAAAACAACCTTCTAGACTAAAAGGATGAATACAGCTTTCTAGATAATGTTCTGTCATTGAACTTCTAACTTCTAAAAGAGTGTCTTTTAAATGCAATTCTCAGATGATTCAAGCTGCTAATATTTCCATTTTGTTACCATTAAATTACACAATTCGATTTCTTCGCTTGGAGACTCCACAAAGACAGCCCAGGAAACCGATGATTATCTGACTGACCCCAAACAGGAGCTCAAGAAGCCCCACAACCAGCAGGCCTGAAAACACCAGGAAATGGATAGTCTTGTGCTTCGTTTCCTTATCCCTGAAGCGCAGGCCGTAGGTGTTCCTGCCATTGGCCGTGGCATTGTTCACGGTGGGAGGACTCAAGCTACTGGGAAGCACGCAAGACTCATTGGAGAACCACTGTAGATTGAAGGATTGGTTTTCAATCCTTCCAGAGAAAAGAAAGAAAAGACAAGATATTCAGGAATTTTACTGACCATCAAAAGAATGCAACATTGTGTCCAGAAAAGGGTAAGTATAGTAAAACAAACTACTTTGGAAATACTGTGCCCAGAAATTATAGCAAGCACGTGTCTACATACTCTAACAGGTTGAAACATTTTGTTCCTTCTACATCCCATCATTCAACAAACTTTTTCTATGTCAACAATGGTTGAATATCAACAACTGCGTGTGATTCTGCCTCTTCGTGCAGCCATTCTTCTACTAGCCAAGGATATGAAAATAAAGGTGCCCCCCGCCCCTTGAAGGAGCTCGATTCTTAGCGCAAAACCACAGTGGTATCTGCCCTTAAACCAGAGGTCCAGTTTTTACTCAGAAAAGACATGTTAAATAGTATGTCTGATTACACCTGAAACCTATATAATTTTATTAACCAATGTCACCCCAATAAGTTCGATGAAAACAAAAGTAATATGTCTGGTTAAAGTGATTTGTGACTGCAGTAACAAGGTATGGAATAGGAGAAACTTTTTGCCCTAACACGTCTATCCTGAGATGATTTTTCTCTGGCTTAACTACGGGGTAGGACTAAGTGATCTTAGAGAGTTTGCATTTTGGGGTACCAGCAACTGCGCTTCAACCTGGGAAAAGAAGTGTTTGAGCACCTGGAATGAGGGTGCTTCTTGCTGTCTGCAGCAAGCCCAGGATCACTGTTCTGTACCTGCCCACCCTCCAACTCTATCACCCCAACTAGAGCGGGAACCCCTTGACTTTGTCACCTCCAGAGCCTAGCCTGATACCTGGTGAGTTGTCATCTGCTAAGGACTGGACGTGTAGAGCACGTCTAATTTTATACTTTAGATCTGTTAGTAAAGGGAATGTTTTTGGATTTTAATTTATAACAACCATGGTATGAAATTGTTGAGAGATTTTTCTTTTTTTTTAATGTAGCAAGATAAAAGGAGGGGAAGTTTTTCTTTAACTGCAAAAGTGAAGTCTGGCTGTTTTCCAACCTGAGCAATGTAGAGGAAACCAAGGAATTCGATCGTTCTTTTCTTCCGGTTGTGCAAATTGTGCCCAGGTGCAGGCACAGAGCCATCTTACCGGACTGGGAGGACCCGTTTCCTTGTAACTCTTCCATTTCATTTAAGTTATAAATGACTTAAATGTTTAATTCATTCCTATCCCTACATCTGTAGCATGTCCACACGACTCCATGGGCTGCTTGGTTTCTTTTAGGGCTTATAAGTAAGGCTCTAGATTTTATTTTTTTCCTTTTTTTTTTTTTATCCTCACCCGGGGACATTTTGTTGTTGTTGTTCAGCTAGAGTGGGAGGGAGAGAGAGAGAGAGAAACATCGACGTGAAAGGGACACATCGAGTGGCTGCCACCTGCACGACCGACCAGGGCCGGGGACAAACTGCAACCGAGGTACGTGCCCTTAGCGGGAACTGAACTCGGGTCTCTGGACCTCAGGCCGACGCTCTAACCACTGAGCAACTGGCCAGGGCCCTATTTTTTTTTTTTTAAGTATACAGGTAATCTGTGCTTAGGGCTTGCACATTTAATTAGTTCAGGAGTGTAGAAAGCCATTGCTTCCCCGGGACTTCCTCCATTACCATCCTCCAAGGGTGCAACGTACGTTTCTGGTGTGTATTTCCAAACAATTGTAAGTCAAGGATAAGCCATCTGAATCCATTACTCCTTTTAGACAAGACCACACCCAAAGCATTCTGAATGTAGTGATTCCTCCTTTTTTTTTATAAGCTTCTGCCGGTTGGAATTAATGTGCTAAATCCCTAAGAATCTGTCCCAATAGTTTCATCAAAGAAGAACAGGGCACAGTATGAACACCGCACTATTCTAACTAGCTGCTGTGTAAGACAACCAACGCAGGTCAGGTCACTCACCTTAATTTGTCAAATGCAAATTCACAACTGGAATTCCTGTTGCCTGGAGAGTTACAGATGATAGGGCCTTGCAAGAGGGCCTGCGCAGACACCGCCATGCAGTACATGGCACCAAGGACTGTGATTACATTCAGAAGCGATGAGAGGAACATCTGAAAAATGAAGCCGTGCATTTGCACATGTTATTTATTGTTCATGGTCTGTTCCATGTTTCAGCATCACACGCAGTCTTGGCTGTGGCCCTTCTCCAGTGGCCTTCAGCCCTAGATCTTAAGAGCACAGCTTGATCAGGTGTGAATTGTAAAAATCAGAGGGTAAAGTCTGCCATTTGATTTGACTCACGAAGAGAGTACAGTATTGGTCTTGCCACGTTTTCTGAAAAGACTGAACCTTGTCCATTTCAACTGAACACGGAGCTCTGGTGCCTCCTTTCTGTTCTGTGTACTTCGTAGCACCTAGGCTAGATCTTAACCACCCATACTGTGATGTCTGCTCTCTTGACTCCTAAATCTTTAGCCTGGATTCGGCCTTGATTTTATAAGTGGCCAGGGGTCAGCGTTTTGCGGTGGTTGGTCAATAGCCAGTGTTAGAGCAGGTCGCAGGACTGCTGCCAGACGTTGCCAAGGGTCTGCTTCAGCGGGCGGGGCAGGTGCATCCGGACCCTCCCGATGGTGACGCGGCACCACCACTGCCAGGGGGAAGGATTGGAAGCCTCTCGGCACCTTTCATTTTGTGAATCAGTCAGAAAAAAGGCGTGAGATTTGGCAATAGGAAGTGTTATGGCCCAAGTGCAAGTTGGTGTATATGTGTGTTTTCCAAAAAGAAGCCCTGTGTGGTTCCAGTGGAGTGTTTTATTAGTCAGTGTTAAGTACAACTAGAGTGACTGCAGAAGTGAAGGAGAACTCTCCCCTTAGCCTGGTGATATTGCAGCTCCTGGAGGGTCCACATGCTGTATTTCTCATTCCTGCCTTTAATGAGCAGACAGAGTAAGTGGCTTCTTATATGGTGTGTGTTGAGGGGCCTTGGGCTTTACTGTCCTTTCAGGAACCCCAAGAGATGGACACTTGTTATTCCCACCTTCTGGATGAGAAAACTGCAGTTTGTGGAGGTTGATCAGGTGTCCGGCCCTCACAGCCGGTGAACACTGGTGGTCAGGGTCTAGGCACTAGCCTACAGTGCTCCCAGCCCAAAGCCCAGAATGATGGATCTGCAGTGTGATCCAAACCCTGATTCTCCTGCACTACTGTGGCCTGTGCAAGTTACTTTAATTTGCTCATCAAGAAGTGCCACTGTGTTTATACTGCATTTGGGTCATCTCTTGTTTTTGACTTCTCATCACTACGGAAGCCTGGCTTTAGACGTGATTCCAAGATCTGCATTTCCCCTAGAGTTGGAGTTCATTTAAGTGACTCAGCAAAACCAAAGTGTGCAGAGACAAAATCGAGACGTGGACGAAAGGAAGGGATTAAAGTAGGGGAAATAGTGGGAACAGTTAAAATAGGGGGCACATCTTGGTGACCACCTCTTCCCCTCTCTCCCAAGATCTAGCCTGTACCATGACTGTGATGCTTTGGTCTTCACACAGTGGGTGAGAAAAGTGGCAAAAACTCTGTTTCACCTAATCCGTATAAACTGGCGATTTAACAGCCAGCACCTGGTTAGCAGAGCCTGGGCAGTATCACACACTGCCCCCACTCAGCCAGCGGCTCAAACCTGCCTGCAAAAGTGGTTATTCTCAACTCACTGCCCTCAAGGGAGAGAGAGAAATGATCATTGAAAAGATGAGAATTTGTCAGGAAAGAATCTGCAGGGGATGGAGAGAGATTCTTCCTGGAAATGTGATTTGAGAGAAAAATCTAAGGATTCTGACATTTTTAAGTCTGGAAATTCAGAAATATCTCAGGATGTCTTTCTCAAGAATGGCGTGAGCACAGCGTAGAGGTAATGCCAAGTCAAACTCCAGACGGCGACTGTTTAAAAAGAAAAGTGCAGGGAGGGAAAATTGAAAACTACGATTTATTGATGACCTACAATGGGTCAGGAACAAAGATGGACTATAAATAACTAGGAAAGTAATTATAATCCTGGGGAGATATTAAATGACAGGAAAAGGTAATTTTAAAAAATATAAATGTGAAATATGGATCTAAACCTGTACTTCTTTAAAGAGTGGTTCTCGTCGCTGGGAGCAATCAGAATCACCTGGGGTGTTTTTGAAAAATACCGACGACGAATCTCGGAGGGGTGGTGGGGAGGGGGCGGGGGGCACAAGGCATTGCTTTTTTAAGATCTTCCCAGGTGATTCTAATGTTCCCATCAGGCTGAGAACCATTGTTTTCAAACCTCAAGCTCAGCCAGGAACTGACTGTGACTGCTTCTCCATTGGTCTCCCCCTTCCTTGGAGAATTATTCGAGCCCTCACACAGTGTTATTGGTAACAGTGTTATTGATAACAGTGTTCGTGGCATCAGTAGAGCAGAGATTGTGGATCTGAGAGTCTGACAGATTGAGATAAAAATCCCCTTACTGGCTTTGCTATACTGCCAACTATTTGCTTTCTCTGCGCATCAATTTCTCGGTCAATAAAACAGATTCTATTTCCCACTTGAGAGAATTAAATAAGAACACATTGAATGTGTTCTGAGCATAGCAACAGAAGGTTAATAAGTGGTTCTTTTCTCTTTTTTTACTTTTAACTTAAAATTGTATTCATAGTAGGTATGTACTAAATGTATAAAAAAAAAAACTAGTGTCTTCTTTAACTAAAGAAGCGCAATCATCATTCCGAGCCTAGCAAACCAATCTTTCACGTGCATGAGAGAGCTGAGGATACAGTTTCCTTAAGAAGTTTGTACACAGCCCAAAAGTGACAAGCATTTTGTTACTGTGAAACTGGTCGCAGCTCTGAGTGTGATTTCTGAAGCTCCTTTCTTTGCCAACCTTTAGATGGGTGAACGGGAGACGGAGGAGAGAGAGGTCTGGGGCTGGCTCCAACTTCATTATCGTATAACCGTCCTGTTAGGACAATCCTAAGCCCGGTCCTGTCCCTGGAGCCGCACAGTGCTCTGGAGCCACGGGGGACCTGCGCACGGGGGACTGCCCCAGCCGCGTACTCACTCCGGTTTTGTTGTTGAAGCATGCTCTCTTCCTCGCCGCCAAGGACGCTGCGGTTGCTGGAACCACCTGGAAATCAGCAACAGGGAAGATGAGTCTCATTACTTCTCCTCAGGTGCGAAAGCAGTAATCTCTGCCTTCTGTTTACCAGCAGTTGTGGGACCTCGAGGCTCAGGAGGTGGAGAAGGAAACCTGGCCAAGTCCTTGGTGTTGTGATCCCCATTTCAACCCTAAAGATGGAAGGGCGGGCAGGGCTGTGGGGGATTTCAGGACAACACTTTCAATCTCTCCCATCTGCGGGACTTGACTCTGAGTCATCTTTAGAGAGATGTGGATTTTAAATCGAGTGAGTTATTTATTCATGAGTTTGAGAGGAATGTTTCTGAGAGAATTGGTTGCATCATCAAAATTCACTTTTTTTCCCCTTTTAGTTGCAATCATCTGCAACCACTCTCCAGGTTCCCCAAACTTGTCTGACTCTGGCAAGCATCCAGAAAGGGCGTGGCTGGATTTGTTTGACTGGCAGTTGGCAACTCCTTCCCCTCCTCCCGAACTTTCCTCTTGCCCCCAGGGTCCCCACTTAGCAGTTGGGAAATATTCCCAGTTCCACGTTCTCCTTTCTGCTCCTTCACCCCATGACGTGTCATGACCTTCCTGTACGCTGATGCTCAGAAACCCTGCACCGGCTGCACTGTGTGTCGAGAGAAGCGCAGCGCGAGGGAAGCTGTGACAAACAGCATCACCTTCGGACACGTTTACCTTTGCAGTCATCGCTAGTCAGCAGCTGTGGTGAAGTTTTGCATCACTGAGGAATGGACTGTAAATTACTTCCTTCCACTAAGACATTATAGCCATGAGGTGCTTTGATTTCTGCCACTCAGCCCAGCTGCCTGTGAGCAGTTCTGTCTGTCCCTCCACCCTTGTTTTCTAACATTGTATCGAGTCCCCACATTGTGTAGAGTTCCCGCGACATGCCAGGCGCTGTTCTGGGTGCTGGACACGGTGCAGTTCATTCCAGCCTCCACCATCCAGCGAGGGAGGGCTCTTCGCACCCTCCTTGTACGTGGAGGAAACAGGCACAGAGAGGGGCTAACTTCTCGAAGAAAGCGGAGGAGTTTGGATTCCAAGCTGAGCAAAGCCCAGACTCCCCGCTGGCCAATCTCGCAGCTCTGTCTTCCCTCCTAGAGCACGTTTATGCTCCTCTCCCCCCACCACCCTGGCTCACCTCACTGCCCTCCACCCTTCCCCAGCTTCTTTGCCCGAGACCGGATCTGCCTTTGTGCTGTCAGAGCAGGTCCAACACCGACCGCCTCCCAAGGCAGCGTTCTGACAACCTGCACCCGCTCTGCCCTGTGCCGACCGCACGCGCTTCTGCAGAACACCGTGGTTGTGAGACTGCTTCCACTCTGCCCTGAGTTCAACACCTTTGTCACGCAAAGGTCACATGCATGTATGGCAGCTCTTCTGGGGTGGAGCTGAGCGCCCAGGAGGAAAGGGAGGAAAATTTAGCTCCGGAATAGCTTGTCAGTGTTTATGGACTAGCCTCTTTTGTTGTTCTCACAAGCTGTACTGCCTCCTGAGCTTGAGGAGCAAGTCACTGCGCACGAACCTGCACACTGGGGCCCACCACTGACGCGTCGTGGACAAAGTCTTACTAGAACACAGCCATGCCCCCTCTCGGGGAGTAGCGTGGCTGCTCTCCCACACCAACAGGACGGTTGGGAAGATGTGAAAGACTGGTTCCCAGCGCCTAACATATTCACGATCTGATTCTTTACAGAAAAAAATGTGTCGATCGCTGATTTCTAACATTAATAAAGCTGGTAGAAGAAAGTTAGGGCAATATTAAATTATAGCTTAAATGGATCAATCATCCCATTTTACTTATTGATGTAAATAGACCTCTGCTGGCTTTCTTCAGGATTAATTTATTTCAGAGATGCTAAACACTTACTCTTACAAGGTAACAATAAGTTATGTGAACCTCCTCCCAACTGACCTCATGGCATGTTGACAGGCCTCTATTACATCATAGTTTCTTGACGATTTTGCCCATTCAGAGCCTAGAAATAGGAGGGGCCCTTTAAAGGGCGATATTAAAATGGAGAAGGTGTGCAGTGTGTGACTGAGCTACAAATCTTCCCGGCAGTCTGTTAACATGCGTAACTGTGAGAATACTCTTTTTCTTTCATTCCTAAGCACGTCTGAATGCAGAAGAGTCGTGAAACTGACCGTCTAGCTGGTCGTATGTTTGTATGAAGAAGTGGCGGTGTTCCTTCTTCCCTACAAGGCCCATCCTTGCATGCAGTTGTTGGAGTAAAGTGCATGACTGACACATGCAGGGCGGGAGAACTGTGGGCCACTGAACCCCACGACGAGGTCAGACCTTGGGGATCCTCTGAGTACCTGAGCATGAGAGCAGTCCAGGGCCATAGCTCCTCATAAATATAAAAACTGTGTTCTGCAAACGCTTGTGATACAAACACCCAACTTGTTTAACATCGAACAATTTCTTTCTAGGACTTTAAGAATTGATAAATTACCATTGTGTAATAAGTGAACTCAATAAATAAGCATGATTAAGATCAGGCTTACAATTAATCTTGTATCAAATGGCATTAACACAGGGGTGGGCAAAAGTAGACTTACAGTTGTGAGTACACAAAACAGTTTATTCTTGTAATATTATTCATTACTTATTGTATTATTTATTTGTATTACACCTATAACCCTACTTTTGCCCACCCCCTTATTTTTTTTAAATATTTTCTTTATTGATTTTAGAGAGAGAGGAAGGGACAGGGAGAGACAGATAGAAACATCGATGAGAGAGAACATCGATTGACCACCTCCTGCAGGCCCCCCACTGGGGATCGGGCCCACAACCTGGGCATGTGTCCTGACCGGGAATCGAACTGGCCACCTCTTAGTGCATGGGTCAACGCTCAACCACTGAGCCACACCAGCCGGGCTGTATTTTTTTTTAAGAAGAAACATTTTAAGCCTTTTTTTAGTGCTTAGAAAAATAATATCTATTGATTTTTTTTTTTCAGTTAGCATAAAATGGTCAAAGATAATTACAGAACACTCTTAGTCATGATTTCTAAAGATAAAAAGGTTCACCTCTGCTTTGGGTAAGTTATAAAAACATACAATGAGTGTATTTTATAAAGTAATCAATCATTAATTTGATAGTTGTTATTCACCACTTCCCACAAAAACAAACAAACAAACAACAAAAAAAACTGTTTCTGAAGCAATACAGGTTAAAATGTTAAAACAATTTTGGAAAGATTTCAAGAACTGTGGCCAAAGTGCTTATCACAGACAGCAATTTCTTCTTCCTTATGAACTTTTCTGTACATTTACAGGTCAGTATTTTGAACTATCAGTATTTTGAAAGATGTGGGAAGGACACAATTCCTTTTGAAACGGGTTTCTCCACTTTATGCATAGCTAGAGATATAGCTGTACCCAGTGACGAGAGATGTGGACCATCGGAGCCATACCCGAGCGCCAGGAAAAGACACCTGCGTCCTGAGCCCTCCCATCAGCCACCTGTTTGCTTGTGAACTTAGTCTAGAGTTTGAGGTTCAATCTACAAAGGGCCCATTGAACGCCTCAAAGAGTTATCTGATGCTTCGATGACATTCTACCACCCCGAGTAGTAGAGATAGGCTGGTGTAACACACCCTTAATATTTATGGAGGGCAATAAATTAAATTTAGTCACGGAACAAGGAAGTGCACGTTCTCTGAAACTGCCTCCCAGATTTATACCCCTTTCCATGCTTCAGTTTTCTGGTTGCTTCAGTTTATGGATTAAGTTAAGAACTGCACCTTCCCCTCTATCAGCCTGAAACGGGTGTTGTGGATTTTGGTGCCAATGCTGGTGGAAAACAGAACTTTGGAATCAGATAAATCTGGAATCGGGTTTCACAACTCCTGTGTGATCTTGTTAATACTCTTAAACGTTTGTTTGCTCATCTGTTGAAGTACAGTTGATAGTATCTGCTCCACCAGATTATTAGAGATTAAGTAAAATACCAGTGGAAAGCGTCAACCCAGCAATTGGCACTTAGCAGTGGTCTCTCTCTGTGTCTTCCTCGCTGTCTTCGTTCTGCTCTGAGCCCTGCTCCCAGGAGAATACTTGGGACGTATTGTGCCTTCATCACCTCAGGCTCCTTTAACGCTAGCAAGAGATTTTCTTTTATTGTGGTGGCATTTGTGGTATGGTCCATTTATATCGAAAGTGCCATGAGTTATTCTAAATGGATTGTTTTAGCACAGGAGCTTTTTGGAGCTTCATGGAAATCGCCCTTGTCGGTACGTCTCGGCCGGCGGCTGCGGGCGTCTGTCTCAGCCAATGCAAAGGCAGGTCACACTAGTGAAGCAGAGGAAGCCTCTAGAACAGCAGAACAGACGCGAGGGTTTGCAGTGGCGTCCCTGTGTTGGGCACGGAGCTTTCTCTCAGCCTGGATGAGAACCTTCGTGGCCACTTGAAGAAAGAGCCCCACAGCTTCCCAAAAGCTTTTCCTGTAAGTAGCTCTTTCTACCTAAAGCGGGGTGAATACATTGCTCGTGATGTTGAAGGAAGAAGAAACCATCAGCTTTGGGGGAGTGCTTCCTGGGGTGGCTTTTTAATGCCAGGGTGGCCTCAACCCCAGTCTGCCTGCCTAAGAACAAATATTCTCTAGAGTTTATGCATAACCGCCCAGGAGCATTTTCACATTAGTCTGGGGATAAAACCAGCAATGGTAACTGATCATCATTAACCTGTTAACCAGGGAATAACCAGGGAATTCCCTTTTCACTGTATGCAACGTTTGACGTATTTATACGTCCCGCTCGGTTAACAGATTAAGGATCAGGGATGCAGGTAGAAAACAGTGTCCAGGGTCTCATAACAGCTAGCTTTCATGTTGCAGCATCTCTACAGCACTCTGATAGAACGGTTATTGGACAGTCACACACATGTACACACATCCAAACAAAGGCTCGTTTCTCGGACACTGACCAGACCCCGTTGGATGGCACCCAAGTAGTAGAACAAACAAAAGCAAGCCCTTTGAATGCTGGATTTCCAGACTTCAGTAGCTACACCCCCACCTTATGAATACAGAAACAATAGCATAGGCTAAGGGACGTGCAGACTAATATATTGGAGACAGAACTAGAGCTGAGATTCTCTGCCAGGTCCAAAAACAATATTTATTCCTCTACACCAGTGGGTTTTACCAGGCTGCTGCATCACAATTCCCAGGAGAAGGCCTATGACCCTATTACAGGTGCCGCAGGTGAGTCCTGACCAAGCACACTGGGGAGTTCTGTGTTCCACTGCTCTGCGGCAGACGTCCGCAAAGATCGACCCGTGAATAACCAGCAAACTTGACATTCTCCAAGCACCGTGAGATCCTGGGCTGCACGGAAGATCTGAGTCAGGAAGTCATTGAGGTCAGAGAGCCAGGGTTTTGGGTCCCAAACCTCTTAGACCAACTCCCCGTGACACAGGCAATGCCAGGTTCATGCCGCACAATCATCATGCAGGATGCTCATCGTGCGTGGAATGTTTCCTCCCATTCCTACCGAGAGCTTCCCACACCTCCTGCGTTCCCTGTGAATACCTCGAGTGTGCGGCTGCCGAAGGAAACTTGAGCGCATTATTTCCAAAGGACCCCAACACTAACTATAAAGCTTGGAAGAGCAGCCCTGCATGTAAAGAAATGTGAAAGTAATAACCCAACCAACTTCTATCAATTTAATCTTTTTTTTTTGCCCAAGCTCCCTAGCCTGTACCACATATTTAATTTATTTACATTGTCATTTCTCACTCATCACCAGTGTAAATTAATAGCATACCACCAACTCCTCAGTGTATCTTAAGACACAGCACAGCTCACTGTAAGGCTGAAAGACGGTTTTTAGGAGCTAGATCAAACACACAAGGCTTTCTCCAAGTCAAATAAATGGTACTCACCATCAGACCTGCTCCTATAATTCCTGGGAACCACCACTCAAAGCAAGAGATGGGGTTTTGGAAAAATCGGCCTTCCTCAACCCTGTTGACAATTAGAGGTATTGCATTGAGCACGACTCCGAACAGAAGTAGAACCAACAGGCTGAATCCATTGCAGGATGTACACCCTTCGCAGCAGGTCATGGTCACCCCCTGGTTCAAGGAGAAGTGCAGTTCAAGTGGCTGTTTCTGTAGCACTGTCTTGCCTTTTATGCTGAGCCTCCTAACCGAGTTAAAGTTTAGCATTTATGAAAATTAATTTCAAGAATTGGAGTCCAAGAGGGCGGTACCTTATGATGGGGACAGGAAATCAGATAGCTTTATGGTCTGATGAGGAAGGGAAAGGAAGGTAGGGGGAAAGTCTATAGTTTCTGATAGATAAATGTATGCCTGAAAACAGGCAGACGGAAATTAAGAACAAAGAAGAACGGGCTTCAGAAATCTTCCTTTAATATCTTTTACTTTGCGAAAGTGAAAGCAAGAATATCCAGTTAAAATGAGCTATTTTTTCCTGTTGTATTGACATTATTACCAGCTAGTTCCTTACTTTGAAACTGTTTAACAAGAGAACATGACGTTGGGGGAAATTTCCCTCTGCTGCAAATATTCTTGATTTGTCAGAATTTTAAGGGACACACAAAATTTTTTAAATTTTTAATGTTGATCCCAAGGGTTTTGAAGCATTAGAATAAAAGATATGTCTCTTAAGAAAAAAGAAAAGAAAAGGCCAATCCTTTTACATTTAGTTTAAATAAATTTGGTACATTTGAAAAAAAATTTTTTTTGATGTCATATTATTGTAGTCTTATAGACTAACTCATTTAGAAGTAACCCACTTAAGACTTATGGGAGGTTTGGCTAATGCTACTAGACAAAGTGTTCAAGTATGGAAACCTGAACAAAACACAGGAATAGGAGACAGGCTGGAGGAGAGATGATCAAGTTTTATTTTCTCTGAACCCTAAGCACTCACTTGGTCACGTACAGTATATTTCTGGACCAAGCATCCAAATTGTCTTTCTGCTAGTTTGTGAACTTCTCAAGAAAAGGTCTTTCAGTGGGATAGGCTTTAAAATACAAAAGTTCTCATTTATGCAAATTGTCCCTGATGAATCGACAAGGGGGCTCTGTTCATGGTAGCGGCTGAGAGTCCCATCCTCAAAGGATCAATCATCTCCAGTCTGGCTTCCACAGTTACAGGGGCAGAATAAAAAGATGTGACGAGCCGCATATGAGTCTGAACATTTCTGCTTGGAAGAGCTCCACATCACTTCTGTTCATGTTTTATTAGCCAAATGAGTCACTTGGTTATGCTTGAATTCAAGTGGGTGATAAAATACAAACCAACGTTTACCCAGAAGCAAAATGAACATCAGGCAGCTCTTATATCTACCATGCCTTCCTTTTACTTCTGGGTAATTCCCATCCTAGTCCATAGCATGTGTTCAGCAAATGCCGCTGGGAATGATGAATGAATGAATGAATGAATGAATGAATGAATGAATGCATGCAGAAGTGGAGTCCATCCCTAACTCAGGTGTAATGGACTTAGACAGTGGTTCTCAACCTTCCTAATGCCGCGACCCTTTAATACAGTTCCTCATGTTGTGGTGACCCCCAAACATAAAATTATTTTCGTTACTACTTCATAAGTGTAATTTTTCTACTTTTATGAATTGCCATTGGAAATATGTGTTTTCCAATGGTCTTAGGCGACCCCTGTGAAAGGGTCGTTCGGTCCCCAAAGGGGTCACAACCCGTTGAGAATTAAGAAGTCACCAGTTTGATTCCTGGTCAGGGCACATGCCCAGGTTGTGGGCCTGACCCCCAGTGGGGGGCATGCAGGAGGCAGCCAGTAGATGTTCTCTCTCATCCATGTTTTTATCTCTCTCTCTCTCTCTCTCTAAAAATCAATAAAGAAAAAATGTTTTAAGCAACAACAGTGGGCCGAGAGAAGGGAAGTGCATCTATGTTATGATTTGTGTACTTCTGCATAATTGAGGTTTCTAAAACAGTTAGCTATTTATTTTATAAAAGTTAACAATTAGCCCTGGCCATTTTAGCTCAGCAGTTATAGCATCAACCCATAGCCCAAAGGGTCACGGGTTCTATTCCTGGTCAGGGGCAGGTACGTGGGTTGTGGGTTCGGTCCCCAGCCCCAGTTGGGGTCATGCAGAAGGCAACCAATCGGTGTGTCTCTCTCACATCAATGTTTCTCTCTCTCCCACCTTCCCTTCCACTCTAAAAATCAAAGGAAAAATATCCTCAGGTGAGAATTAACAACAACAACAACAAAAAAGTTAACAACTGAAAATTACCCTCCCACTGAGTTATGGAAGTTCTATGATTATGTAGTTTATAAAATACACATTATGTATTACTGAGTTGACTGCATGTGAAGAGATAGTCACCTGTTTTGGAATATGGGTTCTGCAATTACAAATCCTTCTCCTTGGTAAGATGTTGAATTAAAAAACTGTTTAGATATTGGATTCTACCTGACTGAGAATCAAGAGTCTGATTTCTAGACTCTCTGCTGGAAGACCAAAACTAGAAGGTAGCATACTTAGAGGACATAACATAACTAATTTCCACCTGGGCTTGGTACTTCTTACCCTTGTTACTAAAAAAAAGTATCTGTGTAAAAATGTAGAAACATAGTCCTGGCCCGTTTGGCTCAGTGTTGAAACATTGGCCCTTAAACCAAAAAGTCACGGGTTCAATTTCAGTCAAGGGCATGTACCTCGGTTGTAGTTCGGTCCCTGGTCATGTGGGAGGCAACCAGTTGATGTGTCTCTTTCACATCAATGTTTCTCCCCCCTCCCCGCCCCCAATCTGAAGATAAATGGAAAAAATATCCTTGGGTGAGGATATTTTTAAAAAGTAGAAATATAGCCTATATTTTATGAAAGGGAACATATTTAAGGATAAATCTGAAAGGGGAATTAGCTTATAACTGAAGAAGAGTGACATCGACAACTTTTGAGGTATCTTTTCAACCCATATGTCTCCTGTAACAACAGCCAGAAACCCTATATGAGTAGACCTTGTGTATTTCCTTTGTGCTGTGGAACTGCCCTGGCCATTGCTCGTGGGAATGCGGGGAGATTCGGAAGCTCAGCTCTGCTAATCTCTCCCTGGAGCTTGGGAAAGAGACACTGGTTCTTCTATGTTACACATGAAATAGGAGGATGTATATCAGTTAGGATTAGGCTTAGTTGCATGTCAAGGGAAATTAAAATAGAAATGGTTTAGATAAAACAGAAATTTAGTTCTTCACACCCAAGAAATCTGGAGGTAGGTATTCAAGGGCCTGAATGATAGCACCACCTTCTTAAGGATCTTTCCAGCTCATAGATCCACCATCTCTTTAATCTCTTCATTTACACGATCAAAATATGGTAGACAATGTTCCAATGGCAATATCTGCTCTCCACTCAAAAGGATAAAGGAAGAGAAAGGCCCACCTTCTTCCAAGAACCATCTCATTGGCTAGAGAGAGGCCATGTGACAACATTTAACTGCAACGGAGTCTGGGAATAATGTATCTATTTCAAGTGAAGTGTGCCCAGTTAAAATTGGGGGGAGGGGCAGGAGACAGAGGGTACTGAGTAGGCAACCTGCTGTCTCTAGCATATCATATAAATTAACGAGCTATATAAGGAGAAACAGATAAGCAGTCTGCAAAAAAAAAAAAGTGGGGGGAGTAAGAAGAGTTGGAGAAGACGCAGAGTGCAGAAAGAAGTATAAGGACATGTGGCTTTAGAGGGAGGCAGAGTGAAGGTAGCTGCCTGGTTTCTGGGCCTTTCTACTTTTCTATTCCTACCCTGTGGAGTAGGTAACTCCAGGTAGACACCTACTGACCGCAGGTCCTATCCTTGTTTCCTGTGGGCGCCTCTATATTCTCACAATAATGTGTCCCTTTTATACTACTGTGAATGGGTTTCTATTTGTTTGCAAACATACTAACACTGAAAGTTCCTAAAACCAAGAATAAAAAGGTATACAAATATCTTGTCCCATACCACGACAACGCAGCAAAGGGAGTTCAGAAAAGGAAGGATTCTATCAAGATGGGCAGGGAACTAGGGTTCCTCCTGGTGTGGGAGGATAGCTAGAATTCAACTCACAAAGATGGTCAGAAGGGTGTTTTCTGTACCAGCATCAGGCACAGAAAACCAAAACTCCCCTAGCCATCTTGAGCAGGAAAACGTGCAACTGGGGAATTATGTCTACACAATCGTCAGGAGGGCTGGGCGGCAGGCTCTAGGCTGGCCCCGGGAGTGCCTTCCGGGACATGAATGCTGAATGAATGGCCCAGGGCAGCTCTTCCTCTGCAAGGAGTCAAAGGCAGGGAAATTAAGAAGCCTCCTCTGGATGGTCAAGTTCAGGCAGACACCACGGTAGCACAGTCAAGAAGCCACTGCCACTGTTGCTGTTCCTGCCCCTGCACACCTTCCAGGATGATGACTAAACTCTGGAACACTGTATCTGATTTCTGCTGAACACTGTATCTGATTTCTGCTGACACTGCAACTGTTTCTTCACTTCCATGAAACTAATATCTGGGCCCTGGAACATCCCTGCAAGTGCAGAAAATTCAACACCCCAATCTTAACAGCAACAGACAAAAGGAGCAGAAAGATGACTTCCACCTCACTTCTGTCTTCCATATTTCTCAAGGGTGGATCAAACTGTGGCAATATCCAGACCTTTGCTGTAGAGGATTCTGGGAAATGTAGTTTTCAGTCATTCCAACTTCTGTCATCCAGAAGGGCATGCTAGAGGGCACCGAAATGGATATTGAGCAAGACAATTCACCACAGTGGTCTCATTTAAACTGTGTAAAGACAGTTTTCTCTAGACCATCTGGGGTACCAGGTAACAGATCCTTTTAAAATAATCTGAATTATGCCCGGCCGGTGCAGCTCAGTGGATTGAGCATGGTCCTAAGGACTGAGAGGTCCTGGTTTGATTCCTGGTCAGGACACGTGCCCAGGTTGCGGGCTCGATCCCCAGTAAGGAATGTGCAGGAGGAAGCAGCCGATTGATGTTTCTCTCTCACATCAATGTTTCCCCCTCTCTCTCTCCCTTCCTCTCTCTCTAAAAAAATTAATAAAAATATTAAAAATATTGAATTATGT